ATTAGGTAACATGAATGAGTGTGTGTTTTGCGAATAAATTTTTAAACTACTGATAAGTAGTTAAAAAAATGTTTAATAAATATATTGATATTGTGAGGTTAATTTAAATTGAATGGCGCAATTTAAAACTTTTGACGAAAATAAAAATTTACATTCTTTATTCATATCAAATTATATTATAGAAATTGTTTAAATAGCTTTATTCGATAGATAGGAATAACAATAAAAGGGACTATAATAATGTCAATTATTGGTCCATTTTTAACCGAATACAACATTGTTCTGCTGCGAATTTAACTCACTAAGAATGTCGGCAGTATTCATGGTAGAAAAATGCTTGATATTAGCTGCTAACCAATTAGATAACAGTTTATTTTACTTTAAATTGGGGATGAAAGAATTTGACTGGTTCATATATATGACAATGGGATGTAAGCAAAAGTATAAGTGCGTGTTTGATATACACACACACACAAGCATTATTTACCTAGTGAAATAGAATTTCTGGTGTACTACATATTTACACTGATAATAATAATAGTAATAATATCCCACTAGCATTGAAACTAACAGCATCCTAGCTTTGTGGAGGTTGGTTTAGTTTGTAGGTGGTATTTGTCATTGATTTGGTATATTATAATGACACAATTACGACTTTAATCAATTTGCGATATAGTAATTCAGTTAAACTAGTTAGCTTACTAGTAGGAAGCTTGAACTGGTTCAGCTTAGATATAATAAGAACAAACTGGTCTTAGTTAGTGGGATTGGATGATATTCACGTAACATATCAATCTGATTAGATTTGGAATTGTACTGTTGGTTGACTCAGGGATTCCAGTAGTTAAGCATTCGCCCTAGAGGGCCGAAGTTTGTGAGTTTGACCAACAGTGAGGTTGTAGATGAATATGGAATCAGTATCTTCATTATAAGACAGAATAGTTTCACAGTCATGCTTTGTTTTCAATGCTACCACAAACATCATCAGTTTGTGACAAATACAATCTACTTAGCGTTAGTACCTTGCTACAGGACAGATTTCTGTCAATGCTTGAATCAATTATAGGGAATGGATTAGTTAAGTATGTCAATTAATTCATTTATCTTGGAAGTTTTATCACACCTAATGGGTTGATGTTTGACGAAATAGTAACAAGCATTTAAAAAGTTCAGCTGGCTTTTGCCAACTTACGTTACCTGTGGCTTAAGGAAGATACACGTCTCTCAATTAAAGGACAACTATACAACATAGAAGTTCTCTGTGATCTAATTTATAGCTATGAAATGTGACCTCTAAAAGTACAGGATAATCGTAAGTCTCTGATATCCGATTACATATATCTTCAAACCACTGCTAATGTATTTTAGAACCATTAGGTTAACCATTTTTAGTTTATAGGCAAAGTATAAAGTATGTCAAGTCGATTGAAGAAGTAATTAATCTTTACCGACTGAAATAATTAACATATATAGCATGTAATTCTATCCACAGAATACCTGACCTCGTGATGATGGTTGTTGTAGAAGTACGTTGATATAAAACTAAAGGGGGGCAGACAATGACATGGCATCAAAGCATAAAGAAACCAACTGTTGGATTGAAACATGTAGATAGATACAGACTACTTGGTTGAGATTTGAGTGATTATTGTAACCAATGATTAGATACGTTAGATAAGATGACTCAAATTGATTCACAGTAACACAGGTACGTGTACTCTACGTCTTCTCTTAGATCCAAAGTCTATAAATTCCTCATGAATTCTATTTTTTTCATCATTTCACTAATTCACATTTTCTTCTCAAAAGGTATCTTGACCTCTTAATCTTTTCTATTACAACCAATACATGTGTCTACACTCTACAGTTGATATTCAGTCCGAAATTCAAACCCAGTACCATCTACTTCAAACACCATGACGTTATCTACTTAGCAACTGAATCCAACTAGCCACTGCTGATGGGGTGAAGTCTATTCTAGCTTGAGATGATTAAGTTTTATGATTTTGTGACATGTTAAACAAGTATTTAATTTTCACAGTTGAAATCATGAGTAAATTGAAGCTAGACCACCATCGGAAACCTGGGAGCACTGGACGGCCGTTTCGTCTCATCATGGGACTCCTCAGTGGCAGTGCGTATCCACGAATCCGCCCTGTGAGATTCGAACCCAGGACCTACCGGTATCGAGCCGAAGTCCTTAACCGATAGACCACTGAGCCGGCATCCAACGGTGTTAATGTCTAACTTCAATATATTTAATTGTAAGCAAAGATGGATAGTGGCTAGCATTGGAATCCAGTGTAACGCGCGTTTCGTCCTATTTGGGACTCGTCAACTGGATATACCTATATCTCAGAGTTGATGTTCACACTGGGACTCGAACCCAGTACCTTTCGCTTCAAACGTATGCTTGTGAATTAATGCTATATCGAGGCAATACTCACACTATGTACATATGCCAATTAGAGACTGACCAGTTGCCGTCCTAAACATCAATGGGAAGATTCAAACAAACAATAGTGAGTTTAATTATTTAATTGGCAGAGTATGAATGACATATGAAATTGATGTTATCCAATCTTTGTTTACATGTAATGAGATCCGGAAATGGAGTAATTATATGACTTAGTTACTTGATTATATCTGTTAGTTACAAATCCTTAATTACATAATATGGTAAATTTGTTATTACAGTAAATCATTTAAAAACAGATGTATCCATACGTCATTTTGAATTATCTTGGGGGGGGGGTAGGTGGATAAATCCTTAACATCAGTGTTTATGCTATCACTTCTCATTGTGGAAATCACAGTAGTTTTTATAAGCAAAGATGGATAGTGGCTAGCAGTGGAATCTATGATACTCGTTTCGTCCTATCTGGGAGTCATCATCTGGGTGTACCTGAATCCCGGGGTTGATGTTTACTCAGTAGCTAAGTGGATAACATGATGTCATTTGACGCGAACAATACTGTGTTCGACTCTCGTATTGAACATCATCTCTGGGATCCAAAGTGGAACAAGGTGATAAGTCTTGATTAGGACAAGACGCACATCCTTGATACAACTATTAGCCATCATCCATAATTGTAAATGATGTTGAATGAATTTTTAAGTTACATTTACTGAAGGCAATTTTATAATGAATTGATGAAGTACTCGAAAATCATTGGTAACCTGTTATTCTGTGCTGTTTCATCAGCTCATTATACACGTCTGATAAACTCTCATCGGACTTGTTATTAACAGTAAGGAGATTGAATGTGTATAAGAATTTTTAATTACCAAACGTATTATATTTATATCATCTAATATTGAATTGGCTGAGATAGTGATATTTCAATAGTAACCTTAGCCAAATGAACAATTCATTTAATCATATTAGGTCAACACACATGGTTTATTCTTGCAACAATATGCTAGTTGTTTTGCTTTGAGAAAACATGTGATCCAGAATACCACCTAACACTTTTGTAAATTGGGTCTTCTTCTTTACATTCATCTGTATTAGTTTAGAATGGAGTTTATCATAATCAAGAAGTACTGAATAGCTGTATACTGATCACACTTCTCCAAATGTGAAGGGTGATGAATCCCGGATGAATTTCGATCCACATCCTTCAGGTCTTATGACAAGTATAATATCACTTAGTTGATATTTATCGATCTAATGTTTTAGATATTGTCAACATTACCATCTTACTTACTTACTTATGACTTTTACCTCTCGTGGAGGAGTATAGGCCGCCTACCAGCATTCTCTATCCAACCCTGTCCTGGGCAATCCTTTCCAGTTCTTTCCAGTTGTTATTCTTCTTTTTCATATCTGCTTCTATTTCCAGGCATAGTGTATTCTTTGGCCTTCCTCTTTTCCACTTCCCTTCCGGATTCCATCCATCTAATCTGATTTCATATTTCAAAGGATAACCAGATTTCAGTTAGCAACCAACATAATCTTGTCTAATCTTTCGTACTGATAACATTCTAATAAGTGACCAATTATTGTATAGCATTCAGTCTAACTAAAGAGATCAATTATGATCCGAATAGTTTAATGATGACGAACCCTAACCATAGGATTGTCATCAAAATCTTCAAAGAATATTAATTTAATGAAGACTATTATAAAGTGTAAACTACATGATCCTTAATTGATTTTCGGATTCTTCATGAACTTTCTTCGACAATATGAGTATTTCAATGATCATTTAAACTACTTTTTAACCAATAATAGTATTATAGAAAAAAAGTAGACAAATCTAATGGTCTAATGGTTAAGCACTCGTGTGCGAGACTGATAGGTCCTAGGTTCGAATCTCATAAGGCGGGATGATGAATACGCACTGCCACTGAGCAATCCCACAATAGGACGAAACGGCCGTCCAGTGTTTCCAGGTTTTCTATGGTAGTCTAGCTTCAATTAACTCTTGATTTCAACTATATAAAAAGACAAATCCTAAGTTTATTCAAATGGAATGAAGTTTTTTTTTCCATTTTTGATATACCCTTTTCATTGAATTACTTTCGTCTTTCAATTGTCCCTATTATTATCATTCAATAAGTTAGTCAGCTACAACGTAGGAACAGTCACATATATGCATTGGTCCAAGTTGCCATACCTCGTTACCACAACAAGATGAACACCGAACACATAGAATTAGTTAGTTTAGTGGTGGTAATATACCAAATAAAGGTTTTATATAAGGATATAGTATAGGAAGGAAGAAAGTTATGAAGCAATTTTAATCTCAAGGTTTAAGAGAAGATAGAGAGTGTATACACTTATGCCATTGTGATCAATTTTGAGCCATTTCACCCACAGTCTCCAACCATTAATTACGCGAACCTCAACCAAGTAGTCTGCATCTATCAACATGGTTCAGACTAGAAAATAGTGACTTCAAGCACTGATGCCAAGTTTTAGTTTGGCTGCCCCTAACTCTCTTCTAACCATCTCCAATACTAAACAGCATTATTATTATTATTTCGAATTGTAGAAAGCTGATCGGGAAGATGTAAAAGATTTCATTAATCGTTTAGAATTTGATAATACAAATCAAGCACTTGAAAAATTAATTGAAGATCTATTTGCAAAGTTAACCTTAGCGGTAAGTTCATTAATCAAAGTAAGATGTTGACCATATAAATTGATTAATATTTTGTTTAGTAATAAGAAGGGGTTTACGTGGATATTATGGTAATTTAATAGGTCAGTAATCTGGAGGTTAAGCGTTTACGCGCGAGACTGATAGGTTCTAGGTTCGAATCTCACAAGGCGGGGTCGTGGATGCGCACTGCCATTGAGGAGTCCTACAATAAGACGAAACAACCGTTCAGTGCTTCCAGATTTTCAATGATGATCTAGCTTCAATTGATTCATGATCTCAACTATATAAACTTACTAAAATCTCCACAAAACCTTCTTATTTTGTCAATAACTTATAATCTTTAACAGTAAATCCTCATAGAAACCCCCCTTTCTTATATATACTTATCAAAAGCTATAATGTCTAAAACAAATGTGTTCGTAGGTGGTGACATTGATTTACTTGTATAGAATACAATTAGTCATAATTATAATTCACCTACGCTTACATTTAACTTGATATGAAAAAGTCTCACAGTATATTCATTAGTCACATCTTTATTTTACTTGATATACTACTTATTTAGATTATTAGAAGAGAACGAAATATTTGTCATTTTCAGAAGGGGTTTTGTGTTTAAATTTTAATAATTTTATAGTTGAAATCATGAGTCAATTGAAGGTAGACCATCATGGAAAACCTGTAAGCACTGGACGGCAGTTTTGTTAGTCTAGTGGTTAAGCGCTCGCGCGCGAAACTGCAAAGTCCTGGGTTCGAATCTCGTAGGGCGGGATCGTGGATGCGCACTGCCACTGAGCAGTTCCGCAATAGGATGAAGCGGCCTTAAAGCAATGCTTCCATGTTTTCCATGGTTGTCTAGCTTCAATTGACTCATGATCTTAAATATAAAATTCTACAAATTTACCAGTAAGAAGACTAACCTTTAACAAGAATCTCCTTTCAGTCTTCTCATCATAGGTAAATTAGAACGTTTTCGACAACATCAACCTTAATAAATTAATCAGTTATGATAAGATAACATGAAAAATCCGAAAATCTATCGGCTTTTGATGATTTTACTTACGATACTTATTTCCATTTAATGATTAGACGATAAAACCAAAATGAACAATCCTAATGCAAAGATTGATAACATTGATGTATGTACATATAGTTATTCAATATACTTTGTTTATAGGCTATATTCGTCACATACTGATTTCAATCGTGATACCAATGATTACGAGTGAGCACTATACAAATGTTTCCTCCTAATATGGAACTGTCTCTAAGATCTTAAAGGTCTTGAGTCCAACACCTGATGAGTTGTGGGCACGTATTTCTAAGAAGTAAGATATTCAAACTAAATATCTTCATAGTGCTATCTATCTCAGATAAATACAACTTACGAAGCAAACCAATCTCTACAAAATCTCTTCATCTAAGATATTGAGAGAATAGATATTTAACGAGAAAATAACATCAGTTTAGTGGCCAATAATAACTAAACCGTTATAAATATTTACCTGGTTCTGAATATTACGTATGTTAACGATGTCTTGTTTCTGATTTCTAATCTTCTTATAGTAAGTACGCTGTTTAGTTTGGGTTACGTAGTTAATAATTTCAAAACAAATGAAAGATGGTCGAGTAATATTACGAATTGACTGAAGTTGCACTTGCACGCAATCAGATACTGACTTAGTAATCTAGATGTTAAGCGTTCTTGTTCAATGCCGAAGGTCCTTAATTGAATTCCTGGTTGAATGATCATGGATGAACACCTCTGAAAAAGCTCAAACTAAGACAAAGTGACTATTCCGTGTTCTTAGGCTACCCAGTGGTGATCTAATTCAGATCGGTTCGTGATTTAAATTATAAGAATTGATTTATTTAACTTGTCAAAGTTTGATTCTCTGTATATACACCTGGTTACTATTCTCCCCTCCCCTCCCCAAAAAAATTTTTTTCAGGAAAATGAACTGAAATCATTATTAACCGATTTACAAGAAACTATGGAAACAAAATTAGATCGTGATGAAATGGAACAATTAAGAGAATGGTTAGAGAAACGATTTAAATCAATTAATAAACGTCTTAATTCATTTTCACATGATACATCACCAACTAGACAAATAACAGATGAAGCTGCTGGTTTAAAACGTAGTCTTATGCAACATTATCATTGTATATCATGTGATCGTCCATTAGAAGTTGCTTTAAGTCAAGAGTAAGTTAAATTGTTTTGTTAATAAAATATGAAGCTCTTTAAAGGATAAACTAGTAAGAGTAACATAATATAGAGGGATGTGTTTGAAACTACCCCCCAGTCAGTTGTTACACAATTGGGGTAATAGATTTTGCAATGAGATTAGTTGTTCTAAAGAAAAAAAAAACTAATAGTGTGGTGTACGAATGCTCAGTTGGAGAGACCAATTTATAGTCGAATGAGAAGGTGGTCTTCAGTTTTCAGTATTCAGTAATAAGGATAGTAGGTTGATGAACCTGTGTTAATCCTGACAGATTGCCTTCCAGTGAAGGTCCAGGTTTTCCTTGAAAATGTTCACTGATGGGGTTGATACCATTTGTTCGGGTAATGCGTTTCAATCATTGACCAATCGATGAGAAAAACGGGACCCCACCTTTAGTTTATTATGTTTGTGAAACTCCTTACTATGACCTTGGAGATTATTAGTGTTGAAAATGAACTTCTCCGTTTTGTGGAGATTTTAGTAATTTTATATAGTTGAGATCATGAGTCAATTGAAGCTAAACCACCATGGAAAACCTGGAAGCACTTTACGGCCGTTTCGTTCTATTGTTGTCTATCGGTTAAGTGCTTTGGCGCGAGACTGGTAGGTCCTGGGTCCGAATCTCACGAGTGCGGGATCGTGGATGCTCACTGCTAATGAGGAGTCCCTTAATAGGACGAAACGGCTATCCAGTGCTTCCAGGTTTTCCATGGTTGTCTAGCTTCAATTGACTCATGATGTCAACTATATAAAATTGTATTCGAATGGCTGAATTACACAATGATTTAGTAAAATGTGAAAAATCAATTGTACATATTCTTTGAATTGTCTCTTACAAAATTCATTGTTCTTTAATTCTTGTTGTTATCTTGATTGCTTTCAGTTTCCTTTCTTCCTTTCATTTCAATCTTCTCCATCTTCTGCTCTCAGACATTTCACTTTTGACTGGTGTTACATACTACTTATATCTGCAAACATAAGTAGCATATACCGCAATATTGCAAATAGTAACGGGACACCGTACAAATAATAAAATGATTTTACATAATTGATAAATCTCTTGTAGTCTTTTACAAGTTTTTCGGTGGGTAAACTGAATAAACGACAAACAAATTAGCCCTTATGTACATTTATTAGGATCCAAACTAATTTTCAGGGCTCTTCACATTGTTCTTTCTTAGAGTTAGAATGTGGGGTATTCAAGGCTAGGGTTTGGATCAGGATTACGGATTTAGGGTTAGGATTTAAGGATAAGGTTAATTTTTATGTAATTTACAATCCAAATGTAACAAATCAGTCATTCGAAACGCTGAACACTCTTGTTCATTCTTATATCAAACATTCGAAACACTATACAAATCTATCTCCACTGATATTTTCTATATGAAATAGGACAAAAGTCATTCACTTTCGAATCTAGAGCATATCGTATCATTTAGCATAGTCAACTGTAGTATGCACATCTTTTGGACAGTAATGAAGAGTGTAACCAATCCTTTTTAATTGTTTACAGTTTCTATTCATCCTTTTCATTATCTGCTTCCAATTCTTAGCTCAGGGTGTTCTTTGGTCTTCTTCTTTTTTGTTTCTCTTAAAGAGTTTAAGTTAGTACTTGCCTTGTGATACAGTTTAATGATTTCAGTAATATATGTTCTATTCACTCCCATCGTCTTTTCCTTATTTCTTTTTCAGCTTGAAGCTAATTTGTTCTTTCTTACATTAAGCTGTTACTGATGGTATCCAGGGTAATATTTTCTACTTATTACAACAGCACAGTGTTTATTAGTTGATTGTTAATTTAAGCTTGGCCTTATTAAATTCAGACTGAAGTCATGGTAGTTAATCAGTAGATAAACAATGGTTGATTAAAATTTAGTTTAGGAATGATTATTCTATTTCCTAACTTACCGTTTTTCCATTATCTATAAAACTATTTGACATTGTTGAACCTAGAAGAACACAGAAGATGTACTATGGTAGTTGTTTAAAATAATTAAATTAGGTAAAGTAAATGATTAAGCTTGGTTTTAGAATGTAAGCTAGTAAATATCTATAACAGATCCTATAGTTTTCGCGTATCGGCAAAGCAAGAACAGTATATTTACAATTGAAAAACATCTGGAACTCAAAAGAATTGTCTGTCAATCAACACCAACATAAGAATTTTCAATACAAATGTCAAGACAGTTCAACTGTATGGAACGAAAACCTGGAGAACTACAAAGGCCATCATCCAGAAGATATAGGTGTTTATTAACAGTTGTCTACGCAAGATACTTAGGATCTGTTGGCCAGACACTATCAGCAACAACTGTCTACTGTGTGAGAGAACAAACCAGATTCCAATGGAGGAAGAAATCAGGAAGAAGTGGTGGAAGTGGATAGGACACACATTTAAAAAAGCAGTCAACTGTGTCACAAGACAAGCCCTAACATGGAATCCTGAAGGTCAAAGGAAAACAGGAAGACCAAAGAACACATTACGCCGAGAAATTGAGACAGACATGAGAAGAATGAACAAAACTTGGATAGAACTAGTAAGGGAGGCTCAGGACAGAGTGGGTTAGAGAATAATAGTTGGCAGCCTGTGCTCCATTGGGAGTAACATGAGTAAGTAAGTAAGTAATCCTATAGTTTTCTTGATTGACTAACTAAGCGATCTATTGTTAATTACTATTAATATTCACTGTCTCTTACTTTGAAACTAAAATGTATTCTCTATCTGATATCTGAAATTGTCTGATTCAGTATAGTACTTGAAAGCTGACAAGTGAGATATTAGCTTATCTGGATAAAGTTTACTACTGTTTACCAATAATGTTAGTAGTTTAATGAAAAGAATTTCTAATTGAATTTCGACAATTTATAACCCTCCAAATTACAAACAGGAAGACAGAAGAAGACTGAAGAAAATGCTTGTTGGGCAAGAATCAAAATGTACAGAAAACCATTAGTATTTATAGATATTAGCGTTTCTTATATTAACATAATAATTCAACCAATCTGCGAAGAGGTATGGCGTGCTACTAGCCAATAGTAGCATGATACATTGATATTTGTAAAAAGCTCCATTGCGTTCTGATTGGATGGAAATCTTCGGCTACTCTAGGGACTCTGGAGGCTCCGTTGTAGTTCTCAGAAGCCGCCGCAACATAATGTTATATGAAGTGGATGGTCTGATCGTGGAGCTTTCGTTGTTCTTCTGAAGAATATCATCAGCACAAACTTTTAATCAGATTTCATTTTGGACTTTTTATTAAATATTATTGAACATTGAATATTCTGTTTAAAAAAAATTGAATCATTCAGAACATAACTGATCATATCTTTAAATCAAAATGGGTTTTGTGAAGATTTTTTAGTAATTTTATAGTTGAATTCATGAGTCAGTTGGAGCTAGACCACCATGGAAAACATGGAAGCACCGGACGACTGTTTCGTTCTATTGTTGGACCGGTCAGTGGCATTGCGCATCCACGATCCAGCCTCTCAAGATTCAGACCCAGGACCTATCAGTCTCGCGCTCAATGACCAGTGGAGTTCAGCCGGGTCTATTGTAAATCACTGAACATAATGGCAGATGTGTCGCTCAATTTCGTGAATCGGTTGAAGTTAGACATTAACACCGTTGAATGCTGGCCAGCTCGGTGGTCTAGAGGTTAAGCGCTCGCGTGCTAAACTGATAGGTCCTGGATCTGAATCTCACGAAGCGGGATAGTGGATGCGCACTGCCGTTGAGCAGTCCCACAATAGGATGAAACGGCCGTCTACTGCTTACAGGTTTTCCATGGTGGTTTTGCTTCAGTTGGTTCATGATCTCAATTATAGTATCCACGAAACCCCTTCTGATATTAAATATTCATATTCTTAATTCAATAGATATTTAGGCAGTTATCCAACTGACAATCGTGGTTTCCCAATGAATAAATCCATACGACCATATACCACATTTGATTTGGAAAGTTTACGTCATCAAATACAAACGTAAGTTATTAGTTATCATTATATCCTTTCTCTTCCTCGGTCTCTCTCTTCCTCGATCTCTCTCACTCTATTCAATTTTTAATATTTTGAAGACTTTTAATTCGAACCTTAAATACTACTTATAACCCTAACTTCAATATTATGCATGGTAAATGTTAAAGAGTATTGTTATTTCATTCTAGATTGACTTATTTATTATGAATTTGAAGTTGTTCCCTTGATTCTAATCGGTTCAGCAGTATATTGGAACTTTACCTCAAATTTTTGATGATAGTTAGAAATAGGTCTCTTGGGTTGATTATCGACATAATGAATGAAAGATAGCAGCATACAATTTAGCAAGCCCCAAAAGCACTGTATGCATAATTCTAAGCAAGGACGATATCTAACCTACTTCAGTGAGAAAAAAACAAACATTGAACGTATTTAATTTCATTGTGCTTTCTTATCACCATTTATTATTTACATATTTGAACACATAAATATTGGTAAAAAGGGGAACCGAATACATATGCGCCACAGTTCATCATTCCACTTGTGTCAGGGCTGGACTACTGGCCGGGTTCCCAAACCAAAGCAGATCGTTTTCTTAGAGGGCCAATCCCCGAACTTTCGACCTAAAGGTCTAATCCATAAGGCCGTGGGGAGACGTTACGAGATGCAGTCCCATGGTAGTCGGTGACCAACAATAGGTTTATACGTCATTTGTTGTCTAAGGATCCTGGAGCTCATTTGAACGAGTGGTTTAGAATCAGGGTTTGCCAATTGCCCTAGGTGGGCCATCCATATCTACCAACCCGGTTAAAGTGCCGGAAATTCGCTTTTCTTCTTCTCAATTTTTTAAACAACACTCTCGACGCCAGAAGTCAGTGAGTAGGACTTCCCTGGCAGTGGTTGTATGCATGTGGCCATGTGAGTGTATTTAAAGATGGAGAGCTGACTCTCCGCACTTTTGGCCGTACTAAGGCATTTGGAGGCCTATCGTCAACTCATTGAGAAAATGATAAAAGATTGATTTGAATCGTCTAATCACTGAAGACATGACAAACTATCCTATACGAAATCATTCAGATTATCTAACAGCGTAAAATAGACTGAAATGGATTAGAAATTCTTGGTAAAGCAAACCAGTTATCTATTATATCTTTAATATTTCTACTTAAAAAGTCACAAAAAGAACCATTATCACAACAATTCTTAATTAATAGTTGAAAGCATCAGTCAATTGAAGCTAGACCACCAAGGAAAACCTGGAAGCACTGGACAACCGTTTCCTCCTATTGTGGAACTCCTCAGTGACAGTGCTCATCCACGATCTCGCCTCGCGAGATTCAAACCCAGGTTTTTCTTGATGGTCTAGCTTCAATTGACTAATGCTTTCAACTATGAAAATACTGAAATCTCCACAAAAACCTCTTCTAATTATTAATTCATTAAAATGATAATCAGGAATACTCTAATGTCAATGAAGTAACTTTTTTCCTCTCTTACCTACATACGACCCTTTGCTTTTTAATATAAACTTCGGTACCATATAAGAAATGGGTAAGCTTAAGATAAAACATTTGAAAAATGACAAAGAATGAGGGACAGACGCCTACACAAAAAAATTGAAGAAATGAGTGAAGTAGAGAATTAAAAGAGTAAAATCATTTAGTGAATGAAAATTATCAGAAGGGGTTTTTGTGGAGATTTTAGTAACTTTATAGTTGAATTCATTCGTTTCGTCCTGTAGTGGAGCTCCTCAGTAGTGTGCATCTATGATCTCACCTCGCGAGATTTGAATCCAGGACCTATCAGTCTCGCACGCGAGCGATTAACCTCTAGATCACTGAGCCGGCCAGCATCTAACGGTGTTAATGTCTAACTTCAACTAATCCATGAAATTGAGCAACCTTCCACCATTTTCTTCAGTGAGTTACTATCTCACAACAGATCTGGTTGAACTCCACTGATCATTGCTTCTCATTAGAACTCCAGGAAATATCTCTTGAAGCCAATCACCAGTGAGCATATCATCAATATCAGAAGAGAGCAACCATCCACCATTGTGAAAATTTTTTCTTTTTTCTGTATGATACTTTCTAAAATCAAAATCCTTCTAAGAAACTAATTAAGTTACATTCATAACAAGAAATAAGTAGTTAATAAATGAATCTTCAAGAGATGAATAAATCAAATTAAATTATTACTATTATTAAATTAAACTGAAAATGTCATTACTACTTATAACTGGAAAAAAGTAGCATACTATCTATAATAAGTAGTATAATATTGTAAACAATATTAATTCAATATATAGGCGGCTTACTTGAACATCTGGACTACTTGTCCCTATGTTCTAGATATGTCAACAACTTATCTGATTTTGTACGTTACTGAAAAGTGTACAAAATTTTCGAATTCACTTGTCTATATCGAGGCAATACACACAGTATGCATATATGCCAATAAGGGACTGATGAATTTCAATCCTAAAAATCAATAGGAAGATTCAAACAGACAATACTAAGTGAATTTAAACTTCACCCCATTGCGCAAGCAGGTAGCAATCAGGACTCAGTAGCTGATTAAATAACGCGATGACATTTGCAGCGAACGGTACTGGGTTAGAGTCCCAGAGTGAACATCGACAAGTCTGAGATACATTTACATCCAGCTGATGAGTACCAAATAGGACAAAACGAGTATAGAAATTCTCGCTGTATAAGTTACATAGACCCAATTAGAGATATTATGGTTGATGAATATATTCAGGGAAATGAATGAACATTATTTAAATGTCGATTGGCTGGACTGCTAACTTCTAACTGCTGATCAATCAATATTTGTTGTCAGGATCGATCAAGAAGTAAAAAACCGGAAACTTGTTGAAATGCATTGTGTTCAAAATTCTATATTGTACGAAAAATATAATGTTGAATAAAGCAAATGCTAATGATAATATGACAGACTAATTTTAAGAGTTACTTCTCTAATATTAGTAAATACTATGATCAGACGATCTTAACTATGCCGATTGTGGTTTGATCATTGATCAATGAATAACATTGAAAAGTAATCGCTTACTATTGCCAGTCAACTGAAGTTAGAAATGTAAATCAGTAATATAATAGTTAAGCACTCACTATGAAACACAAAAATCTTAGGTTCGATTCCTTTTGAAGTTCATGAGTCCTATATTAAGACAAAACAGCTGTCTAATACTTACAGGTTTTCAATGATTTTTTTTAGCTCAGATTGATTCGTGATATCAATAAAATCCGACAATCTCTTCAATCCAATACTGATTGTAGTGGCTCCTTTCAATATCTGTCATAAAACTATACTACTGGATTCATCTCTTTATGGTAGATAGATATAAACCTTTTTCTTTGGAACCGAATAAACAAAAGGTCTTGGCGATGACTGACCTTTGCACCTATTTATAAACTTTAGTGGATAACCATATAATATTAATGTGCCAGTCAGCGACGTTTTGTCTTTTTCAACCGTATTAGTAATGCAAATTCTTTGAATTCTATCAAAGAGACACTTAATCAAGCCTCACTTGTATTGCAATGGACAGAAACTATGGAAATTCAAATATTGCTCTGTCCAATTTGTTTTCCTATAAACTAACCGTCTCATAGTACCATCCTCCCTTCGACTTAAAGGTATATCTATAAAAGGCGATTGGCTTTTATTTTCTGCTTCCTAGTTCAGTACGATATCGTTTTGAACGATATTAACTTTATCTAATAATTGGGAAACCTCAAAATCTTTATCATATATAACTAGTATATCATCCACGTATCTACTGTACAAAGTTGCCTCGCTAATGAGCTTACTCGTCCTATTTTCAACATATGACATGAATAAATCAGCTAAAAGAAGTCCCACAGAGCTACCCATAGCAACACCATCAACTTGTCAAAAATATTCTCCGTCAAACATGAATTGAACATTAGCAGTACATAATAAAAGTAATTCTTTCAACAATAATGACCAAATAGGAAAAAAGGGAGAAGTTATTAGATATATGGTTACAAAAGAAATTCACAGTTTTTATTAACGATACATTCGTCAAAAAAAAGAGTTTACATCAAAAAATTCAAAGTCTTATCTTTATTATTGGTGTCGTCATCAGAATCAAGTCTTATTTGATTTGCATGCAGGCTGTGATACTGCCCAGATGCCCAAACTTAAGCAGCTGATTTTCCTAGGGGACTACACCCGGAGCCTAGTCCACAAGGCATTGGAGTATCATGTAGAGATGCAGTCACATGGTAGCTTGTGACCAACGATTGATTCGTACGCCATTTGTTCCCTCAGGATACTGGGGCCCATGTGCACCATTGGTTTGGAATCAGGGTTTTCCAAATACCCTAGGTAGACCCTTCGTATCCAACAACCCGGTTAAAGCGTCGGACATTCTCTTTTCATCCTCTCAATTTCGTAAACAACAGTAGTGCCACGAGAAGTCAGTGAGTAGGACTTCCCTGGTAGAGGCTATATACGCGTGCCCATGTGAGAGCATTTGGAGAGGGCGAGCGAACTCTCCCCACTCTCGTCCATACGAGGGCATTTGAGCGCAAAAGATTTGACAAAATGATTTCAAATAGTTTTTACAATCTATTTTTTCATATTAATATTGCTCACATGATTTGCTTACCTATTCGATTGCATAATTATTCAAGAACTACAATGATGTATATCTTTATTGACTTATTTGTTAAATATAATTTACTTGTTGAGTGAATGTATATTTTTTTCTTATTAGAATGGGGATCATAGAGATTGTAGTGATTTTTTTAATAGTTGTATTTATGAGTCGATGTAAGCTAGACCACCATTAAAAACCTGGAAGTATTGGATGGCTGTTCCATCCTAGTATGGAACTCCTTAACAGTACATATCTACGATTGCACATGAGGGATTCGAGACCAGGATCTTCGGTCTCGCTTGCGAATGCTTAACCCGTAGACCACTCAGCTGGCTGGCATCCAACGGTGTTAATATCTTACTTTTATCGATCCATAAATGACTGTACAACCATTCATCCATTGTTTGAGGTAGATACCTGTTTCTACCCAATATCGATTGGACTCTACTGGTCACGGTTTCTTACTAGAACTCCAGAAAATCTATCTTGGAGCCGGTCACTAGTCAGCACATGATGATTATTATCAGAATGGAGGTTTGTGGAGATCATTGATACTTTTTGTCTGAGGACGAGACGGTCGTCCAGTGTTTCCAGGTTTTCCATGATGATCTAGCTGACATTGACTCATAAATTCAAAATAAACTAAGACTTATTATAGGTTTCCATTACCAAAGTTGAACTTGATAGTTTCAAATGAATTGGGCACTAAGTAGAAAGTCGACAATAAATATAGTTTTCCTTGTTATATCACAATGATCAGAAAGAGGTTTTGTGGAGATTTTTTAGTAATTTTATAGTTGAATTCATCATTCAATTGAAGCTAGACTACCATCGAAAACCTGGAAGCACTGTCCATCAGTTTCGCGCTATTGTGTAACTCCTCAGCGGTGTGCATCTACGATCCCGCCTCGCTAGATGCGACCCAGAACCTATGAGCTTCGCACACGAGCGCTTAACTAATAGATCACTGAGCCGACCGGCATCCAACAGTGTTGATGTCTAACTTCGACCACTCCACGAAATTGAACAACCGTCCACCTTGGCCCATAAAGTTACATTATTATGTAACTAAGTGAAATGATTTTACATAATGAAATTATATGCCCAAATATATATGTATATATACATTATTTTACTTTTCATCTATTTTATCTATAGACGATCTAATAAAGCATTTTATATAGATCCACCATATAAACGGTAACTTATTACATCATAATGTATCACAATTTATTATTTAATTAATTAATGCACATGATCATTTTGATGAAGTTTTATTCTCTGAGCTGGATAGTTTGGTCGTGAAGCTTTTTATCGTTCTTCTGAACGACATAATCATCAGCATAAACTTCGAGTAGAAGTGAAATGTTCGAATTTCTCCGCATATGGTTCAGAGTTTATCCTGTACAAGATGTATACAATGAAAGCTTTGACTCACATGTCCTCGTCGTACATCCTGGATCATGGCAAACATCCCATGTACTAACATAAGCGGTAATGTGGATGATGGAGATCGACCTAATCAACCACTCTATCTATACCCGCAAACGATTAAGAATGCTACAAAGAGTCATTACATAACTATTGAGAGTCTGCCCAAAAGAAACGAATGAGAGTGTTATGTAATGGTTCTGTGTAAGCAGTGCAAAAACAACTATCCTGCCGTGCTTCGATGTAGCACTCTTCTCCAGAAGAGGCTACTAGGCTTCACCATGTTCCTATGACTGGAAGAGGCACCACCCCCCTCCATGACCAAATCATCCAACTCAAAGTACAAAACTTTATCAAAACCATCCACCTGAGCTTCAATTATTCTTCACCAGCACATAATCATTCATATGAAATTTTTTTGTATTTTGATCGATTGGTTACATTCCTTTCCTTGTTTTTTTCAATCTTTTTTCTTTTATTTTAATCAACATTTTTCAGTATGTTGCATCATCTTCATTTATCTCTTCATTGTGATCTTTTTGTTTGTTTGCTTGCTTGCTTATCCGTATCCCTGTGACAAATATATGCATATGACATTTAAATGTGTTGATATGAAAAATCTATACAAAACTGATTTTTCATTGATTGGGTGAAAAATAATTCCACTGGTCACTGCTTCCCATTAGTGAGCATATAATTATAGATGAGAAGAGGTTTTGTGAAGATTTCAGTATTTTCATAGTTGAAATCATGAATCAATTGAAGCTAGACCACCATGGAAAACCTTGAGGCACTAGACGGCCGTTTCGTCCTAATATGGGACTCTTCAAACATCGTGGATTGGTTGAAGTTAGACATTAACACCGTTAGATGCCCACCGGTTCAGTGATCTAGAGGTTAAGTGCTCTGGCGCGAGACTGATAGGTCCTGGGTCTGAATCTCGCGAGCACGTGATCGTGGATGCGCACTGCTGAGGATTACCGTAGTAGGACGAAACGGCCGTCCAGTGCTTCCATGTTTTCCATGATGGTCTAGCTTCAATTGATTCATGATCTCAACTATTGAAATTTGATCTTTCTTTATGAATTTTCTTGCTGATTATTTTTTTGGGTGGGGGTTTGCTTTATTATTGATTAATGTGACATATTTTCAAACTCTAAATTTTTCCGATTACTACTTATACTCTTACTACTTCTACCACTATGGGATTTGAATCGACAACTTCATCTCTGTGTTAATGTGATATGGCAACTCGAACTGATGTACGTACGTACGAAGTTCTACGTTGTGACTGACTGACTGATTAACATAACGAATGAGTTTCTCTTGTAGTGTATATTACTCATTAATTATTTTTCAAAAGTGTAGATAATTTTAATAGTTGAATTCATAAGTTGATGAAAGTTAGATTATCATGAAAAACATGGAATCGCTGGATGGCCGTTTCCTATTAGTGTAGGATTCTTCAGCAGTGCGCATTCACGATCTCACCTTGGAGATTCGAACCTGGGACCTATTGGTCTCACACCCGAACGTCTAACCTCTAAACCACTGTAGGTAATTGTTTGAACTTATTTAAAGTATATTTAAAGTGTATTTAAAGTGTATATTTCAAAGTTTCTATTTGGAAGAGGAAAAATATGTTACTCAGTTATATAATTACATTTATCAGTAAGACTATAATTCATGGACGATCTTCGAGCAATGCTAAATTAACTTTGAGAATGTCCACCTACTAACCAGAACTAAGTGAGGGTTATAAACTAATATGAAGAATTACAATTATGATTTACTGTTGATGGTTAGGGTTAAGAATTAGATTCAGAGTTTTCATCACCAACTGATATTAGCTAATATGCCAAAATGTTATTTGGACAAATCAATGGATGAACTTCGCTCCGAAATCCGAGACCCGTTATCTTATATCTGATTAATTCGTTCATAAATTATAATCTCTCTTTATTTATTAGTTAATGCAATTAATCTGTTGACTTAGTGAGTTGGATACTCACGTTAAATTATTGACTTAATAATGTGGACACTAACAGTAACTCAATATGTTAGAATTTATGTATTGATTGGACATTTAAGACAAAATTTATAAATCAGAATTGAATCTCTCGTGTGGGATCGTAGATGCGCACTGCTGAGGAGTCCCACAATAGGACGAAACGGCCGTCTAGTGCATCCAGATTTTCTATGGTGGTCAAGCATAGATCAACTAATGAATTCAAGTGATATGATTAAAATTAGTCTATGATGTAAATTAAAAGTTGAAGAGAGATGGCTTGTGGCTAACAGTGGAATATAAAACTCACGTTTCATCCTATTTATGACTCACTAATATGATTTGCCTGCTGTACATACCGTTGATATTTAGTCTGGGAATTGAAGCCATTACCGTTCACTTCAAATGTTATCACATCATCCATTTAGCTAATTATTCCATTGACTTGTGTAGTGAGGTGAATTTTAATTCCTTTTTGTATTGGTTTTTTGAATCGTCCATTAATATTTAAGACTGCAATTGATCAATCTCTTTGAACATATCAAATATGTATGAATAAAAATTGAACAAGTTATACAAACTACTTATTTTAATCAACAATTCAGTAGTCTTGTACAACAGTTTTTACAACAATAATTATAACTCATAATATCAAGATATTGAGATGGTGGAGAACACTTCACTACTACCCGAAGTTTGTGCTGATGATATCGTTCAGAAGGACGATGAAACCTTCACGACGAAACCATTCAGCTCAGAGAACAAAACTCCATCAAAAAAACATCAGGATATTAATAATTTAGCTCGAATAATCTATTTTCTATCATTTATACCTGATGGTAATTTCATTTACTTACTTACTTACCTACGCTTGTTATACCCAATGGAGAATAGGCAGCCGACCAGCATTCTCTAACCCACAATAACACAAATTCATGCACTTTTTATTTTCCTCTAGACCTTGGATTTTCAAGTTATTCTACACCTTTTAGTCCTGTGATTTTATTCTCTTTCGAATCACATTCTGTGCATGATCCGTTTTACTTTCTTAATTACTTCTTACGTCTGTTACCTCCAATGGAGCATAGGCCGCCGACCAGTATTCTCTAACCCACTATGTTCTGGGCCTTCCTTTCTAGTTTTATAAAATTTTTATTCATTCTTCTCATGTCTGTCCCTATTTCTCGGCGTAATGTGTTCTTTGGTCTTCCTCTTTTCCTTTGGCCTTCAGGATTCCATATGAGGGCTTGTCTTATGACTCAGTTGGGTGACTTCCTCAATGTGTGTCCTATCCACTTCCAGCACTTCTTCCTGATCTCTTCCTCCGCTGGAATCTGGTTTGTTGTCTCCCACAGTAGGTTGTTGCTGATAGTATCTGGCCAACGTAGACAACTGTTAATGAACACCTGTACCTGGTAATTTCATTGATTCACTTAATTACTTACTTACTTACTTAATGGAATTGAAAAAATCTAATTGATAAGTCGGTACATATCTGGGTATCATAAGTAATATTTATACTTATGACATTGTTTCTAATGTCTTAAGTAAATTCTAATCTCTAAGCCTATTTTTATACCTTTCAAGGTAACCTTTTTACAACAACATACATTAATGCTTCTACCTCAACCAAAACGACGTACCCACATATACACACACAGAGGGATATATTGTAACTTATTCCTTTCACAATTAATTGCATTGCACCTGTTTACCCATTTCTGTGTATATAGAATGATGTAGTGCATGAGTTTGTTGTTCTTTCATACGTATATTTATGCTTCATAATTCACATTAATTGATGTAATTTATTAAGTGACCTACACATTTCTTACATCCTGAAATAAGTATACAACTATGTATAGTTTTTTTTTTATCATAGTTCAAATTATCATTGAAGGTTTGAAAGCACTGAACTGTTGTTTCTTCATAGCATGGGACTCTTCAACAATAGGTACACATAACCATCTAGCATCCAGGGTTCGAACCCGGGACAATCTATCTTTTATGTAAACTAGTGGGTTATGACCAATGTCTTATATGCCAATCTAGAACGTCACATTGTAAATCCCCATCTCTACAAATCTAATCATACTGATAAAATTCCTATATTAGCTATTTGTCTAAATCAAAGGTGAATGACGGCTAGCATTGGAATCGAAGACTTACACCTTATCTTATTTGAGACTCATCTGACGGATGTATCTACATCCAAGTTGATGTTCACTCCAGGACTCGAACCTAGTACCGTTTACTTTGGACATCATCGCATTATCCACTTAACTACTGAGTTCCGATGACCACTAGCTAGTCACTATCCATCTTTGCTTATAATGCTTATGAATCAAGGTAATATCGAAGCAATACGCATAGAATGCATATATGTCAATAAGAGATTGAACATCAATGAAAGGAGATTCAAACAAACAACACAAAATTAATGCGATTGTTAATTAATAAAAAACAAGATACAATCCAAAACAATCTTGTTATTACTAAAGAAATCAGACTAATAACATGAAAATGATTTCAATATTCTATGAACAACAATAACAACAATTCCTGGTATTTTAAATAGCCAATCCATGTTCTATCTGCTTATATGCATATATAATCTGAATGTAATCAATATATTGTAAGCAAAGATGGATAATGGCTAGCAATGGAATCCAGTTTGAAACCTGTTTCGTCCTATTTGGGACTTGTTAGCTGGATGTACCTGCATCTCAGACTTGTTGATGTTCACTCTGGGACTGGAACCCAGTACCTTTCGCTTCAAACGCCATCGCGTTATCCACTTAGCTACTGATTCCTGATAGCCACTTGCTCGTGCAATAGGGTGAGATGCAGGTACATCCAGCTGACGAGTCCCAAATAGGATGAAACGCGCGTCCTGGATTTCACTGCTAGCCACTATCCATCTTTGCTTACAATGCTTGTGAATTAAAGCTATATCGAGGCAATACGCACAGTATACACATATGCTAATTAGAGACTGGTCAATTGCAGTCCTAAACATCAATGGGAAGATTCAAACAAACAATACTAAGTGAATGTAATCAATATACATTATAGGCAGGAGAGAGGCATTAACAAAGTCTTCTAAGAAAAAGGTTGTTATCTTCCCTACCTTTTTCCTTTTTTTTAAATCAGATCTAATTGTAATTATTATGATGTTTATGGTGGTACACCACGTCAATGTGGTGGAACTCATACAACTGCACCATCATCCAAAAGAAAATCACGTGCAACAACTTGTAAAAGGTTAGTTTTCTGAATGTATATTACCAAGTATTTCGTTTTATTGATGACGCTGCCTATTAAATTTAGTTGGGGAAATGTTTCTTTTTCAGAGTTCTCTACAAATTTTACGGACTATCTAATGTGTGTGCTTATGTCTAAGAATTGCATGAGTTTTTGCTTGTATAATTTATATATGTTGGCAATATGCAAAGGGTACGCGTGTGGGTTAGCACAAGAAACGTAAGCTGAAAAAATTTCTACCATATGTTTACTAAAAATAAGCCGGCCTAATCCTTCAGGTTGAAGATATAAAAAACATAATGATGGCAAATACTAGGGAAGGAGACCATCAACCTTCCCTGAAAGAGTGTTTATGCTTATGTGTATGTCATAAATGCATGTGGTATCGGCTATTATGTTTAAACCCATATAACTTATTCTAGCTTCTGGACAGGCTAATTAACCCATTCTTCTTGAGTCACGTTTTGACCTTGTTAATTATTTACTTATCAACGTTGACTGTACGTGTGCATACACTTCTTATCCTACTCATCACATGATTGTAACGTATTTTTATCTGACTATAAATATCGATTGACGATTGACTAAATGAAGTCGGCTCACAGGCCTTCCCCATCGCCCATCATTTCGCTTTGCTTCTCTGAATGTCTGTCCAGATCAGTGAGTGTATAAAACGTATGTATTCAAAATTTTTTCTCGTATTCGACTCATTTAGTTCCGTTATACACTAAAGCGGATTAAATCGATGAAATATACGAAGATAGGTGATATACATATTTCGGTAGCAATCATTCAATAACGATTATTTGTCTGATCTCACTGGAGTCAGATAAAGAGCCACTAAACGCAAGAGAGAAAGCCTCTGTACTAGTGATATGCATGTAACTTGTATGCGACTGTCAACCTTATCAAACACGTTCAAAGGGAATGGTGATCATCTGCCCTCCCAGGTGGGGGAACAGACCTGTATTTATTCTATAGGACTCACGAGTGAAAACGTATGTATTACAGGTACGCATCTAGACCATACTTTCCCATGGTGCGACGCCCGCTCGCAAAGACCTCGAAATAACAATTTCTTCACAAAATAATATCCACATGGTCGGTTTGTGAGCCTTGAGAAGTAGAAACCATTTCCAGAAAAGCCAATCCAGCCCCACCGGATAAGGCTTGACCAACCTTAGCACGTCTGAAACACCGTCCTATATCAATTAATTTCTAACCTAAGTACCTTACCTAGAAGATAAGTGGTGCTGAATAACAGTACTCACAATGTAACTATATTGATAAGCATTTGAAATGGCTCAAATTGTATTTCTTACTTTAATCACTGAACTCTTCAGGATAATCACGTGATTCATTAGTCCAACACTTTCATTTCATCGACCCATTTTGGCTATGATATTTTGTTATTCATCTATCAGAACACTGATATATCTAATTCCATATAAACTGTCAGTGAGTAAAAGATCATGGTTCAATGAACTGGTGGTTTAGTCAGACTGAAGTTGTCGACATTATTCGATCATCCTACTGACATTTCTATTTTTCAAAACTAACAACATTTAATAATTGATTAACCAAGTCTATACCTATTGAGTGTGCTATATCGAGTGAGTGCGTGCCCTGGTAATATATGAAGTTATAAGACTACCTATCAGAGAGGAGTGAATTATCGATCGGACAAGTGATATACAAAAACCGTATGAACAGTCTTGAGTACTTATCAGTCCTGCCATCTACCTAGCCAAGTCAGTTAAGGCCAGAACACCAATCTCAGCCTCTGCAATATGAATCATTATTCTCAAACATACTGGTTTTATATACCAAACAAACAGACCACATTGTAACATAAAATAGGAAACAACATTTGTACAAGATTTAGCCGAAAGTGTCTGTGAATAGGGGGAACAGTAATTAATGGACTAGGGATAACTCAAGAATGGTAAATATTACAATAATAGTCCAAGGGTCAGAATATAGCTCACAATGAAAGGAACATGAATATGAATAGTTAAGTTACTTAGCAATAGGGAATAAACATATCACATTGGTCCATAAATAGCCCTCAAAGTTACCATTCATAAATCGCTTCAGGATATAACATAAACGATTGGTAAATGACTATAAACATGGCACACTAATGAAGAATACCTATTATACATTTCATCACGATCTCAGCCTATATTTCCTTGTTTACACCAGAAGGACTGATGTACACTTAACTAGGATTATTATTCATATTATTCAGTTTGTTAATTACAGCTTTCTAGTCAATTCTCTGTTTTTCATTAACAGGATAGGTTGAACAAATGTGGATACCTGAATCAGATAACTGATAGACGTAAAACTTGAATTTATTAGGAGATAAAAAACATCTATGCAATTGCATCAGTGGAACTAAATTTTGTCCCATGTAGCTTCAGCTTCCCAATTATCATTTACGTAAATGAAACGGGTCACAAGAGGGATCTCTGCACCTCGAAATATAACTTAGTTCAACAGTTAATAACTTCTTGAATTGATGGCAAATCTGGATCTTCTTACTTTTGGCCTGTTTTACAGTCTACTCCAGTACCAGAGAGTATAAAGCATCCGGACTTGCGGCCCCCTACTATGGGTAGAACATAATCCGACGATTTCAGTCGACAGAATTTTAGAATCACACAAACCGAACTGCCACCTAAATTTTGCGAACTTATGCCTAACCTTGACACTACTCCATGTTTTCATCAAATGTAGACAGCACTTTGAAAATATCAATTATCGAACATTAGCAATCTACGTTTTCAATAAAAAAAAGTAATACAGAGTGAACTACTGCACAATATACTCTTTCTTTTGTAGATGAATGGTACTAGTGACAAAAGTCTCACAAGCACTTTGTCACTGAGACATTTAGAGACTAAAATGAAACTGATTTTTGTTTAACAGTCGAGTTTTGTAGCCTAGTCAACAGAGTTCCAATTCAAGATTCCCATGAGTTTCAGTAATCAGCTTGTTACGTTCTAAGTTCTGGTCTAATAAACAGTACACTCTCATATTAACATGATCAATCAAAACAAGAACTCTAACAGAAAATCTAAATTATATTGATCACTGCTCATTTACTTGGTGAACTTAAGACAGCCCATGTTCTCTCTAGCTGTTCACAGAGCATCACATACTTATATACAATGTTTATTTATTTTATTATTTTATTAAAACACAAGTATTGGTACAAGGAAGGGACACCAGATATATATGCGCTACACAAATTTCATTTGATGTGTGTGAGGGCTGCGATAATACCCAGGTGCCCGAAATGAAGCAGATGGTTTTCTTAGGGGGCTACACCCGGACCTTTGACCTAAAGGTCTGATCCATAAGGCAGTGGAGTATCGTAAGGAGACGCATTCCCATGGTAGCCGGTGACCAACGATTGATTCATACACCATTTGTTCCCTCAGGATATTGGAGCCCATGTACACCATTGGTTTGGAATGAGGGTTTTCCAACTCCCTCAGGTAAACTTTCCGTGTCCATCAACCCGGTTACAGCGCTGGACATTCGATCTTCGTCCTCTCAATTTCGTAAACAACACCCGTGGTGCGAGAAGTCAGTGAGTAGGACTTCTCTGGCAGAGGCTATATACGCGTGGCCATGTGAGAGGATTTCGGGGTGGATAGTGGACTCTCCCCACTCTCGGCCGTACCGTGGCATTTGGGAGCAATGACAATCAATTTTATCTTTCATGAGTGTTGTCGGTGTCCATGAATATTCGTAACTATCTTACATTCCTTTGTAACTTATGACAGATAACAAATCACTGTATCTAGAAGGTTTTTTTGATTTTCAGATTTTGTTTCTTTGCTTTCAAGTAGTTTTCCTTTTTAATACTAATCTGTTGTCAAAATATGACATTTTGTTTATTTTCATTTAGCTCACTTCATGATGGTGATGTCACAACAAAGTCTTCCATTCCATATTCATACAGGTAATCTTAAAGCAGATTGACTGTTAAAATGATGTTATTCACTTATACAATATAGTTTTATTATCTTTTCTATTACCACTGATATTGTTACCATTTCTAGGATCGTGTGATGTATCTTCATAGTTTCACCTCTTTGTGTTAATATGATGTAATAACGTGAACTAGTATGTATATGTGCCAAGTTGTACGTTACATTTGACTAACCACTGAAGATCAAGAAGAACTGAACAGCTTTTTAGCCATATTGTGGAATTTCATGGTAGTGCTTAATCACAATCAGACTAGGAACAAAATGCAGAATCTTCAAACCATATGGCGAACATTACCACTAGAACCCCTTATTTGGATTCTGATTTTAATCAATTCATGTTATTAAATTATGATTTCACAAGGCAATTGGTGACAACAGTTTTACCGCAGGCCTCCACAGAGAGAGCTGAAGTTCTTGACTTCATAGTTATTCACTGCTGAATAGTCTGATAATAAGGTGAGAACGTTACCCAATCCAACCAGGAAATTAAACAAAAGCCAGAGAATTGTTAAAATCCTGAGATTCTTGCTAAGCGTCAATTAAAGAAAAAAAAACAGGTCCAAATTGATTTAGTCTCTTATTCACCAAAAAGAGGATAAACAACCGTGAGGTTAGAGATAAAGCTAAGTGATAAGTTAACTTAAATAAATGTCTAGTTAACTACTACGAAATTTTGGATAATAACTAATTGAATCTCAGGTTAAAAAAACAAGATTTTTGTCAATTGTAGAATCAGTCAGTAAGTCACAACGTAGAACTTCGTACGTACGTACATCAGTTCGAGTTGTCATACTACATTAACACAGAGATGCAGTTATCGATTGAAATCTCATAGTGGTAGAAGAAGTAAGAGTATAAGCAGTAAACCGAAAGATTAGGGTTTAAAGATGTTATTCAAGGAGTATAATCCAGTGAAATAAATTCGTAAAGAAAAAAAGGATACGGACATGAAGAATTCAGAAAATTAGAATTTGGCAGGACACAAACATTGGATGCACCTACGCCATTGCAAACGATTTTGAGCCATGTCATTCAAGTTCTCTAACCATCGATTGCTATCATCTCGCGGATTCCAACCAGGTAGTCTACACCTACTAACATGGCTCAGTCCACTTGTCAGTGACTTCATGAATTTGTGCCACGTTTTGGTCTGGCCACCCCTAGCTTTCTTCCAACCTACTCCTACACCATAAAACATTTCACGTCGTGGCCATCGGTGGTTGGGCATACGTAATACGTGTCCCAGCTATCTCAACTGATGAAGTTTCACTACTTCATCAATCGATTTGCTATCTTCTACCCGAAGTTTGTGTTGATGATGTCGTTCAGAGAGACGGTGAAAGCTCAACGACCAAACCATCCAGCTCAGAGAACAAAACTCCATTTAAATCACCCACCTGAGCTACAAATCTTCTTCACCATCTTATTTAGTTTGTGCATATTTTCAACTGAAATTTCTCTTTTCCTTTCTTTAGAGAAACTCTTAATTTACAAGGTATGGATGGTCATATTTATCGTGGTTCACCAATACAAGAAAATCAACATTTATTAAATAATAATGATTTATCAACAGGAAAAGATGAAGAGAATTTAGATAAAGATTCTGATCGAAATGAGAAGTTACCACCAGTTTCAAAGTCAAGTCGTTATGTTAATACAGTAACAGCTAGACCTCAAGTATGAGAGATATGTTTTGTTATTCGTCTTTTTTATGGGGGGGAGTCAATTTCATGAACATACTTTGAATTTGTTAGAATAAATAATTACAATAACGATGGTTAGGTATTCAGAGGCAAGTCAAGACTAACTACTTAACAATGAATTAATAGTAGTGCTATATGTAGAGCTTTAGATTCTTGCTATGCTGCGTACTACTAGACTACTTGAGTGATCGAACCTGCAGCATCGCAGGAGCGAAGACAGAAGACTAGTAAGTAGGAGTGTTATTCCCAACACAGTGTCAAATATAGTACAAAAATCTCATGAATTTATAGTTTTTTTGGCTGAAAGTAAATCATCATTTAGGACAGCCAAAAGGCACATAGGGGATCCTTCTTATTCATCCAATAGGTAAGCTACATGTCGACATTCTAGAATGTTCCCCTAGTGATAATTTGATGGAATGTCTTTGGCTCTTTCTGGGCTTCTTGAGGCTTCCTTGAGTTTGCCAACGAGCCATCCTTACAAGTAGATAGTTTCCATCAGTTGTAACAGCCAATAGTTGTTCTGTTTAAGTTTGAAATTCTAAAATAGTAAACAACTAATGTATTACGAAGTAGTAACTACGATTATGTTTGTCTAGTCTTTTAAAAATGATCAAATTCTATGAACCAAGCTTAAATAGAGTTTCTAGTTTGAGTAATTTGACAATATAAACTCTTAAAATGTTAATATACTGCATGTGCTATCAAAAGTGGTATTCGTTGTTTCTCAATGTACATGTGTTCACCAATATCTCTATCAGCTAAGTGATAACAGCTCAAACGGTAAAGTTGTACAACTCAGATTCCAGTCACAGAAAGTATCAGTCCACCAAAGAACAAAGACACACCTCGCTAATGAGTACCAACTAGCAATAAACCTATATAAAGCAGGATATTCCATCGAATACCTTCTCTACTGTACATCTCAGTTTTTAAAATATATGGCCCCACGTGAAATCGGAACCAGAGCCAGATTTCATCAAGAGAATATGATTGTTATTATTTTCTGAAAATAATTCATTTTTGAATGAAACACCTTTTTAAAGAATTCTATCTACTACTTATATCAATAATAAATATTCTCATTAATTAGAGGGTTGTAACACTTTCGAGTAAAACAAATCTCATCAAAACCCCCTTCTAATAATGATCATATGCTCACTAGTGATTGGCTCCATTAGATATTTCCTGGAGTTCTAGTGAGAAGCAATGACCAATGGAGTTCAACCGGGTCTGTCGTGAGATATTAACTCACTGAAGACATTAATGGATGTGTCCCTCAATTTCATAGATTGGCTGAAGTTACACATTAAAAGCGTTGGATGCCGGCTTAGTAATCTAGTGTTTAAGTGCACACGCGCGAGACTGATAGATTCTAGATTCAAATCTCGAGTGGCGGGATCGTGGATTCGCCATGCTTAGGAGTCCTACGATAGGACAAAACAGCCGTCCAATGCTTCCAAGTTTTTAACGGTGATCTAGCCTCAATCGACTCATGATTTCAACTATATGAAATTACTAAAATCTCCACAAAACTCCCTTGAAATTATGTATATCCTGTCTAAAATTTAGTTTAGATAAATATTAATTCATTTAAATAGTATCAATATCATATTAGACAATGTTAGTTTTAAAGTGTTTACTCTGTCTTCTTTTTTTCTTTCTGTTGTTTATTGATATGCAAATAGTTTGAAACATTTTTTAGGATGGGTACTATTGTAAGAATAGAAAAGGCTAAAAACGCTTAGGTGATTGTTTTCTTAGCTTTGAACAGCTATAGTTGTCACTTCACCAATGAACGAAGAAATTAGAATGGCTATCAAACAAATCAATAATGGGAAAGTAGTAGGACTTGACAACATACCAGCTGAAGCACTGAAGACAGACATAGTAGCAAGTGTCAACATGCTCTATATTCTATTCAGGAAGATTTGGGACGAAGAACAAATGACGATGGAAAGGAAAGAAGTACACCTCATCAAGATACCAAAGAAAAGAGATCTGGGGAAGTGTAAGAACTCAGCTTCAGAAACACCATACTATCACCAGTACCAGGAGAAGTTTTTAACTGAGTGTTGCTGGACCGGATGAAACACTGAGTAAACTTCCAGCTTCGAGATTAACAGACGGGATTCCGCTGGGATCGGTCATGTACCAACTGAATCGCAACACTACGGATCATTGTTGATCAGTCAATTGAATAGAACTGGTCACTATGCGTTAACTTCCTCGACTATGAGAAAGCATTCACCAGAGTGGATAGGAGAATATTATGGAAACTTCTTGAAAACTATAGTTTACCTGAGAAGATCGTCAACATCATCCGGAATTCATAAGACAGACTACAGTATAAAGTGGTGTATGGAGGACAGCAAACAGATGTATTCCAAGTGAGAACTGGAGTCAGACAAGGCTACTTGCTCTCTCCCTTTCTCTTTCTTCTGTTAGTCAACTGGATTATGAAGACCTCCATATTTCAAAGGATGCACGGAATACGATAAACAGCTTGCATGCAGCTAGAAGACTTGGACTTCATAGGATGACCTGGCCTTTCTATCTCATACACACGAACAAATGCAGATGAAAACAACCGCTATATAAGAAGCCTGTGAATCAGTAGGCCTTAACATACATAAAAGATAAAGTTAAATCTTCAAAAGCAATATGTAAAACCCCAACGCAGTCACACTTGATGGAGAAGCTCTGAAATAGGTGGAAAGTTTCACGTACATGAGACGCATAATCGATGAACAAGGAAGATCGGATGCAGATGTAAAGACGAGGATTGGTAAAGTAAGTACAGCATTCCTACAATTTAAGAACATATGGAACTCAAAACAATTACCAGCCAATGTCAAAGTCAGAATCTTCAATACGAACGTCAAGACGGTTCTACTGTACGGATCTGAAACTTAGAGAACTACCACAACTATCACCAAAAACGTGCAAGTATTTGTGAACACTAGTCTACTCAAGATACTCAACATTCACTGGCCTGGATACCATGAGCAACAGGCTACTGTGGGAGGGAACAAAGCAGCTTCCAGCTGAAGAGGAAATTAGGAAAAGACGTTGAAAATGAATAGGACATACATTAAGGAAATCACCAAACTGCATCACGAGGCAATCCCTAACTTGGAATCCGGAAGGGAAGCGGAAAAGAGAAAACCCAAAGAACACATTATGTTGGGAAAGAGAAGGAGATATGAAAAGGATGGATATCAACTGGAAGGAAATGAAAAGGATTTCTCAAGACAGGGTTGGATGGAGAATACTGGTGGGCTGCCTATGCTCCTTCACACGGGTTAACAGGCGTAAGTAAGATATAACTGCTTCTATGAACTCGATGTTCATCTTGTTGTGCTAATGAGGTGTGTCAACCTGAACCGATGCATATATGTGCATGTTCCTACGTTGTAGTTGACTGACTGACTGACTGAGAATGGTTAACTGGTTTTTATAATTTTCCTTTCATGCCATTCCATTTACAAACCCAAACAAATAAAGCCCTGAATAAAGGTACCATCTACAAGATATTTTATATAATTTATTTCAGCTGACATTATATCTTGGATTTCATGAATAAAATAGAAATTTCACTTAGTGTTGTTTACTTGTATCTTCCCACTGTTATTGCACAAGCAGGTGGCTATCAGGATTCAGTAGCTAAGTGGATAACGCGATGTCGTTTGAAGCGAATAGTACTGCGTTCGAGTCCCAGAGTGAACATTAACAAATCTGAGATGCAGGTACATCCTGCTGACGAGTCCCAAATAGGACGAAACGTGCGTCCTTGATTTGATTGCTAGCCACTATTCAGCATTGTAAAATAGAAACTTATTTATCTGACAGTATCATATTGTTTCATTATTCAATAAGATTTTCAATTTTGTTCCTTGTGAATGTTGTAATTCATGAGTATTTACAATGGATCTATATCTTCCATGAAAGATACTAAACATAATGAAAAGGATAAAACATACAGACATTTAATACATTTTTATTCATTTTTTGATCATTATATGATCTATAATAGATCTTAACTCTGAAATCGCTTTGAATGACTTTTGTCGCTTTGAGAATTGTTCAAATAAGTTATAAATAGATAACTTTTAAATATAAAGTGAGACTATAATTTATGGACGATTTTTGAGCAACACCATAGTAACCTTGAGAATGTTCACCTACTAGACAAAACTAAATAAAATGGATAATCAGTACGGATTTTGTGGAGATTTCAGTATTTTCATTGTTGAAAGCATGATTCAGTTGGAGCTAGACCACCAAGGAAAACCTGGAAGCACTGAACGGTCGTCAGATTCCGGCTAAGTGATCTATCGGTTAAGTTCTCTAGCGCGAAACTGACAGATCCTGCGTTCGAATCTCAAGAGACAGGATCGTGCAGTCCCACAAGAGGATAAAACGGCCTTCCAATGTTTCCAGGTTTCTCTTGATGGTCTAGCTTCAATTAACTCATGCTTTCAACTATGAAAATCAACAAAACAATTTGAATAATAAAGATTATGATTCACAGTTAATAGTTAATAGAATTAGATTTAAAATTTTCATCATAAACTAACATCAGCTAAAATGCTAATATGTTATTTAGTTCAAATAGATCATTAAATTTAGCGCTGAAATTCATGACCTTCTATCTTAAATTTGATTGGTTCATTTATAAATTTTAATCTCTATCATATTCAGTCTTCTTTTGTTTTTTTTGTTTAAATATAAAGGTTACTTATAAATATAATAATATAGAGAAACGTGATAAAAGTCAATCACCACAATATAGAAAATATAATCAATCAGATGAATTACAATATAAACAATCTAATCTAAATAATATAGAACATTTACCACAATTAATGATTGGTTCTACACAATTACCTAATCAACGTCAACGTAAATATCAATTGAATCAAATAAATAATAAATTGATTAATGAACATTTATCAGTTAAAACAAATGGTTATGCTGTTATTGTTGTACCAAATACAGGAACAATAGAACGTATGTAATTATTATTATTATTATAATTTTCATAGTTGAAATCATAAATTAATTGAAGCTAGACTACTATGAAAAACCTAGAAGTACTGCTTGATGGCCGTTTCGTCCTATTGTGGGACTCTTCAGCAAAGCGCAACGGCTGTTTAGTTCTTCCAAGTTTTTCATTGATTCATGATTTCAACTATGAAAAAAATAATGAAATCTCCACAAAACCCTTTCTGAGTATTTATTATTATCTTTTTTTTTTGTATTCGAGCATAAAAACTATAGAACGTCTTAGTAAAATCTATGACTTACTTAAGCCTGTTATCCCTCGTCGAGGAGGAGCATAGGCCGCACACTAGTATTCTTCATCCAACCTTGTCTTGAGCAATCCTTCCCAGTTCATTCCAGTTAACATTCACCGTTTTCATATCTGCTCCTATTTCCCAGTATAATGTATTCTTTGGCCTTTCTCTTTTCCGCTTCCTGTCAGGATTCAAAGTTAGCGCTTGCCTCGTGATGCAGTTTGGTGATTTTCCTAATGTATGTCCTATCCACTTCCAATGTCTTTTCCTAATTTCCTCTTTAGATGGAAGCTGGTTTGTCCTCTCCCATAAAATGCTGTTGTTGATAGTATCCGCCTGTAGCTCTTCTAGAGGTACTGCCGGTCCCAAGGCCGGGTAAAGGAGGAGGATTGGGCATGGGGTTAGTGACCCCATGCCGTAGAAAACTAACTCGCTAAAACAACGCTTACCAGAAAAAATAAAATCTAAGAACAATACAGTCAATACTTCCTTTACAAAATGACAATCAGTTGTCTCAGGCTTTATTGTTCTTTTGTTTCCACACCAATCATCCATTGTTCTTGTTCTCTTTTTTGATCTTGTTAACCTCCTACCTCCAGGCATTTCATTTTTGATTGATGATACATACTACTTATATTTGTCGATATGAGTAGACTTGATTCTGTGTAGATGAATTGATAACAATATACTACACTAAATTGATGAACTAATCAAATTTAGCACTGAACCTATTGAATTTTTTGAGTAAAATTCTAAATATAATAACAAATGTCTATACGAATATTCGTCAAGGTTAGAACGAATAGTGTTACCAATATTTAATTATTAATACTGTTGATATGGATAAACATGAAATGATTAAAGTATGGAGATCAATTTTTTCTGGTTAGCGTTTTTTTAGCGAGTTAGTTTTTGTAAGGGATGGGGTCGTTAACCCTATGCCCAACCCTCCTCCTTTGCCACGGCTTGGGATCGGCAGTAACTGTAGAAGAGCTATAGGTGGAGTTATAGAGATCATGATTGATGAATTCTTGAAGATTGCTTAAAAAATAAACTGTAGATATAGCCATTCATATAACTCTTAAAGCCTTCTTTCATCCTTCACCTAACTTGTATTGTGTTTGGTCAAGTACTGGCTTAACGTTCCATAGGTCACTAGAAATAATTGGAAACTAGAAAACATTTCACAGCTATTTAATCATAATAATGTACTCATGAATAGTACAAAGCTGCAGTGTTGTTATTAATTGAACACTTCGAGTTTTGCAGTGATGGCATTAAGTATAAATTTGATGACGGTCGACAGGTGAACTTAAGGAAGCTCTAAGAAGCTCATAAGGAGCCGGACATATTTCATTCAATCAGCCTTTGGAAAAGTATTCCAGAATCACTATGTGTATATTCCCTATTGGACAAATGTTAATAACCCCCTGTATGCGGATTGGATAACTATAATGATGATTTTGTTTTTGCTAAAAACTACAACTATCTGACAATTTTGTACCACAATCGACATTATTTTGGAATAACATTTCTTCTGCTTGTCTTCTTGTTTTGCTACTTGAGAAGGTCTTAGCGTTCGAGTGCTCAAGTTATACGCGACATACTAAGATCTAAGTACGAGATATAACAATAAACTGCTGAGCTGAGATAAAATGATCCATATTCCCAACAGTGAAACTGAAGTTTAAGGATGAACTAATTAGATTTAAGATAGTGACTTGAATGTTTTCACACATTTGGCAGGTAATTGTAAGTAGTCGACAAGAAAACTGTTTCATAGAGGTTATATGCTTTTTTATACCCGTCAGCAAGATGTACCTGCGATCTTAAAAGAAACTGCAGCCAACCAAAAGATCCGATCCAATGTCACTCATCTTCACGATGCGAAACATCACAAGTGGGCTATTCAGGCCGTGAGATATTTACGATTGATTAGTCAATGCCATATTTGTCTAATCCGTTAGCGGTGATTAAATTTTGCCAACTTTTACTCAGTTATTAATCGATTGTAAATAAGTAACATATGTGCCAAATGTTCAATAGTCTTTAATGGTTCTATATGTAGTAATAACTGTCGACATCGAAAATTCCATGGGGTTGAGCGAATCTGTCTGTTCCTACTAATTCAGTGGTACTCTAAGTTAATGGAAGAAGCTAAGCAATTAACCGCAAGTGTTTTTAAAGGAAAAAAACCTCCATGGGACCTAAAATCATCTAGTTCCACTTCACAGAGATATTTGCGGTGGCGTTAGCATAAATTTAACCAGAACTGTAATTTTGATATTAGACTTTACCCATATTACAATTTTCGAAAGTAACTTCAAACTACTCATAAGTAGGTTAAAGTACAAACCAAATAATCCCTAAAGCATATTTTAATGTTTAATTCGTGTGGGATAAAACTTGAATTTGAATGCTTTTTATTACCTAGAAGAAACTCCAGAACTGAAAACAGAGAATGGTTGGATTGCTGAAAAGTTAAACAATGAATTGAATGAAAATTCATCTCCAACTGGTAAAGAGAAGCATAGTTCAACTTATCCAAGTCCAGCTACAAATGATAATGATGAAGGAGAAGTGGAATTAGAACTAGTTACAAGAGGACAATCATCACCAGATGTGAATATTACAGTAGACGGTGAGTTACATCAGTAAACCAGATTCAATTTTAAAATCAGTATGATTCATACCATTATTGTATGTAATATGAGTAAATGTTGGTTAGTTAACAAATATACAATGATCGGAATGGGTTTTGTGGAGATTTCAGTATTTTCATATTTGAAATCATGAGTTAACTGAAGTTAGACCACTACGGAGAACTTGGAAGCGCTGGACGGCTGTTTCGTCCTATCATGGGACTCCTCTGTGGCAGTGCGCATCCAAGATCCCTCCTCACGAGATTCTAACCCAGGACCTACCAGTCTCGCGCCAGAGTACTTAACCGATAGACCACTGACCCAATCATCGGTCAATTTAATTAATGATTTAGAATAACTGAATGATTGAATTGTTGTGGATATGAAGTCCTCAAATACAACTTATGATGAGTTAATTCAATATCGATTTGATATGGATTTAAGATCAACTTTCAATACTATTTTTGTTGTATGACTTTGTAGACTTTCTGTCCATTTTCACTGTGAATTGTGTTTTATGACAACCGTTTAGTTCATAAATTATAATCGCTGTAATCAATTTATATAACCGATCAACTTAAATATATTTTTTTAATTTTGCTGGGTTCATCATCAATAAAGCTCCCATCCTGTACTAACTATCTTAGCAAGTTAAGTTATATGGCTCGTCTGTTAGCGCTAAGCATGTTCTAGCCATCACATTCAACAGAAGTTTATAATTCCATTAACAAACGTATAATCTCTATCAGGAATTCCATATTCAACTTTCATATTAGGTTGTGTTTATAATTAACTAATATCAGAATTGAATCAAATCGATTCAGTATCTTTTTTCACATTAAGGAAATCCCAATTGGTCATTTGAGTTATTGATCAAAAGTTGTATTTATTTATTTATTTGAACACATAAATATTGGTAAAAAGGGGAACCGAATACATATGCGCCACAGTTCGTCATTCTACTTGTATCAGGGCTGGACTACTGGCCGGGTTCCTAAACCAAAGCAGATCGTTTTCTTAGAGGGCCACTCCCCGAACCTTTGACCTAAAGGTCTAATCCATAAGTCAGTGAAGAAACGTTACGAGATGCAGTCCCATGGTAGTCGGTGACCAACGATTGGTTCATATACCATTTATTCCTTCAGGATCCTGGAGCCCATATGAACAAGTGGTTTGGAATCAGAGTTTTTCAACTCCCCTAGGTGGAACCTCCATATCCACCAACCTTGTGTTGGGTGGCAGACACTTTTTGTCCTCTCAATTTCGTAAACCACACCCCCGACGAGAGGAGGTAACGAGTAGGACTTCCCTGTAAGTGTAAGTATACGCGTGACCATATGAGAGTATTTCAACATGGATAGCGGACTCTCCTCACTTTCGTCCGTACCTAGACATTTGGAAGCAAGCATGTTATCACCCAGGCTCAAACTGAAGACAGACATAATGACCACTACACCGTAGAAACGACACATTGTTCATAAACAACTAATTATCTTCAAAAATAGAAGAAAAAACCCCCCTGCTGATAGTGATCATATGCTCACTAGTGACTAGCTCCATGAGGTATTTCCTGCAGTTCTAGTGAAAAGCAGTAACCAGTAGAGTTCAACCAGGTTTGTTGGAAGATGTCAATTCACTGAAGACATTGGTGAATAGTTGCCCAATTTCGTGGATTGATTGAAGTTAGACATTAACACCGTTAGATGCCGGTCGGCTGATTAGTCTATCAGTTAAGTGCTCTGGCGCGAGATTGGTAGATCCTGGGTTCGAATCTCAAGAGATGGGATCGTGGATGCGCACTGCCACTGAGGAGCCTCACAATATGACTAAAACGACCGTCAAGTGCTTTCAGGTTTCTCTTGTTGGTCTAGCTTCAATTGACTCATGATTTCAATTCTATAAAATTACTAAAATCTTCACAAAACCCCCTTCTTTAATAGTATTTCTTTAACATTTTTTTTTCTATTTACAGAGATTTCCAATTAGATATTACAACTGAATTTCTACAAAATATAGTTACCCTATTCAAAAACAGAAACAAAAACAACAATAAACAAAATTCCACATTAAATTTGATCATTTCTAAATATTTGCTTTCATAGTAACCTCCATTTTTTTTAAAAAAATTAATTCCTTTGTTTTACTTAAATATATATATATATATATACAATTCAATGATAAGTTGTATGATAGATACAAAAATGATTATGGAACATTGAAAACATCAATATTAAACTGGAAAGATGACAAGTATAAAAAACTTCCCAGACAAAAAAATCCAAAAAAAAACAAAAACAATTATCGATCAATAAAAAAACAAAAAAAAATTGGCATGAAAATTGTAAATTGATTAGAAAAACAAAAAAAAACAAATTTTTTTTTTAAAAAAAAAATAATTTAATTCAGTAAAACAAAATAATCATGTGAACTAATGTTTATTCCAAATTAGGTAAATGATGGGTAAACAAATTTTTTTTTCTTTGTTCTTCTTTTTTTTTTCTGGTTGGCTTCCATTAGTCTTTTCTAGAAAAAAAAAAAAACAAACAAAACAACTTAGATATATGAATATATATAAACAAAATGATGTAATTTGGATTGTTGTTAGTTATATTTTTTTTATTGAATTTGTTTAATGTTGCTAAAAAGAGAAATTTAATTTCCTAATTATTGAATGTTATAATAAACAAACAAGAAAATATAATTTGTTAATAAGCAAAGATGAATAGTGGCTAACAGTGGAATATAGTTTGACGCGCGTTTCATCCTATTTGGGACTAGTCAACTGGATGTACCTGCATCTCAGACTTGTTGATGTTCACTCTGCGACTCGAACCCAGTACCTTTCACTTCAAATGCCATCATGTTATCCACTCGGTCACTGAGTCATGATAGCCAGCTGAAAAGTCCCAAATAGGACGAAACGCGCATCAAAATGTATTCCACCGCTAGACACTATCCATCTTTGCTTATAATGCTTGTGAATTAAGGCTATATTGAGGCAATACGCACAGTATGTACATATGCCATTTAGAGACTGACCAGTTGCAGTCCTAGCACATCGATGGGAAGATTCAAACAAATAATACTAAGTGAATTTAATTTTTTAATAGTTGAGATCATGAGTAAATTGAATCTAAACCACTGTGAGAAACCTGGAAGCACTAGACGACTGTTTCGTCATATTATGGGACTCCTCAGTGGCAGTGCGCATCCATGATCCCACCTCACGAGATTCGAACTCAGGACCAGTCAGTCTCACGCGCGAGTGATTAACCTGTGGAGCACTAAGTCATCCGGCATCCAACGGTGTTAATGTTTAACTTCAACCGATTCACGAAATTGTGCGACACATCCACCAATGTCTTCAGTGAGTTGATATCTGGCAACAGACCTGGTTGAACTCCACTATTCACTGATATGCATTATTATTAATTTTCTCTTCATGATATTGGTACGTCCTTGATCTGTCTACCCACTTTCGTGACGAAGATAACTTGTCTAATGTAGATTAAGACCTCGACGCGATAGGCTGACTGGCTTAACCATGAGGCTAATGTGCGTGAGTTCGAAGTGGGGGTAGAGAGAAGAAAACTATTCTATCCCTGATTGGCTGACAGGTACGCGATAGAGAAGACAAGACAACTGGAACACTAGTCGCTTTATTCCGAATCCCGATCTGGTACCCGATTTCTGATTAGTGTAAATAGATACATGAATAAATAGATGACTAACCTGACCACAACACATAATAATTAGAAAAATACAATTATGTCCAAAACTGGGGGATTACAGTAGAAAATAGAGTACAAAAGGTTACGTCTAAATTACAATAGCTTTGGAACAGAAAATGCTATGGCAGCGAATCACACATCAAATGAAAGCTTATAATCTATAGAATAGACTAGGAACAAAAGTAAATGTTACTGTTATACAAGCTTTGAATTAAATAAAATAACGTCCCCAAAAATAGCTTCCGTAATTTGTTAAGGCTTCTTATTTCGCTGTTCACATCAGATATACATATTTGTAGCAATGTAATGTACATCACAAACTGACTATAGTTAAAGATGTTTCAGTAGTGTAAAGTAACGATTCCACTAGATATTATATCTTGGCAAAAACCGTTTAACCGTTGAATCAGCATTCAGTGGTATTGGATTTCTGACAAAATTACCATAAGTTCTGCTCTTTCGAATTATTTACAATCGATCCCAAACTTACGATAAACTTATACGTGTTATTTAAAAAAACCACTGATATAAACAACTTACCTCTTCTTGACCTTGAGAGTTACTCAAAGACAATACTTTGATATACAGTCTTACCTTACAAACATTAACAGTACACTATAAAAACATTAGCTTGTGCAGTTATGGTTGTATTTAATTGAGTAATCTACACAAAACAATGGTAAAATCCCAGCAAGATGATTCTTGCAGTGTACCAGTGTTTATCTGAACAAAATCAGTACAAACTATCCAACTGTATTATATCCGCGGTCCTAGTGCCTACACTTGACACCAAAAACAATCGCCATTTCACAGTACAAGGTAAGAACAAAAAAGACTGGTGTGGATGAAGAGTTATGAACCTTTCAAAGAACATCATACTCAATATTTAAGAAAAAATATACTGAATACAGTACATCTGAATGAAAATCTCATACTGGATAAAAGTCCACGCCTGTTACATTGAACAAAACTAATACTGAAATGATATAAAATAATGCCATCTTCTTATCCCATTACTGTATTTTCTTTTCAAAAGGACTCCAGGGATTATCAACAGCTTCCTTATCTATCGATGTGACAAAAAACTATAACTCAAAGTTGGATGCATAGTTAACTTTATAGGGTTGCCTCCTTCTGTTTACATTAGATTAGCTTTTATCAAATCATCAGGAAGACATATTGAAGAGAAAATAATACACTTGATGGATAGTCATCAAGGGACAAACTTCTTTTTAGAAATGAACTGACTCAAAGATAATGATGTATATTTGCAAAAAAAAGCCCAGGAATTCCCCAGGTTACTCTAAAATCTTTAACATTTGTTTAAATAGTTACTCTTGTCAACTGTAACAACAAAATAAAAACACCAAATATCTTTAGCGATCTCTTTTTGAATAGTTCAGACCGAATATGCTCCATCAGCGAAATATTTTATTGTTCATTTTGACTTGTCACCCTAGTATTATTTGTTTAATTGTTTACTGTTGGTCAAATTTCATTTATCAAGTTATGAGATAACCAGTTTGATTGACTCAAAATCACGTGTGAAATGTTTTCATCCTAGGTGGTTGTCGGTAGGAGACGCTAGACTTGTATTTCGTACTAGATGGGACTCATTAGCATGGTGTGCCTGAAACCTTTGGAAGACTTATGCTTCCTAGTGGTTTGAACCTATGTCATCAAGCTTCAGAGACTGACACATTATCACTGAGTAATTCGGGTCGCTGTCAGCTTCAATCCTCAAGAAAGTCATTGTTAAATAGCATGAAAGCTGGATCCCTGATTTCTTTCTAACTACCTTTAAGTACATAACATGTCTTAATATTGTTTCTCTCGAATCACGTAAATTATATCTACACAGAGGTGTATTGCTCTCAATATAATTCACAATAGCAATGACAAACAAACATAGAATAAGCAGTGCACATCCACGACCTCGCCTCGCGAGATTCAAACCCAGACGAGGTCGTGGATGCGCACTGCCAGTGAGTAGTCCCACAATAGGATGAAACGGCTATCCAGTGCTTCCAGGTTTTCCCTGGTGGTCTAGCTTCAATTGACTCACGCTTTCAACTATGAAAATACCGAAATCTCCACAAAAACCCCTTCTGATAATAAACATAGAACAAGTCAATTTCATAGATATTTGAACCAAAAGAAGATCGAATACCATATCTTTTCCAAACAAAATTTCTTTATTAATAGGAAAAAAGGGAACAAGAAGCAAAAGAAAAAGAGAGAGAGGGGGAGCATAGAATTATGATGAAATATCAATAGCAAAGTATCGAATAGTTGTATCATCTGATGCTGTACACAAGAAAGGTTCAATAGATGATCCTGTTTTGTTTAATTGTTCAATTCCATCATCGTTATTAATATTATCTTCCATAGATTTATGAAATGGTGGTAGAGTTAAATACAAAATCATTGCTTTATGACCCCACCATATTTTTAAGGGAATTTTCTCTGTTAATAAACCAGATGAAGACTTTCTTGTTAATCCAGTAATACCACACCATGCAACTATAGAACCTTTAGTGGTAGCTGTGAAAAATATAGGTTTATATCGACTCCAACATAATGATGTAATACCAATAGGTTGCTGTTAAATTAGAAACAAATATAAACGAGAATTCATTGAATAGTATAAATCAAATAAGCAGAATGTTTAAGTTATTGTACTAAAGATGACGATAAACTATAACTATGTGTATTGCTCGACTCTTGAGAAATTTTATCATCAAGTAAACAATGTCTTGACAAATCAGAAAAGATTGTGAACGAACTGTGACGAGTAAATCGATTGTTCATTAAGTCAAGGTTACTGCTAATGTTAAAAAACGGAAAGTCCACCCAGGGGAGTTGGAAAACACTGATTCCAAACCAATGGTGCACATGGGCTCCAGTATCCTGAGGGAACAAATGGCGTACGAATCAATCGTTGATCACCGGCTACCATGGGTATGCATCTCCTCACGATGCTCCACTGCCTTGTGGATCAGACCTTTAGATCAAAGGCTCCGGGTTTGCCCCCCTAAGAAAACCACCTGCTTCGATTTGGGCACCCGGGCAGTATCACAGCCCTCACACAAATCAAATGAAATTTGTGTAGCGCATATATATCTGGTGCCCCTTTGTACCAATCTTTATGTGTTTAAATAAATAAATAAATAAACTTCCAGTTAAAGTTACTCTCAATTACATAAAGAAAGTAAAAGAAAGTTACAGCAGGTCCGTCACTGGCTTCGATCCTGAGCCATGTCTGATAACATCTCAAGTCACTGTGTTGCACCATCTCTGAGACTCAAACAAGGGAGTAGTGAAGGTCCGACAGAACCCAGTCCTGTAAAGTATTCCTTCATACTAGGACACCATGTCATACACGGACCACCTTTCCGCTTTTTTCAATCAGTCCTAGAGTCAGCTAATAATAGATGATGTGGAATTCGCTGAAACGACATTCGTAGTGGTGACATACAATAAATTATAGTCAGTGTGCCCGAACACACGTTCCCGTAACTCCTAGTTACCAACATGGTATTGTCACTAGATATCAGCAATCTTCCAGAGACAGCGATGATCAAACACAGGGAGTCATCTGACATTCTGAACTCAGAGAGGTCATCACGCTTCATGAGCTTAGAGTAAGACTATTCTCATCAACACGTTGTACTTCAGGTCTTTTACAAATAGACCAGAATCACGAAGGTGCCAAAGATGACCCAGATTGAGATAAGCCGTTTTGGCTTTCGCTATGCGTTAATTGATCCCATCAATCACGCAACTACCAGCACTTACGCAGTTACCCAGCTACTCGAACTTCCAACTACTTCTATCTGCTCACTACCAAAAGTGAGTTCAGCTACAGAGTCCTGCCAGTCTTGTAAAATTATTTATTTTGCACTTAGAAGGTGCGAGACATATGCGATATCTACAAATACTGGTCGCCAACTGACTAAGTGCGGATTGCATAGCTTGGGTATCATAGAACAGTAACACAACATCCGCATACGTAATAGACAAGGTTGAGCGGAGTCATATCGGTTAACGAGTAGATTCATGAAGTACCAATAGAACTTAGCCACCATGTAGACATTGATGCAGTTAAATGTGAACCATACTAAAAAAAAACTTAAGAATTTCATAATATCTATCACGTGATGTGGTTAGTCTAAACTGATGACCATAAAGTCAAAAATCTTTTAGGACTATCTTCTTCTAGTAAGTTGAACTATTCTTAATTTTTTATTAATCATAATTTCAACACACAAACAACGATGGATTATTTAAAGAGTTAAGTATTAACATACTCCTAGTTGAATTTTAGAAAATCCTGATTTGAAACCAATACTGTAACAAGAAATAACTTACCGAATCATCTTCATCTATATATGTCCATTTTTGACGAACACGCATTGTCTGAGCATCACAAATTCCAAGTACACCAGTGATAGAGCCAAAAGCAAACAATGAATGCCTATAATCAAGATAAATATATAATATATTAATAAATAAAAGAAATATTAGAATTTACTAAGAATAATTTAGGATAGAGTGTATTCTGCCACATATCAGATATTGATATCTTTCTTTATTACTAGTGGATGAATATACAAACTAATTTCAAACATATTCACAATATATGATAATAAAGTAAAGTCAGTAGATTTCGATTTGGGTTGCCGGATATTGGCATTATACTTCATACAAATCAGTCAGTTACAACGTAGAACTTCGTACGTACGTACATCAGTTCAAGTTGTCATACTACATTAACACAGAGATGCAGTTGTCGATTAAAATCTCATAGTGGCAGAAGAAGTAAGAGTATAAGCAGTAAACCGAAAGATTAGGGTTTGAATATGTTATTCAAGGAGTATAATCTAGTGAAATAATTTCGGAAAGAAAAAAAAGGATACGGACATGAAGAATTCAGAAGATTAGAATTTGGCAGAACACAAACATTGGATGCACCTACGCCATTGCAAACGATTTTGAGCCATGTCATTCAAGTTCTCTAACCATCGATTGCTATCATCTCGCGGATTCCAACCAGGTAGTCTACACCTACTAACATGGCTCAGTCCACTTGTCAGTGACTTCATGAATTTGTGCCACGTTTTGGTCTGGCCACCCCTAGCTTTCTTCCAACCTACTCCTACACCATGAAACATTGCACGTCGGGGCAGTCGGTGGTCGGGCATACGTAACACATGTCCTAGCCATCTCAACTGATGAAGTTTCACTACTTCATCAATCGATTTGCCATCCTTACCTAGTACTCGTTTCCTAACAACTGCATTACTTACCCGGTGGTCCCAGGATATACGAGCAATGCGTCGAAGACACCTACGATCGAACACTAGTAGCCTACAAATATCCTCTACACTTATCGGCCATGTTCCACTGTCATAAAGTAGGTCAGAACGAACTGCTGCACAGTAAACCCGTCCTTTTGTTGCTAGACGGATATTTCGCCTACGCCATAAATGGCGCAAGTTGGCGAATGCTAGACGAGCCTTCTGTATCCGTGCTGAGATTTCGTCACACACCAGACCACAAGGGCTAATGATACTCCAAAGATAAGTGTACGTATAATAATGACTTCTTATTCTCGGTAAATTGTGTTTATTTTTTTTCATAGTTGAAATCATGGGTCAAATGAAGCTAGACCACCATCGAAAACATGGAAGCACAGCACGGCCGTTTCGTCCTATTATGGGACTCCTCAGCAGTGCGCATCCACGATCCCGCACTCGCGAGATTCGGACCCAGGACTTACCAGTCTCGAGCCAGATCCTTTAACCGATAGACCACTGAGCCTGCATCCAACGGTGTTTATACAAATTTTGTACATTGATGTCTTGTTTATAATGAATTACTCAACAGGACAAATATGTTTATAGTCAATATGAATAGTATAAGAAAATTAGACAAAGACTTACGTCCAAGAACAGTTTAATGCTTCAACTGATCCATCATCGCCTGTTTTAATGATATCTAAAACCTGTATACAGTAAACTGATTCATTAATAAGAAACAAAATTCTAATTTCTATTAAAATCATAATACTTAAAAGGTTACAATAAAAACGGACACACACATATGCATAAACACAGTTTAACTTGTTCTTATTCAATATAGTGAGATAATAACAAGAATAATGAGATTTTATAGAGTTGAGATTATGAGTCAATTGAAGCTAGACAACCACGGAAAACCTAGAAACGCTAGACGGCCGTTTCGTCCTACTGTGGGATTCCTCAGCAGTGCGCACCCACAATCACGCACTCGTGGGGTTCGACCCCTGGACCTACCAGTCTCGCGCCAGAGCATTTAACCGATAGACCACTGAGCCGTCCGGCATCCAACGGTGTTAATGTCTAACTTCAACCAATCCACGAAATCGAGCAGCCAACAAAGTCTGTTGGGAGATATCAACTCATTGAAGACATTGGTGAATGGTGGCTCAATCTTGTGGATTGGTTGAAGTTAGACATTAACACCGTTGGATACCGGTCGTCTCAGTGGTCTATCAGTTAAGTGCCCTGGCGCGAGACTGGAAAGTCCTGGGTTCGAATATCACTAGGCCGGATCGTGGATGCGCACTGCTACTGAGCAGTCTCACAATAGGACGAAATGGCCGTCCAGTGCTTCCAGGTTTTCCATGGTGGTCTAGCTTCAATCGACTCATGATCTCAACTCTATAGAATTACTAAAATCTCCACAAAACCCCTTCTGATAATAATGAGATTTGACCAATAGTAAAAAATTGAGATTCATAGTCTAATAATGGTTTTATCAGTGTAGAGTTGTGGACATAGTTGAGTTTAAATTGATATCATGAATGAATAAATGTTAGACCACCATTGAGAACCTGAAAGTACTGGACGGCCGTGCGCATCCACAATCCTGCATGCGGTCTTGGGTTTGAGTCCCGCATGCAGAATCGTGGATGCTTACTGCTGAAAAGTCTCATACTAAGGCGAAACTGTCGTCCAGTACTTCCAGATTTTCAGTGGTGGTCTAGCTTAGATCGTCTCATGAATACAATCATTAAAATTACTACAATCTCCACAAACCACATTCTGATCATAATTTTTTTATCTCACAAATTATCTAGTTTGCATGACCTTCACTTTCTCAACTATAAAAAGTCATCACAAGTAAATGTGTGATCAGATTGTTGATAGAAGTGTATTACACCAATATATTATGTAATTCTGATAAAGCTTGTCTTTTCCTCATTGTGCGATCTAAATTTATCAAAGAGATAACAGATGGTGTTTTGAAGCAGATATATACTGATTTAAAGTTGTCTAATGCTTAAATCAATAAGCCTGAAGTCCTTACTTACTGGTTATGTCACATGATATCAACGAAGTCATGTTTACCTTCTAATCTTAATAAGAGAATGGAATTCTTGATAAGAGAATATATATATATATATATATATATATATATATTACCATCTCCGAATTTCATGGTATACCCGAGTGAAGGGAGGTCCTTCTTTCCTTCTCGAAATGCTCTCATATGGCTACGAGCATATAGTCACTCAAAAGGTAATCCTACTCACTGCCATCTCGCTTCAGGGGTGTTGTTTACTAAATTGAGAGGACGAAAATTGAACCTTCAGCGCTAAAACCAGGTAAGTACTGTGGAACCACCACCTAGGTAAGTTGTAAAATCCTGATTTCAAACCAATGCTGCCCCCAAATGCCCTGGTATGGCCGAGAGTGGGAGAGTTCGCTCTCCCTCTCAAAATGCTCTCACATGGCCACGCGAATATATAGCCTCTGCCAGAGAAGTCCTAATCATTGACTTCTCATGGCGGGGGTGTTGTTCACGAAAGTGAGAGGACGAAAAGTGATTGTCCGGCGCATTAACCAGATTGGTGCACACGGAAAATCCATCTAGGGAAGTTGGAAAACCCTGATTCCAAACCAATGGTGGATATGAGTTCCAGTATTCTGAGGGAACAAATAGCGTATGAATCAATCGTTTGTCACCGTCTACCATGGGACTGCATCTACTCTCGATGCTCCACTGTCTTCTGGATCAGACCTTTAAGTCAAAGGCTCAATGTGTGGTCCCCTAAGAAAACCACCTTTTTCAGTTTGGTTACCCGGGCAGTATCACAGTTCTCACACAAATTAAATGAGATTTGTGTGGCGCATATGTATCTGGTGCTTTCTTGTACCAATATTTATGTGTTTAAATAAATAAATAAAAAGCTTAAGGATCCTGAAGAAACAAATGGTGCATGAACCCATTCTTCATCACTGCTACCATAGTACTGTATCTCCTAATGTTGCCCCAATTCCTTGTGGATTGGATCTCTAGGTCAAGTACTTGAGGAGTGGCTCCCTAACAAAACTATCTGTTTCTAGTTAGGATACCCGAGGTGTATCCTAGCCAACACACAAATTCAATTATTTGCTATATGATCTATATATATTTTTCAGTGCCCCATATTACTAATCTTCAAACATTAAAGATACATACAATACATATTTAAAGAATTTATTCAATGATCAATTTTATTTTTACCTACCTTAAAATGTAATTCTTCATCAAATTTAATAGAAACCGGACATATAAATCCATTACCAGTAATTAATAATAAATCATGATTAGAATTAGATAATTGATTATTAAATAATTGCGGTGAATTAATTTGATAAACTTCTAAATGGTTACCATATTGATTAGATAATGAAGAATATTTTTTATCGAATAATTTAATTGAACCAATTAATGTTATTGTTTTTATATCCCATATACGTAGATCACCATTTCGATGAAGAACGGCTAATTTTGGATTTTTAGTATTTGTAAAACTTGGTAGAATTAGACCATCTAAAGCAGCTTGATCAAGATCTTAAAAGAAAAAAAAAATTTGTAATTTATTGGTTTAAAAGGGAAAATTGTGTGCGAAATACTTTGGATATTGTTATAACTTGTGGCCTTATGTCCTATTAATATATAGCTTAGTTATATCGCTAATCAGAGAATTTTGACTTATTGACCGGACCAATAATGCATAAACCTGTATGAGTAGTTTGGAGTCCTTATCGGTCCTTCTTCCTCCTTATTCAGTCTAGAACACCAATCCCAGCCTCTAAATTCCCTGGTACAGCTGAGGGAAGGGAGGTCCCTCTTTCCTTCTCGAAATGCACTCTTATGGCTACGAGTATATAGTCTCTTAAACAAACAGGTACAGTAAAACAATCACTGATACAATTGGTTGTAATAATAATTGTTTACATTATACCGATCGCGTTCTCGTCATAAAAGTAGGTCACTACAGGAACCTCCCGCTAGAAAGGGTTTATACTTTCGATACGTAGCTATTTCGTTCATGGGACTGACTGGCAAACGTGCAATTGTAGGATGAAGGCGTTGGTAGAACGAGAAGCGATAGTTGATCCTCGAGTTGCCACCGAACGTCTTTTATTTAGAACACTACTAGGAGAAACGTGTTGTATTTGCTGCTTGAGTTAGCGTACCACACCACAGTGGTTTGTATCCAGCCTCTCATTATCGATGACGAAAATACATGAAAAAAGATACGATGTCCCATTTCAAAATCGATCTTTACTAAGCTCCGATATGGGAAGGCAGAACCGCTGTAGATGCTAACAGAAACTCGCTATCACCACCACACCTTACTGTAGTCGTAAACACGACTTTGCCTTCGGACCTTAAGTTGCAACTTTTGATCTTACTGCACTCCAACCGAACTGCCTGAGATGTAATTACTAAAACGAATGGATATTCCAGCCAATACAAGTCATTTGGTTCATCATATCTAGTCCCGACCACTACATCAAAGTAGCAGTTATAATCAGGCAGCTGGTCAGCTTTACAGTATGAAAAAAGTACTATCAATTATTTTAAACTTGATACAGAAAATCGAATTTAAAAACATTACTATTAAACCTAATGTAGAAGTCATTTTGGGAGAAAAAAAACATACCAAACGTATACGCCATCGACAAACACTTCCCCTGATTGTTTGATATACTAGAACTTACAGCCCAGTAATTAACATAACTATGTTCATCACCAGCTAATAGTAAAGCAGGCTTTGAAACTTCATTGTTCATATTTCGTACAGCATTTGAAGGTGATACCCACCATTTAATCCATAGTAAATCATTGACAGTTTCTGTTCTTAATAATTTCCATTCTTTTGAATTTTCTTCTATTAACGGTCTTAACCATATACGAATATTTCCAGCCATATCACCAGTACATAAATAATCACCATTTGGACTGAAACTAACACAATTCACAGAATCATCATGACCTACATAATTCATAATTTTTTTGGGGGGGAGGGGTGGAAAAAGACACACACACAAAAAGAATAACGAAAAGAATGAGAAAAAGAAACCAAGGTAACAAAATTACCAGTTAAGAGAAATCCATGTTAAATGGATAATGAAGATTTGATAATAAATACTTGGCTATAATCATCATGTGAACATTCGGAGGTTTTAAGTTAAGTACTAAGTAAGCATAGTAAATCCATTGATATGAGACTATGAATCTTCACTGATTGAGGTACCTATATTTTGAAGGAGATTTTTAATGATTTGATGAGATGAATTTTCGATTGTCAAAACTGAAGGGTAGAATGGTTATTTATTTATTTATTTAAACACATAAATATTGGTACAAGGAAACACCAGATACATATGCGCCACACAAATCTCATTTGATTTGTGTGAGAACTGTGATACTGCCCGGGTAACCAAACTGAAAAAGGTGGTTTTCTTAGGGGACCACACATTGAGCCTTTGACTTAAAGGTCTGATCCAGAAGATAGTGAAGCATCGTAAGGAGGTGCAGTCCCATGGTAGACGGTGACTAACGATTGATTCATACGCCATTTGTTCCCTCAGGATACTGGAACTCATATCCACCATTGGTTTGGAATCAGGGTTTTCCAACTCCCCTAGGTGAAATTTCCGTGTGCACCAACCTGGTTAAAGCGCCGGACATTCGCTTTTCGTCCTCTTAATTTTGTAAAGAACATCTCCGCCACGAGAAGGCAGTGAGTGGGACTTCTCTGGCAGATGCTACATATTCGCGTGGACATGTGAGGGCATTTTGAGAGGGAGAGCGGACTCTCCCCACTACCGGCCGGTATTTGGGGGCAAAGCATGTTTCCGCCCAGGTTAATAATAGAAAAATACAATTATGGTCGAATGATGGTTTTTCACTAGACTGTATTATTGAGTTAAGCCTCCAAATGATTTAGAAATCAAATATAAAATCATTTCCTAGATGAACAAATTTCTTATCTAATGAAATACGATGCTTATATTGCCGAATATGAACAGAAGAAGTAATACAAAACGTAACAATTGAAGGAAATGAGTTTGTAGGTCACTCACTATCTGATCTATTAAGCCTTGATTGTTAATTCTAATTCTTGGGCGTTGTATCAACTCGGAACATGTGTCATGAATGTTAAGCCACTATCTATCTCAACATACAGTGGTGGCTAAGAGGAATATGTTGGAAGGAAATTATGGATGGACAGGTAAGAACATTAGATTAGTTTATGTACTCACTGACAAACGAACTAAGCAGAATTAGGTAGTGAAGACTTCTTAATTATAGTCTGCGTCGATGTACTCTTTATCTTTGTATATTTCTTGAATTCTAGTATTATACCATTTATTTCACTTTAGTCGGATGACATGGGTCAACATCGATCACAATAACACAAATTCATGCACTTTTTATTTTCCTCTAGACCTTGGATTTTCAAGTTATTCTACACCTTTTATTCTCTTTCGAATCACATACTGTGCATAATCCGTTTTACTTTCTTAATTACTTCTTACGTCTGTTACACTAAGTCCAGTATAGGCCACAGATCAGGATTCTCCAACCGACTCTGTCCTGGGCCCTCCTTCCCAGTTGTTTCCATATGTTGTTAATTCTTTTGATGTCAGTCTGCAATTCCTAGCTCAACGTGTTTTTCGGTTTGTCTCTTCTCTTTTCACCTTCAGGGTTTCAAATTACAACTTGCCTTGTGATGTAGTTTGATGATTTCCACTATGTGTGTTCTATCCACCTACAGAGTTTTCTCCTATTTTTCCACTTAAGCTGGAAAGTGATTTGTTCGATTCCACAGTAGATTGTTGCTGATGGTGTCCAACCAACGGGTCTGGGGTATCTTGAGTAGACAGACGCTTACAAATACCTTTTCATTGATGGCTGTAGTAGTTCTCCAAGTTTTAATAGAGTTAGATCTAATTAATAATAATTGTATACATCTACTAATTGTTAATTTAGGATCAAACATTGACTGCTAGCAGACTTTACAAAACAACTTAACCATTCGTAAATAGTAGTACTACTACTGATGATAATAACATTAATAATAATAGTAGTAACAATAATGAGAAAACTCAACCTTGACAAATGAATTCAGTTTCACCAGTTGCTACATTCCATATTATAGCAATATGATCTTGTCCACCAGATGCAAGAAATTTACCAGTACTATCAAAATCTAAACAGAAGACGCTTTCTGAAATAATGAAAATAATCTTTAATTAGGAAATAGTTGTAAGAATAGAGATTTTTATTTATTTATTTATTTAAACATAAATATTGGTACAAGAATGCACCAGATACATATGCGCCGCACAAATCTCATTCCATTTGTGTGAGGACTGTGATACTGCTCAGGTGGCCAAACTGAAAAAGGTAGTTTTCTTAGGGGGCCACACCCGGAGCCTTCGACCTAAAGGTATGATCCACAAGGCAGTGGAGCATTGAGAGTAGATGCAGTCCCATGGTAGACAGTGACTAACGATTGATTCATACGCTATTTGTTTCCTTTTAGGATCCTGGAGCCTATGTGCACCATTGGTTTGGAATAAGGGTTTTCCAACTCCCATAGATGGACTTTCCGTGTGCAACAACCTGGTTAAATTGCCGGACATTCGCTTTTCGTCCTCTCAATTTCGTAAAGAACACCGGTGCCACGAGAAGGCAGTGATTAGGACTTCCCTGGTAGATGCTATATACGCGTGGCCATGTGAAAGCATTTGGAGAGCGAGAGCAGACTCCCCCACTCTCGGCCGTACCACGGCATTTGGGGGCAGCATTGGCTTGAAATCAGGTTTTTACAACTTCCCTAGGTGGTGGTTCCACAGTACTTACCTGGTTTTAGCGCTGAAGGTTCAATTTTCGTCCTGTCTTTTAATAATGATAACTAGTGAAAAATATCCTACAAAAGTTGAGTAAAACTAGGTATTAAATAGTCGAAGGTAATCGGACCTTGGACTAGATAGACATGACATTGTGCACTACACATCACACCTATACTGGAGGTCGGTCGCGGTCCGAATACCTCAGTGTTAAGGTTCCGGACAGTGAAGCTGGGTGGTGTATGTTTGAATTCTTCAGAGGGGTACCAATTCTCTCAAGACTATAAGTACACCTAGCTAACAAGTCCCGAATAGCATGAGACCTATGTCCAGGATTTCCTGACGGCTATCTTCAACCGTTTAACAGCTAGACATGGTTTGCATAATGTCAGGTCACTCAGACTAGTGGCTACATTTCAACTTCATCGACAGAATTCAACCAGACAATGACATTTATCATTGAACAATCAACTAATGTGGAATAAAACCACATAGATAAACCAAATTGGAAATTGTATCGAAGGATCATAGTGTGACAGTACATCAGAAAATTGATAATCATAATATTTTAAAAGAAATCGATGCTTAATAAATTCGTCAAAAAGTAAAAACAATGGATAGCTGTTTCATTTTAGTTCGTCACTCTACATAAGTGTTTCTACAGATCGCACCAGTTTACGGCGATAATTATCTTCAGTGAACCACTTGTAACTTCATACAACCAAATTTCTTATGCATCTATTGGAATTGTGAATAACCGTATTGGATATGACCATATGAAATCGACGGTTCAATGTTAAACTATGTAGCTTGTAAACTCATCCAATTGACGAGCTCTACTTTAAAATATTACTCCATTCATATTGATTAAGTGTTTGATTGAGCCTCTAAAATGCAGAATTTCGATCAACAAAATTCAACCTTGAAGTAGTTGTACCTAGTACAACTTGACAGTTAACTAGATTACAGTGGATACCCAACTACACTACGAGATAAATAACCTATAACAGGGAAATAGCTGAACATCCAATGGAGAGAGGCGTTGGTTACCATGAGTTATTACAAACGATAAAAACAGTAAGACATTGGAATACATTAGGATTAATCTAAGTCCACTAAGTCGTCAGTTTAATTACGTCTACAGTAGGAGGATGGTTAGTAAGAACTAGGTGATATACCAGTACTCGACACTTAATCTATAAGCATAACATTAAATAGAATACAGTCTAATATAACAGGATAAAAACCAAACAGTCAGTTGGATATTAATAACCAAGCTGAAGTTTCTGGTAAATTTCGAAAGATTAACAGTGCTTTTTCCCACAGCCACTGAGGAATAATCTTGTTGATTAAAATAATCGGATTAACCATCATCCCATTTTGTCTATTAGAATTTCTGATAGAATCTAGGACACAATGACAAGATACATTGTAGTGTTAATGAGGTATGGCAACATGGACCCATGCATATATGCGCCTGCTCCTATGTTGTAGATGACTGATGATATAATGCTAGATTTCAAGATGCAAATTCGTCAACTAATACTGTCTTCTGAGGAAATTGAATTACTTGAAGGTATTATTTGAAATAAGTAACTTTTTAACCATTTAATAAACGATGTTATCCATCTATTGAATCAAAACCTAGTAACTTCAAGTTCACAGCGAATTGTGCGCTTCCTGACGTGACAATCATCAACTGAGAAAAATCTCTTAGTAGTATATTTTACTTTATTACACAAAGCCATTGACTATTTGCGACAGTCTTTTTCATGCATTGTATTGTGATTTTTTTGCCAATATGACCTTCAAAAAATTAATTACTTGAAATGGATAAATCGTGGGATTACAATACACCGACCCATTTTCTGTCATAAACAGACAAATCAGTGGTTAGTGAACAGTTCATCGGCACACAAACGCATATCGAACAGAATACAATTTACCATTAATTACCCGAACGAACCTTTATGGCCTGAGAGTAATTTGAATGTATCATCTTGAGTAGGTGTAAAATACTGTACAACATCCATATCATTGTCCACCACTTCAACTTCTATGAATTGAAATAAAAAAGCACAATACTAATATGTTGGAATTAAATTTATATTACCTTCATTTCTTTCAGACTTGTAAACGACTCCACAGTAAGGTCTCTTATAATACTTAACAAGTTCTACTGGTCTAATCTAAATGTGACTAGCAAACTAAGTGCTTCGATATGGAGGAACACTGCGCGAAATAATATCCAAAAAGATATGAAGGAAGTTTATATGCTGCTTAACAAGGCCCAACTTCTATTTGGGGAATCGATGCGCTAAATTGTTTCTGACAATGACGTCATAAAGACGGTCCGTCTGAGGTTAACATACACCTATTGTGGTTTTCTGACACATGGCCACCGACTAAACCAGCTCAATCTTATGTAAACCAACACCAGTCGAAAAGCGTAATATTTTTTGTGACCTGCTTCCATGCTTCCCGACCGTTGCTGCTACCTTGACGTGGTGGTCGGGCTTGCCTATCGTGATGATCCAATCGAGCTATGCTGGCTGGAACAATCGTTCCTCGAGGTCCTACCATGCCAGACAGGTCGGTTGAAGAGCGGTGAGACTAAAAGCAGCAAACCCAAGGTCCGAAGGCGAAGTCGTACTGCTGACTGTACAGAGGTGTGACAGCAGTAAGGTGTTTCCTTCAGACAACCACCATGACAGCGATGCTGCCTTCCCACAAGGAGGGGTGGGGTTAGAAAAGGTCGACCCTAAAAATGCACACCTCGCCTTATCCCACGGATATCCGTCTCCGGCGGTAAGGTTTTTTTTGAAGAACGGAGCTAACACAAAAACTACCCACAAAATGGTCGTGTGTGACCGACCTCAAGCAGTTGTCCCTTGGGCACTGCGGTCACACTCTCAGGTCATTAAGACCACTTCTAACCCAATTTCCTTTTCAGGTACCTCTAGAAGAATCCTTCCACGGTGTGGGCAACCGGGAAGTGATAACTGCCCTCATACCTCTAACAACACTCAAGACCACTGTATTCATAATCAATCTCCTTCTTCAATTCCTACTACCTTGACTTTCAACACAAAACTTCCTCTCTCGGTTTCCTCCTCAAGTGTCACCATGGCCAACGATTCTAGTGCGCGAAACGCTATCCCAGGTCTACTAAAACCTCGCTCCAAACTACACATTGGAGCCTTCAACGTACGTACTTTAAGTCAAATCGGTCAACAGGCCTCCTTAGCTAAAACCTTAGAGTCGCGTACCATTGATGTATGCTGTGTCTCCGAAACACGCACACAGGATCCTAGTGTGGTCATTCACTTGACCTCACCTCGCCAAAATGGACAGCCAACGAAATACACCCTCCGTGTATCTGGCGACCCGTTGGCTAGTTCTCGTGGACTTGCAGGTGTAGGTATAGCACTAAGTACAAGGGCAGAACAGGCACTATTAGAGTGGATCCCCGTTAACAGTCACCTGTGTGCTGTCCGGCTAAATGGCTCCGTAAGAACTCGGAAGGATAGGGACACACGTCGTTGCCTTTTCGTCGTTTCTGCCTACGCTCCCACTGACTGCAGCCATGATGAGGTGAAAGATGACTTTTACAGAAAGCTCTCTGAGCTTCTTCACAAACCTAAGCGCTCAGACATAGTAGTCGTAGGGGGTGACTTTAATGCCCAGGTAGGCAGCTTAAATCAAACAGAAAGACACCTAGGTGGGTGTTTTAGTATTCCGGCTCAACGAACCGATAATGGTGATCGTCTGTTGCAACTATGCTCAGACAATCGTTTATTTTTGGCAAGCACTAATTTTAAACATAAGGAGAGACATCGTCTAACATGGCGACCACCTGCACCAAACCAACGATGGACTCAAATAGACCATATTGTCATCAGTCATCGTTGGAGAGGCTCAATAGAAGATTGTCGCTCGTATTGGAATACTTGTTTAGACTCTGATCACGCTTTAATACGAGCACGCATTTGTCTGCGCCTCAATGGACGCAGGAAAAGTAAACTAAGAAGACCCGTTAGGATTGAACTGAAGGACGAGAAAGCCAAATGCGAATTCCAGAGACAACTGAGTTCACATCTAGGCAGTTCTGTAAACGAGACTGACCCAGATGCTGCTTGGAAAGGCATACGAACAGCTGTGGAAACAGCAGTAACATCTATTAGTCATTTAAACCATAGGGCTCCAAAAAACCAGTGGATTTCTTCTAAGTCTATTTCACTGATGGATTCGCGTAAACTCATACCATCAGGCTCTGAACATGACGAAGAGCGTAAACAAATTAGATCTAGGTTAACTAAAAGTCTAAGGAACGATCGTGAGCAGTGGTGGGCAACGAAAGCAAAAGAGATGGAAAAGGCAGCGGCTGTAGGCAACACCAGGCAACTATTCAGACTAATAAAAGAAACTGGAATTAAGAAGTCAAGTGTAAGTGAGACGATCTCGGAAAAAGATGGAACCCTTATCTGCTCTCAACCTAAACGTTTAGAACGATGGGCGGAACACTTTAAGGAGCAGTTTAGCTGGCCTTCAGCTACTGCACAACTACCCACTATTCCTAGAAAAGCTGAATGGAACATTGAAGTAGGCCCCCCGACCCTACTTGAAGTTCAAAAGGCTATAGGTAATCTGAAACGAGGAAGAGCAGCTGGTCCTGATGGATTGGCTCCAGAGGTCTTTAAATATGGTGGTCCAATTTTAGCGATTAGGTTGACTAATATTCTGGCTAAAATCTGGGAGACGGATGTAATCCCATCCGACTGGTCACAATCACTGATTGTCCCAATATATAAAAAGGGGTCAAAATCATCCTGCGATAACCATAGAGGGATTAGTCTGACTAACATAGTATCTAAAATACTAGCCTCAATAATTATCAGGCGCCTAACTAAAACTCGTGAACTGCAAACACGAGAAAATCAGGCTGGCTTCAGACCTGGTCGTGGCTGTATCGACCACATATTCACCATTCGTCAAGTTTTAGAGCACAGACATGCTTATCGGCGTCCGACAATGATAGTTTTTCTTAACTTGAAAGCAGCATTTGACTCTGTAGACCGAGAGGTTCTGTGGCAGTGTCTGTCATTGAAAGGTGTACCTGAGAAGTACATAAACCTTGTGAATACTCTTTACTCGAACACTATCAGTCGGGTGAGAGCTTACGGCGAACTGTCATATGATTTTACAACCTCAAGTGGTGTCCGTCAAGGCTGTCCACTATCCCCCTTTTTGTTTAACTTCATTATAGACCTGTTGCTGCAAATGACACTCTCGTCGACTGAGTTTACAGGAATTGATCTCCTACCAGGGGGACCACTAAGCGACTTAGAATACGCAGATGACATAGTCCTGTTTGGTGAAGACACTGACAAAATGCAGAGTCTTCTGTTGGAACTGAGTAATAATGCCAGGATGTTTGGGATGCGTTTCTCCCCATCCAAACGTAAATTGTTACTCCAGGGCTGGCCTACGTCAACACCTGAACTAAGGATAGGGAGTGAAGTAGTCGAACGCGTCGACAACTTCACTTATCTTGGAAGTCTGATCAGCCCTAATGGGTTGGTGTCTGACGAAATCTCAGCACGGATTCAAAAAGCTCGTTTGGCTTTTGCCAACTTACGTCACCTATGGCGAAGACGAGATATCCGTCTATCAATTAAGGGACGAGTATACTGCGCAGCAGTTCGTTCTGTTCTACTTTACGGCTGTGAAACATGGCCATTAAGAGTAGAAGATACTCGTAGGTTACTAGTATCTGACCACAGATGCCTTAGAAATATTGCTCGCATCTGCTGGGATCACCGAGTAAGTAATAGTGAGGTTAGACGCAGGGTATTAGGTAACGATGGTAAATCAGTTGATGAGGTGATAAATCTTCATCGACTGAGATGGTTGGGCCATGTGTTACGTATGCCTGAACACCGATTACCACGACGCACTATCATGACCAGTATTGGGGACGGTTGGAAGAGAGTTAGGGGCGGCCAAACCAAAACATGGCATCAGTGCTTGAAGTCACTAACTTCTAGCCTGAGCCATGTTGGCAGATGCAGACTACCTGGTTGGGGTCCGCGTGACTATCGTAATAAATGGTTGGAGACTCTAGGTGACATGGCTCAGAATCGATCACAATGGCGTAGGTGTATACACTCTTTATCTTCCCTTAAGCCTTGAGATTAAAATGGCTTCATATCTCTCTTCCTTCCTGTACTATATCCTTATATACAACCTATAATTTATATACTACTACCACCACTAAATTAATTACTTCTATGAATCCGGTGTTCATCTTGTTGTGCTAAAGAGGTATGGCAACTTGGACCGATGCATATATGTGCCTGGTCCTACTTTGTAGCTGACTGACTGATACATGAGTGGCACTAGTATTTATTCATTGTACGACAACCATATAGAATCGAAAGCTTACTAACACTAAACAAGACGTAGTGAACAACTGAGTTTAAAGACCTTCAAAGTTGCATGCGGCTACCTCACACCAACCTAAATATTCATGCCCTATTACCAGGAATATTTTGCTAGGATTACCTGTTTACATCCGAAATCCCAGTTTGCACGGGCTACCTATCAATCGGCTGCGAACCTTCAACTAGTCAATGGCCACCACACAAGTATATATGAACCTATGATGTATTTTAAGTCTCGCTCTTTCGACTGATATAAAGTACTAGAGCTTATGGCAAGAGCAAGACATGACACTACGGTTACAAGTTTATTTATAGATGATCTTGAGTAAAACCAAATCCAGTTATAGACCTTGGAAAACATTTTTATAAGAAATATCAACCTAAAAGTTATGAATGGAGCTCGATTGAGCTATCTAAATTAACGAAATTACCTTTGTCAAGTGACAATCGGCGCAGCCATATCGATTTGCTTAGCATGAATGAAGTTGGGTTGACGTTTGGTAAATTGTCCAAGAGCCATCGATCAAGAAGCAACGGTCAGTACTCATCACACGGTTAGATTTCTGGACAAGGAACTAGTTACGTATTGGACGTGCGCCGTAAGACCTAGACATCACCTCGGGAGGGCTCGACGAGAGGCATCGTTGCGCCCGCGCAGGTAATATTGCAAGCCAACCAGAGCAGCACTTTGTCGGGAACGCAAACGTATAGACAGACCGAACGTTACGTCTTTAACAACCACCCACAAGCTTTCAAGTCGACTAGTAACTCACATTTTAGTTCTCCAACCCGCCCTCGTCAAAGTGACGAGAAAATTAGGAAAAATATTATATCACGGTATTTGCTTCCACAGAGTATGCGAAAACCGAGTACCGGAATCCAATCGCAATGCGTCACTACAAGCAACTCAAAGGATGGCTTTCAACCGGCTACTCCTGCTCAATAGGTAACTATATATTAGAAACTATCCTAGAGCGTACATGCCTGATATCTAAGCAAGGGAACACAACACATTACTCGTAGCAGACCTAATAGAACGACTGAAAAGCCACTCACCGTTGGTCGAATCGTCATCCGAGTTGTTTACAGATTGATTCTCATCTTCAATCCAATCGACATCTCCATCCACAAATTCAACGTCGTCCGGTTCACTAGCCTACAGAACAAATGACAGGATGTGACTTTCCTACAGACGTCATAATCAAATCGTAGTTGTCTAGCTAATAAACACTCATCCAATGACATGATTAATGCCCACATTAAAATAAAAGAAGACATCATTGTGGAAAGAATTTATTTGATTTCCCACAAAGGTACAAGAGCTTCACAACGATTACTTCACTTGCTCCTTTCCCTCATTTTCCTTCGTTTACGCTTCAATCTCCTCATCCTCTTTTTACGCCACTTATCACGCATCTAAGAACGGAATGACTGAGTCAATGACAAGACTTTCCACGCCACGAACAATGACTTAGGGCAAGGTTACCTTGAACATGAACACGTTCAAACACACTTAAGTTTCAAGGTACAATAGTTTAAGATCATAGTTCAAATAACATCATGTATCCATGTTAGTGGTGAGGGAGTAACACCTTCAGTCATTTTCACTACCTTCCGACTAACACAAACGTGAAAACTTATTTTTGCATAGTTTATCAAAAGTTAAATCCTTGCCTTTTTCGGTGGCGAGTTCCAGAACTTACAGACTTTGAAACCTAAAACATTGAAACGTATTTTCATGAATATTTTCATGTAATATTCCAAAATAAGTGTCCGTATAGCGGTAAATAAATCTGCAATAAAAATAGTTCTATTAGTCTTTAACGCTGACTCTGACCTCATCAGCTCAACTAGACACACCCTGGATGAGGGCTCTTGGTCACGTATATACACTAAATTACGAGTAGGTACATCATGCTATGCATTTATTGCATAACCCGTTTAGAACAAACGCTTCTCAATATATTGGCAGCTTTCCAAATATATCTTCGAACTTCTTCATTGATGACTCCCGACTTGGTGGGGTTGGTATCCTTCGATCTTAAGAGTGTTATGAGTAAAGGCGTTGTCTATTCTGATTGTATGTGACATCTTTGTCCATTTGGGTGCAGTGTATTATTGAATAATATTCGTCCTCTTTAAGGAACAAGAAAATTATGGACAATATGATACAACAGTAAGAGTCTTCTAATCCGTTGAACCGAAGAGAGAAGCTGGTTATTATTTGTTTCATAGTCCAATTACTTGTTTTGTCACTTTCCTTTGAATTCGTTTAAGAAAGATTGTTCTCAAGCGAAATGTGACAACTGCAACAAATTTTATCATAACGTATGCATGGGACCCACACTAGCTGCATATAAAATGTGCCGAAAGCCAAAATCACTTTGAATGTTTAAATTGTGTTGCTCTACAAAGTCTCTGCTGATTCTTAAGGTGACTCAGCTGCTGAACATAGCTAGAAAAATGCCCTCGGATAAATGACCATCAGTAGACAAACAGCTCCCAGCTTTCGAGGAAATAGCGATCGTTACCATAAGTTCAGCCTTGGATTTGAATGAAACCAACAAGCTTGGTCCAGATAACATGTCGGCTAACAAACACACAGATGTAGGCGTGGTTTCAAGAAAAAGAAGACAGCATGCCGATAAGAAACAAATTATCGGCAGCACCAAACTATGAGAATCAATGGTTCCAGCCTCGGATTAATAAATAACGTAAAACATGCTATGAGAGGAAAGCATTGGCGGTATAGATGACATGATCAAGAGACAACATATAGTCAGCGACTTGCTTACAATTACACTCAGAGAAGGAAAGTCAATGAAACGGTGAGATTTTAGGAAAAAAAGCTCTGCAGCTTGTTAAGACGGACCTCGCTGATAGGTCAGTCATTTTTCCATAAGTTGAGTAAATCTTCCGAAAATCATCCAACAGCTAGATTTGAACACGACCTAAGCCACGTTAAATCTTTATTGAGCTACTTCCAGAAATATTAGCAGGAGTAAGTAGCTATAAGCTTTATAGAGTAGGACAAATATTGGGTTCTGAAGTTACTCAGACAGACAACCTCTTAAAAGTTGACATTGCTTCTGCAGGAGAAATAAACCTTTTGCTCAAAAACTCACCGAAAATCAACAGAACTATGTGAACTACACCAAAATTTAGAGACAAATTTCACAATATATTCCTTCTCTATCGTCTACGATATTCAATATGTCACTTGAATAATGATCAAAAAGACCATAATGATGGTTGTGGAGACGAACATCTTGTTAAACAGCGAACAATATGGTTTCAGAAAACGGTTACCTTGCACAAAACATCTCCTCACGGCGAACGAGCGATGGACAGAGGTTCTAGATAGTAGAAAATCACTGCAGTTAATGAGGTGCAGAAAAATAGACTACTGAAAGGTGGAAAATCTAGACATTGCCAGACCTCTACCAAAATGGTTTAAGGATTTCTTAGTAGGCCGTAGACAGAAAGTGAGAATAAAGTCCAAGTGCTTCACCTGATGACCAGTAATTAGTGGAGCACCTCAAGGTTCTGTCCTAGGTTCTCTACTTTTTATACTGTATGTAAACAAACTCCCAAGTTTAGTTGAGTCTCCAATGCTACTATACTCTGATGATGTTTAAATCTGAGGAGAAATAACGGCAGATGCAGATGCATGCGCACTTCAGACAGACTTAAATATTTTGGTTAGTTTGTCTTAAGAGTAGCTGATGCCAATCAACGCGACAAAAAGTCTACGTGCACTTTAGGGATACAAAACAAATAATTACAGCATAGGGGGAGTTCCTGTACCCGTGGTTTAGTCTCACAAGGATCTTGAGGCGACAGTGAGTCATGATCTTGAGACCACGGCCTGCTGCCTCGAGATTGCAGGTGAGGGGTTTAGAACCCTATGGGCTTTAAGACGAACATTCACCAAGTTAGATACTACCATACTCATCACATTATACACAACCTTAGTGAGAACTAAGCTTGAAAACTGCGTTTGGGCTGTGGGCTCCCGTTGAATAGTTGACTCAGATATTCTGGAAGAAGCACAGATGGCGGCTAACCGTGGAATACCAGCACTCAAAGGTTTAGCACACAATGAGCGGCTTTAAAAGCCAGACATCTTTACCCTGTCTTGCAGCATGTTGAAAGGTGATTTGATCTTAACGTATAGAAAGCTAATAAATAATTTTTTACCGGATATGTCCTCTCATTTTCCTCTTACCAGATCGGGACAAATCAGAGGACATAGCGGGCGAACAGAAAAACTAGAAACAAACAAAATACCCATAAGATACAAGTTCTCACACCTAGTCATAAATTCTTGGAAGCCGATACCAGAAGCAGTAGTGTCTGCACCTTCAATCGATTCATTAAAGGGAAGACTACACACTTTGAAAGCCTACTAGAAAAGGACTAAAATAGGCTCTAGAACTTCTATACATAATACACAAATTGGACCATACCTGAGCATTCAAAACAGTCTAGAAGAGTACAAGGACCAGGCTATCTTAAGCTTTAAAGAGGTTACAGGAAACGACAAAGCTTGACAGTTCTGGTTTTTAAATCTCTTTCATAGGACTTATTCTGGGACTTTAATATGTGATTTGCGACAATTGGGGGAAAAGATATTTTTCAGTTCTGTGAGAGTGTGCCACAATAGAGTGATTCGTATCCAGAATATGAGGATCGCATGTGTAGGATTTCGGACCAGAAATCGCTGCAGACGTAGGACGGAACCACATTTAGCCAAGAAACCAGAAGCGACCATAATAACCAAGTACTGGACCAAATGTATGCCAGACGTATTCAGAGCCAGAAACTTTGGTTGAGTGAGTTGACAAGGGCGTTGTTGATCAGGCCAGCTTTCACCAAGTTTGACTGAAGTCGACGTTATCAACAGGGCGATTGTCGGAGGCGTGGGCTCAGGACAAATTAACAAAGAAAAGTTTAGCATTCATGTGGTATCCGTATCCGCTATGGATTGAGAGGTTAGCCGTGAAAGCGTACGGTCAGGCGTACTCGGCAATCGGAACGTGAGACGGTAGTCTCTTTTGTACACCGCGAGAGTGATATCTGATATGAAGTCAAGGGCGGCGTGATCTGCTGATCTGGACGTGAGACTGAAGTCTCGTCCGCAGATGGTGCAGGTCTTTTCGTGACAGGAAATCACTTGAAAAGGTCCTTCGTAAGGCTGTTGCAAAGGTTTGCGTACCGATTCTACTCATATTAAAACATGTGAACAGGTAGATAACTCTCAAGGGAGAGCGACCTGTCGATGTTGTATACGAGTTGATACCGGAGGCAGCGTTGGCATATATTCAGACGATCGTTGGACGTAGTCTGATTTACCAAAATTGTTACTGGTCCATGGAGTGAGAAAATCCCCAGGCAGACGCAATATCGTGCAGTATACAAATTCAGCGGCGGAACATAGAACATTTGCTCGTTCTGATAGCTAAGAGGACGAGCGGCAAGGTTTCGTAACAATTGTGGCTTTTGTGTGCTCAAAGAGCACTTCTAAGTTGTGCAGACAAATGGTTTAATGTGGATGAAGTTTCAAAACGTAACACATGGAAATTAAGAGATAAAAGTAAGTAGAAATATCAAAATCAAAGTATAGGCTAAATGGATAAATCATTAGTTCCAACAAACGAAATATCATTCGTAAAAATGATGAAATACATCTCCAGACTATATAAAGAAGGATAGATGGTGGTTAGCAGTGGAATCCAGGAAGCGAGTTTAATACTAGTTGGGAGTCGTCAGATGAATTGATACGTCTTGTAGATTTAACGCTATATTCGTTTCCTAAGCTATTCTGGTAACCCACAGGCTAGAACTACTCAGCGACTTTAACACCAGAGAGAAGACACGAGTATGAGAGAAACACTTTACTGCAAGGTTCATTTATGTACAGAAAATATGGGGATTTTATAGTAATTTAAGAGTCCTTGGGCTTTATTGAAAATTTTAGAATACTGCTAAACATAGTAGCAGTGTATTAATCAGCCAATCAGAATCTCTACATATGACTTTTTATTTTCGTTATTTTAGTAACATAACTTCTAATCAAACGGTGATTGGTTGAAATGCTCCTTGATGTTTCATGAGCTTGTCATGTCGATTGAGAGAAAATTGCAGGATCATCCCAACATGGATATACATGCATCCCAGAGTTGATGTTCACTTTCAGATTTAAACCCAGTACCATTCGCATCAAACGCCAACACGTTATTCACTTAACCACTGAGTCCTGATAGCCACCTGCTTGTGCAATGAGGTGAAGTTTAAATTCACTTGGTATTGTTTACTTGCATCTTGCCATTATTTTTTAGGACTGCAATTGATCAGTTTCTTATTGACATATGTACATCCTGTGAGGCAATATCGAGGCAATCAGCAATCAATTGCAATCCTAAACAACAATGAGAAGATACAAGCAAACAATACTAAGTGAATTACATCTGTAATCTAGTTATAGCTATTAAATAGGACTCCTCAGTGGCAGTGCGCATCCACGATCCCACACTCGCGAGATTCCAATCCAGGACCAACAAGATTTTCCATAGTGGTCTAACTTCAATTGACTTATGATTTCAACTATGAAGATAAGGATAAGTTACAGTCATGTGATCAATAAGATAAAAAGTGTACACACAACTACGCTCACATAAAAAAATAGTCAAGGTTAATAAATGAATAATTAACAAGGTCAAAACATGATTCATGATGAATAGGTAAATTGATTTGTCCAAGAACTAGAATATGTGAGATAACATATCAACCGACATTACAATATAATCCAAATCAACAAATATTATTGATCTTTGAATATCTTATGGAAAAGAAAAATCGATTTTTTTAATCGATTGACCTTCAACTGACCTTCAAATTATCCCGTTCAAATATATATACAATTTTATATATATATGTGTGTGTGTATGTATGTATTGTGACGTTTATATTCAGTGATTGTTTTGTAACAACAAAATAAAGATCACATATTTTCTTTCCTATTTGTCACACTTTATATGTAACCACATTTATATCCATTATCTATTGTTTCTCTGTATCCATGGTAAAGAAAAGAATATTTTTGTTTGGTGATATATAATACTACTACTTCACTACCGCGATTCTTGAAATAAGAACGTTGTCTCCGCCGTCTATTCATCTGGTTTAATGGCCACGGTCTTTGATTAAAGATTTTAATAGTATTCTAACATCCTTTGAGGCCTTCCCATACTAAGTTGGAGCTTTGACCCGGATCATTATTAGAGAAATACAAGCGGATTTAATCTTCTTCATTTTACTTTTGATGTCATCACGTACAGAGGAACCTTTGCTAACCAAAAGAACTTATTTGTGGTTATCTCAGAGAGCAGCTTACAAGTAACACTCATTTCATAACAACTGTTACCATTTTGTTACTCAATATACCTTTTGCATTACTCATAGGCATACGCTTAGGTTTGTAGTGTTAATCTTTTTTTGGTATATTATTGGTAACTTTGTGTATTATTATATTTTGACTAAGCTCTTTTACTGGAATTCACCACATGTGTGCGTGTGTGCGTGCATGTGTGTGCGTGTAAGTGCGTAGTGTGTGTGTGTTAAATTCATAGAAACCATGGCAACAACAACAAATTATCATAAAAGATTAAAACAACAATTCATTATTCAATTATTTATTATTTTATTATGTTTTAATGAAATTTATTTATCTAAATATTTATATATAAATATACCGAAAACATCATCATTATCATTTAAATTAAGAAAATTATTTAATTTACCAATTTATATTAAAAATATTAAAATATTAAAATTTTCTGATTGGTTAATAAATGATTGGTCAAATGAAAAAAGTTGGCATTATTTAAATATGGCAAATTATGAATTACCATTATATATTAAAGAAGAATATTGGATACCAGATATATTAATGTAAGTTTATTACTGTTGAAAATCAGAAAAGAGGTTTTTGTAGAGATTTTAGTAATTTTTATATATAGTTGAAATCATGAATCAATTAAAGGTAAACAACCATGGAAAATCTTAAAGAACTGGATGACTGTTTCGTCTTATTGTACGATTGTTCAGTGGCAGGGCGTGACCACGATTCTGGGAGATTCGAACCCATGACCTATCAGTCCCACATGTGAGTGCTTAACCTCTAGACAACTGAGTCGGCATCTAACAGTGTTAATGTCTAACTACAACCGACTCACGAAATTAAGCAACCGTGCACCATTGTCTTCAATAAGTTGATATCTCACAACAGACCTGGTTGAACTCCACTGGTCACTGCTTCTCACTAGAACTCCAGGAAATACCTGTTGAAACCATCCATTAGTGAGCATATGATTATTATCAGAAGGGGTGGATGCGCATTACTGAGGAGTCTCACAATAGAACAAAACGGCCATCCATTGCTTCCAGGTTTTCCATAGTTGTCTAGCTTCAATTGACTCATGATTTCAACTATATATAAATATTATTATTATTATTATCCTTGTCTACTCTTACCCCCCCCCGTATCTATAGTCTAGTTGACCTCTTATTTTTATATATAAATGTTTTGGTATATTAGAACAATTTGTGTACCAGAAGCAACTCATAAAAGTCTTATTGATATCATCTATGAATTTACACAAGAAGATTATGAGAAAACATATTCTATTTCAATAAGAAATCAATTTACTAATACTGGGAATTACTATGATGGTGGATATTTAAATATACTTTCATTTCTAATTAATATATGTCAATGTTTACGAAAACATGTAAGTTTGGTGGGATCAATTTTTGGGATATTTATTATTTGTTTATGTTACATTCTATGGTACAAGTTAAGTAAGGTGTATAAAGAAGTTCAGTCATCAAGCCAAATTGTAATATACACAAATCATTACTTACTTACTTACTTACTTACTTACATACCCCTGTTACTCCCAATGGAGCATTAGCCGCTGATCAACATTCTCCAACTCACTCTGTCCTGGGCCTTCCTTTCTAGTTCTATCCAACTTTTGTTCATTCTTTTCATGTCTGTCTCCATTTCTCGGCGTAATGTGTTCTTTGGTCTTTCTCTTCTCCGTTGACCTTCAGGATTCCATGTGAGGGCTTGTCTTGTGACACAGTTGGATGGTTTCCTCAAAGTGTACCCAATCCACTTGCAGATCTTGTTCCTGATTTATTCTTCCAATGAAATCTAGTTTGTTCCCTCCCACAGTAGGATGTTGCTGATAGTGTCTGGCCATCGGATCCGAAGTATCTTGCGTAGACAACTGTTAATAAACAATTGTATCTTCTGGATGATGACTTTCGTAGTTGTCTACCTCTCCGTCCCATACAGTAGAACTGCCTTGACATTTGTTTTGAAAATTATAACCTTGGTGTTGGTTGGCAATTTTTTTGAGTTCCAGATGTTTTTCAGTTGTAAATATGCTGCTCTTGCTTTGCCGATCCTCGCTCTCACACCTGCATCAGATTCACCATGTTCATCAATGATGCTGCCTAGATATGTAAAGATTTTCACATCCTCAAAAGCTTCTCTGTCAAGTGTGATTCGATTAGTGCATGCTGTATTGTATCGGAGGGTCTTGTTTTTCCCATTGTTTATATTGAGACCTACTGCATACAAAAATCATAGGTATATATATATATATTCGGCCGCCATTCTGACTTACATTAGAACATATTAGCTAAGATCTTAAGTAGATTCATCATTGATTTACTTCAATAATGTACTTCATTTACAGTTTTGCACTTACGTTTAACTTTGTGAGTGAGTGAGTGAGTCAGTCAGTCACAACGTAGAACTTCGTACGTGCGTACATCAGTTCGAGTTACCATATCACATTAGCACAGAGATGCAGATGTCAATTCAAATCCCATAGTGGTAGAAGTAGTAAGAGTATAAGCATTAATCGGAAGCATTAAGGTTTGAAGATGTTATTGAAGGAGTATAATACAGTGAAATAAATTTGGAAAGAGAAAAGAATAAAGGGACATGAAGAATTCAGAAGATTAGAATTTGGGAGAACATAAACATTGGATGCACCTTCGCCATTGCCAATGATTTTGAGCCAGATCATTCAAGGTCTCTAACCATCGATTGCTATCATCTCGCAGATCCCAACCAGGTAGTCTACACCTAAATTGTGAGTACAGGAACATGATATGTCTGTGCATGAGAAATTTGTCATTATCAAGTGATACTTGATAAGTTGTATACATTTTGTGTTCTAATCAAATTATGCTTTGATATGTTTCAACATTCATAATTGACACAGTAATAATGATAAATATATGTACTATTCTTCGCTGGTTTTTTGAAATATCACAGCGTTATCGTTATGACTTTATAAAAGAAGGCCTTTGCCAATTCGTTATGATTTTATGTTTGCCTTCTTATCACTTGAATTATCCACCAATCGAAATACGACTTTTTTAGTCTCAATACTGTGCCAATCAATGACGTTCAACTGGTATGAGCAGTCTGGCATCCTTATTGGTCCCTTGTCCACCTAGCCTTTCCAATTGAGTCCAGAACACCAATTGCAGCTTCTGCTATGCGAATCATTTACTTCAACCATACTCGGTTTATATACCAGATAGACAGACCACATCATACCATAAAATAGAAAATAATATTTGTACAAGATCAAGTCAAATGTGACTGTGAACGTGGGATACAATAATGAATAAACTGAATATAATTTAGGGACAGTAATTCTTTTTTGTTTATCAATTGTCATTTATTTTTATGTAACAGTTTCTTGATCTGATTTCAAGGAGACTATCAGTTTATCTAGCGTTTTAATTTTTTCTGGTTAGTGTTTTTTTAGCGAGTTAATTTTCTATAGGATGGGGTCGCTAACCCCATGCCCAACCCTCCTCCTTTATCGTGGCTTGGGACCGATAGTAGACCTCAGGGAGGCCACAGGCGGATTTAAGTTTATTTATACTGTGTAAAAGTCGTATTGTAAGCATCAATAGCGGAGTTCAGTTGAGAAATCCCAAAAATAAGACAAAATAGGCATTATGAATTTCATTGATGGCCACGATTTAACTTCATTTACATCTGTTTAGAATCTATATATGATAATAAAGAGCGATTAATAAAAACCATTATTATAAACAATTCGTTTGTTTGAAGCGAAAGTTAATGGGTTCGAGCCATAGAGTGGACATCAACAAGTCTGAGATGCAGGTACATCCAGCTGACGAGTCCCAAACGCGCGTCCTGGATTCCACTGCTAGCCACTATCCATTTCTGCTTACCATGCTTGTGGATTAAGACTATATCGAGGCAATATGCACAGTATGCACATAGGGCCAATTAGAGACTGACCAGTTGCAATCCTAACACATCGATGGGAAGATTCAAACAAACAATACTCAATGAATATAAACACCAATAATTATTGAGACTCTGAACCAATGTTTAAGTGATTGCTTTTTATTGAACAGCTTCAAAATTAAAATTCTGAAGATGAATGAAAATGAAAGTACAATTCGTAGCTAGATCATCTAACCTAACTAGTCGGTTACTAAACTAATGTTTCAAAATAGTTTGTAATTCAGGTTTTCCACTATACAATCATGTGAAAAATTGAAACAAATCACTTTATTAGCAACAGTTCACCACTGTATCCTTTCTTTCACTTTTTCACTATTTTCAATCATTTCTTATTTATAGAGGGAGGGTTTCATTACAGATTGAAGCCAGTTGGTATATTGTGAAAAAAGAAGCACCACTGTGAAGCCGTTTCGTTCTAGTACAGAGATTATGGGCAGTGTATAACTATAAATCATTAAACACTCATTGGTCTAAAGATCACTTACTGCCTGAGTAAACCAAAGGTCCTGGGGTACGATCTATGGTAGTGTCATCGATGCTCACTTTTGATAAGACTCATACTAGAAGAAAACAGAGGGACTGTCACGAGCGGAAACTCAGGTGTGAAATTACAGAGTGTCTTCTCGAAATAGGAAAAACATACATTGAATAATTTATATACCCATCATCCATCGTCGTCCTTTACATTCTTCACGATTCTTACAATTCTATTTTTATTCCAATTCCTTTCTGTTTCCTTCTCGGTTTTCTTTAATTCAATCGTCTCCATCCTCTTTTGACAGGGATTTCACTGTTGACTGGTGTTACATACTACTTATATCTGTTAACATAAGTAGCATACATCACGGTATCACAAGTGATGTTAATCTGTGACGATAATTGCTTACATTTTCGACTAATTTTTGCAGATTATTTCAACAAACTATTTATATTCATTTATCTACGATTTTAGAATACGAATTTACATTGTCCAAATCCTTGTGCTAAACCAAATGTCTGTCATGATGATATGAACAGTAATGGTTTGTGTATGATAATACCAAATGATGAAATTTTGAATAATATACCAATAAAGATACGAAGCAAACTAGGATCAATCTATGCTTATGATTATGAATGTGTATGTGTAAATGGTTACACTTTTAACCATACATTAAAGAAATGTGTACCAATCAAAAAACATTGTGATTCTTCTGTGTAAGCCGTTTTTTTCTTGTTCATTATCACTGTGTAGCTTTATATGCTTATTTTTTGTGTATAAGTTTGTCACAACTAAGATACATTATTCATCTTGTAAATTATTATCAGTTACATGTTATCAGAATATAGTTTTGTGGAGATTTTAGTAATTTTAATGGTTGGATTCATGAGTCGATTTAAGCTAGCCCACCACGAACAACCTGAAACACACAGGGAGGCCGTTTCGTCCAAACACGGGAATCCCCACCAGTGCGCACCCATAACCCAGCACGCTGCTAAGTGGTTCAAAGGTTAGGCATTCGTATGTAAGACCGAAGGTCTTGAGTTCGAGTCCTGCCTTCAGGATCACAGGTGTACACTGCTGAGGAGTCCCATACTAGGATGAGACGGCCGTCCAGTGCTTCCAGATTAATTGCTTGATTCCTAAATAACAACGTAGTACTCTTGTAGGTTCTTCAATTAGTGTCATTTCACGAAAGAAAAACTGTTTTTTATAAAGATCAGAATCAAGTATATAACCTTGAAAAAGGTTATGAAACTGTGTAATATTTCATTTGCATAGATTTCCTTCAATGTTTCGAAGTCCTTTCGACTGTTTTTGTTATGTTTATTTCCAGTTGTCTAAATAATGGAGAATGTGAATATTTACCAGAAAATGAACGAAGTATTCCTGATATTGAATTTATTTGTAAATGTCCACCTGCATGGAAAGGATTATCATGTGAAGTAATGTCAAGACTTACATTACATTAGTTTTATAAACATTTTTATTGATAAATATCAAATATAATTTGTTCTTGAAATAGGATTACTACAGCATGAAAAATGTGGAGTGAGTAGTAGTGAGTATTAGTAATCGATAGCATTCGATCAGCACTTAGACGGACTTGAAACGCATGACGTTGAATACCATCCGGTGATCAATCGATTGTGATTACATCTTAGTCCTACAGGAGGTCGGTCGCTGCCCGAATACCGCAGTGGTAACGTCTCCGACTGTGAAGCTGGGTGACACAGGATCGAATCCGTCATGGAGCACTAGTTCCCTCAAGATTACAAGTACACGTTGCAAACAAGTACCCAGTAGCACGAAACCCGAGTCCAGGGTTTCCTGTTGACCACCTCTAACCACCATCTTAATCCCATCAGGAGTCAAACTCACGAACTGCATACCTTGCAGGGAGCTCCTGACCTTCAGACCACTGAATTTATCAGCCACCTGACACGATACCTCAATTTCTTGGTTTCACTTCCAGATGGGGTTGAGATTGTACTAATTAATTTTCAGCGCTTGTTTGGCTAAGGCCATTAATTAAAGTAAAAAGAAAACTCACAGAATCAACAATATTCATAATGGCCTTATACTACTAAATGAAAATTATTCTCACAAAATATTGAATTTTTTCATTTAGAAACCAAGAAATCCTTGTTTAGAAACACAAAGATTATGTGGACAATATTCTTGTTATCGTGATCCAACTAATTTAAAACTTGGTTATCGATGTGATTGTCCCAAAGGATATAAAGCAATTAGTACAACTAATCCACAATGTATAAATATAAATGAATGTATAGAATATATAAATGATGAAATTTGTTTAAATGGTGGAATTTGTATTGATAAAGAACCATATTCAATTATTGAACATGATGTAATAGAAGTAACTTATGGATTTCAGTAAGCTGAAATGTTTATTATTCAATTTTGTTTTAATTAATATTGTAATATTGAAGCTATCCACCATGGAAAACCTGGAAACCTTGAACTGCCGTTTCGTTCTATTGTGGGACTGCTCAGTGGCAGTGCGCATCCACGATCCCGCTTCGCGAGATTACAAACCAGGACCTATCAGTCTCGCGCGCCAACGCTTAACCTCTAGACCACTGAGTCGGCTGGCATCCAACGGTGTTAACGTCTAACTTCAGCCAATCCACGAAGTTGAGCGACCATTTCACCAATGTTTTCAGTGAGTTGATATCTCCCGACAGACCTGGTTGAACTCCACTAGTTACTGCTTCTCAATAGAACTTCAGGAAATACCTCAAAGAGCCAATGGTTAAGAGCTCGCATGCGATACTGATAATTTATGGGTTTGAATCTCGTGAGGCGGGATCTTGGATGCGCACTGCTGAGGAGTCCCACAATAGGACGAAACGGCCGTCCAGTGCTTCCAGGTTTTCCATGGTGGTTTAGTTTCAATCGACTCATGATTTCAACTATATGAAAAATGTTTATTCAGTTGGCTTCAACTCATTTTACTGCATTAGGACGCGCGTTTCGTCCTATTTGGGACTCATCAGCTGGATGTACCTGCATCTCAGTGTTGATGTTCACTCTGGGACTCGAACCCAGTAACTTTCGCTTCAAACGCCATCGCGTTATCCACTCAGCTACTGGGTCCTATTAGTCACTTGCTTGTGCGATAGGATGAGGTTTAAATTCGCTTAGTATTGTTTGTTTTAATCTTGCCACTGATGTTTAGGACTGCAATTGATTAGTCTCATATTGCCATATGTGCATACTGTGCATATTGCCTCGCGCATCCTGGGTTCCACTGCTAGCCACTATCCATCTTTTCTTATAATACTTGTGAATTAAGGCCATATCGAGGCAATACGCACAGTATGCACATATGCCAATAAGAGACTGATCAATTGAAGTCCTAAAGAACAACGGGAAGATTCATGCAAACAATATCAAGTGAATTTATATTTAATGTTTTTTACATTAACTCTATGTATGTTTCTCCTATATGTGTTATCATAAAGTGTGTGTGAAATTGTATTATGTTCTACGGTTGATCTGGTTTTGGGATGTATTTAGATATTTGACTTTGGCGAGTCAATAAATTTTCATTTCATCAGTCTTTCGTGTTCTCACTTTGGGTCGTAAGAATCGTTGTGGTTCCCGTTTCTCTAGAATTGACGCGTTGTTATGGTTCTCGATTGTTAAGTAAAAGTAGTAAGAATGTAGATTCAACAGAGCTGGTAAGGATATAGCAGCGACAAGTCACCAAGTATAACTGTTGGTTAATCAGTTACGAAATTGCTGAAGGAGCCAGTTTTCCAGTTATAACACTTAATTTTCTTAAACGAGATATCTACTGAACAATAATATGTATTTAGAAAGAAGGAAGGTTGAATGAATATTTCGGTCTTGTGTTTTGCTAAATTACATCGAACCTTCACTATTATTATTACTACTGCTGTTGCGAACAGAACACGAATGGGGACAATCGAATGTATCTAAGCACAAATTACAGACTATCTCACTAAATTCTGTTAACCATACAGTAAACAGTTAAAAATAACAACCAGTCGTCTCAATCTTCTCTGTTCTTTCTGTAAATATCAGTTCATCTTATCTAATTCCATTGTTCATGCACTTTCCTACCGATTGCGCTCCATTTCAGTTCTTTCCTTATCGGTCTTCTGCCAAAATACATTCTATGCCTGACCATCGCCATATATTACTTATATGGATATAAGTAGAACACACTACACTGCGATTATAAAACACACTTTGACATTCATTTTGTTCTAAATAGTTACATTATTAGACGAAAAACAATTTACTTTCAAATCCTTTTATTCACCCGTTTCATTCTCCGCGCTATTATAATTTAGTTCATAGAGCTGGATAGAACTGGATTTCTAATCAAGCCTAGAAATTCATCCTTGTGCATTTAATTCTTTCTGTCAATAAATGAACTGAAAACATGAGTATTTCCCTTGAAATTGGTGAGTAACCATTATCAGGCCATAAATATAATCCAAGAACTTTAACTCTCCGTCGGTGCATCATATTCAAGCTACTGAGTATCGAATGAGTCTTGTTTACTCATTGTTGAGGAGTCTCATACCAGAATGACACAAATATCTATTGTTTACTGGCCTTAAAAGGTACTCTCACTGTTGTCGGTCCGTAATGACAACCACTTACGAAATGAATTGAACTGCATAAAACTCTTTATCTAAACTACTATTTATTACATTTTTAAGATGTATATGTTCAAACGGTTATTCTGGACAACGTTGTGAACGTAGGCCGCCGCCATTACAATGGACTACATGGTCTGAATGGACAGAATGTTCAGTTAAATGCGGTATCGGTGTGCATAAACGTTTTCGTAATTGTTCATTGCCTAATCGTTGTATTGGATCATATGTACAAGTCAGTAAATGTCAAGGTCACGTGTTATTTTGTGAAAATGAAGAGATTAACGAATTCATTCAATCAGGATCAAAAATTATTAAAAGTGTAAGTTAGTGTATTCACAATTATCTGCCATACTATTTAATTAATTGACTGACTAACTTATAAACTGACAGATCAATAGTCGAACGGATAGAATGGTTGATTGACTGATAGTCAATCAATCTAGCATAACCAATTTAGAACCTGACACAGATGTGTATCGGTTCAAAACCCCACACTAGATTAGTACATCATAATAAACTTACCGAGTCATCATCCCAGAATGGTAAAAGTTTCAACAATATCAGTAGGGATCAAAAAGATTAGGTATAGAAAGAAGAAAAAAGTATAAGGATATTTGAGGACTCAAGTTCTGATAGAAAACAAAGATTGAATTCATCTATGTCATAAAGCATGATGCTAGACTATGTCATAACTGCCAATAATTAGTTACTAAGAAAATCATCAGTGTTTATTTAATTTTGTTGTTAAAATTTGATTTCCAACCATTCATCATATGTGATAATCAGAATTTAGTAACAGTCTCCAGTTGATGTCCCCTTCTCTCTAAGTAATATTTTCAAATATATCTTCTCAATAGAAAAGATATGATTTCATTCTTCTAATCATTAATTAAAATGGGTATATAAATCAATATATAATTAAGTATCTTTGTGACTAGGGTTATCGTCATGTTTTGGGGTCAATAAATCTTAATTTGTAACAGTCTGGATGTTTATTATTTTTATCGTAGGAAATCCAGTGGTTTCTCGTTTTACAAACATAAAAAAATAATCAATTCCAACATAATAATTAGCGACAACCAGTCATAAGAAATTGGCGAAACAAACATAACAATGAGCAGTTCATGCACTCCTGAATATTTATAACTCATATCATTTTATACCTCAATTATAGATAAGATTATTAAGAGTAGTTAATATAGTAACTGAAGTTCCTGCAGTGTCCAGTAGAATATATTCATCTGTTATAGGTTTGTACCTCATTTAGCTTTGTTTAACATTTTATGATGAATAAATAGAATTCACCCAGTTTCTGTGAGTCACTGTATATCGCAATCCTAAAATCCACAATATTACTAACAGTCCCTTTGTATCAATTTGTTTACTCCATTTATTTTACACAATCAATAGCTAACAGAAATCCTTATGTTGCCAAACCTTTGATTATGATTAAAAAATGTCTAAATAAACTGTCATAAATGTTTACATATATTATTATTATTATTATTTGCACTATTATTATCATTATGATTCTCCTATTACGTGATTATAGGAGTAAAACACCACACTACAGTCCACCCATCATCTCATTGTGTTAATGTTGCAAGGCAACCTGAGGTAATACACATTTATCCCAAACTCTACGTTGATTGTGACTGACTAATCTGAGTTTCGACAAGTTATAGAGCTCAATACTTACATGACTGAGATAAATTTTCGTGATTTAATTAAATGATCTGTTTGCAGTCATTTCGTTGTTATTTTTAGCAGTAATAATATTCATTTCACTGAAATCATGAACTGATCAATGTTAGCCCCCAAATGCCCTGGTACGACCGAGATTAGAGAGGCGTCACCCTCCCACTCGAAATGCTCTCACATGGCCACGCGTATATAGCCTCTGACAGGGAAGTCCTACTCACTGCCTTCTCGCACCACGGGTGTTGTTCACGAAATTGAGAGGACGAAAAACGAATGTCTGGCGCTTTAACCGGGTCGGTGGATGCAGAAAGTCCACCTAGGGGAGTTGGAAAACCCTGATTCTAAACCAATGGTGCACATAGGCTGGCTCCACTATCCTGAGGGAATAAATGGCGTATGAACCAATTGTCGGTCACCGGCTACCATGGGACTGCATCTCCTCACAATGCTCCACTGCCTTGTGGATCAAACCTTTAGGTCAAAGGCTCCGGGTTTGGTCCCTTAAGAAAACCACCTGCTTCAGTTTGTGCACTTGGACAGTATCACAGGCCTCAGACAAATCGAATGAGATTTGTGCTGCGCATATGTATCTGGTGCTTTCTTGTACCAATATTTATGTGTTTAAATTAAATGAAATAAAATATAAAAGACCGAAAATGAATGGTCGTGAAAATCAACAATCTCCAAAAACCCTTTATTGATAAAACTGGCTTCAGTAAATACGATATTTTTTATTACATTAAAGAATTCTTGACAAAAAAGTATGCAGAATTTGAGCAAATTCCTGTTTCCTAAGCGCTTAGCAAGCGTGACTATAATTTATGGCGAACCAATCAGATTTAGGATAACAGGTCTTGGATTTCGGTGTGAAATTCATGTAATTCCTAACCTTAACCATCAACTATAAATTATAATTCTAATTCCTCAAACGGGTTTACAACCCTCATTCGGTCTTAGATGTTAGGTGGACTCTCTCAAGGTCAATCTAGCGTCGCTCAAAGGTCGTCCATAAATTATAGTCTCACCGTTCAACAAGTAATTATTCTCAACATATATAAAAGGGTTTCTCAACTGTTATTACCACCCATTCATTTTCATTCATAAAAGATTGCAAACAGTCTAGCCCAGTATAACACCTCAATAATAGTAAAGTATATTTGAATTCTATATTTATCACCTCTTGTTTCTTTACAGTTTCACATTAATTCTATATAAACATTCAATTCGATTGAAGAAGTTACATGTATTTACTAAACATAATTAATTAGCTAAAAAAATGTAAAGCAGGAAAATTTATGTTGATCAATAAAAGTGTAGCTAAGAAATTCGAGTAAATCATAGTGTTATATCTAGAGCTTTAGATTCTTGCTATGCCGCCTACTACTAGACTACTTGAATGATCAAACCGGCAACGTCGCAAGAGAGAAGACTGAAGACTAGTAAGTAGGAATCTTATTCCCAACACAGTGTCAAATATAGTATAAAAATCTCATGTATTTATAACTTTTGTCTGAAAGTAAATCATCATTTCGGACAGCTAATAGGTATATAGGAGATCCTTCTTATTCATCCAATAGGGAAGCTACACGTTGACATTCTAAAATGCTCCTCTAGCGGTGATTGAATGGAATATCTTCGGCTCTTTCTGGGTTTCTTGAGGCTTCTAAGAGTTTGCCAAAGAGTGATTACAATTCAAATAACAGATAAAATACGACAAGAAAACCCAACCATTGTTGATTACATAGTACTTATTCTAATCTACTTTATTTCTCTTAGTGGCAGGGTACACAATGGTATCTTCATGAAAATTATACATTGAATGAAACATATTATAAGAGTAATTCATATATTACTCAAAAAATGTTTAATTCAACCCATCTTCATACTCCTAATATAATCAGTAGTATATTAGAATGGATTATCATTTTACAATTCAATTATCAATGGACTATAAATGAATTAATTATATTGTATACAATTATAATGATGATTTTATTTACACCAATATATTTGATAATGTTTTGTTTTATCAAATTAATTCAATATATACTATATAGAAATATCCATGTTAATATGTAAAATAACAAAATCATTACATACTACTTAATTCAAAATACAGCGACTTATTGCATTATTACCCACAACATCGCATCTATCCACACGTCTCTCAGTGTACACGCAGACACGTACATATGCGCACAATCATTGACTCACTCTCACCTACACAATAACACAACCATTATCACTACCGATAACAATACCACAACTAGGAACAGCAAGACGATAGCGATGACAAGTGTTCAGTGTTCAATTGCACATGAATTCACCTATTCACTTGCCAATTTCGTGTAAATGTTTGTTATTATCTAGATATTTGTTTGTACAAAATTAAATAAATATATAACATTACGGAAAACACATTTTTGTTGTTCATTTTTGTTTTGTTTTTGAGAAAAAAAAGTAGAATTTTGTCTATCTAATCTACAGTTGTGTTAGATTACCTATTGATTATAACTGACGAACTAACTAAAACTTATGTTGTCCATAAAACTCAGTAATTAGACATGAAGTATATTGAAACTGATGACATAATATTTCATCCAAATAATCTGATAAGTCTTGCTAATTAAACGCTATCTTGAGATCCTAAGCAAGTTGCGTAACCCCCAAGCTAGAACTACACAGTGACTTGAACACGAGAGAAAAAGCGCACTGTACTCCAAAGGTTCATTTATGTACAGAAAACGTAGGGTTTTTATAGTATTTTAGAAGTCCGTGGGTTTTCCGGAAAATTCTGGAATACTACTAAACACAGTAGTAGTGTAGTAATCAGCCAATCAGAACCTCTACATGTGACTTTTCATTTTCGTGATGTTTCTAGCAAAACTTCTAATAAAATGCTGATTGAATAAAATGCTTGTTAATGTTTCCTGAGCTTGTCATGTCTATTGCGAGAAATTTTCAGGATTGCACCAGCATAATCTACTTGCGTGCGTATATAAAAACAGAAATTGACCAATAATAGTCTTAATCGTAAACAACAGAAAATTACAAGCGCTTATTGATACTTTCATACTCATTCTATGGTTTAGTAGTTATATTCTTCATCTTTACAACCTCAAGTGGTGTCCGTCAAGACTGTCCACTATCCCCATGTTTGTTTAACTTCATTACAGACATGTTGCTGGAAATAACACTCTCTTCGACTGAATTTACAGGGGACAACTTAGAATACACAGATGACTTAGTACTGTTTGGTGAAGACGCTAAAAAAATGCAGAGTTTTCTGTTGGAACTCAGTAATAATGCCAGGATGTTTGGGATGCGTTTCTCCCCATCCAAATGTAAATTGTTACTCCAGGGCTGGCCTACGTCAACACCTGAACTAAGGATAGGGAGTGAAGTAGTCGAACGCGTCGACAACTTCACTTATCTTGGAAGTCTGATCAGCCCTAATGGGTTGATGTCTGACGAAATCTCAGCACGGATTCAAAAAGCTCGTTTGGCTTTTGCCAACTTACGTCACCTATGGCGTAGACGAGATATCCGTCTATCAATTAAAGGACGAGTATACTGCGCATCAGTTAGCTCTGTTCTACTTTACGACTGTGAAACATGGCCATTAAGAGCAGAAGATACTCGTAAGTTACTAATATTTGATTACAGATGTCTTAGAAATATTGCTCGCATCTGCTGGGATAACCGGGTAAGTAATAGTGAGGTTAGACACAGGGTATTAGGGAACGATGGTAGATCAGTTGGTGAGGTGATGAATCTTCATCGACTAAGATGGTTGGGCCATGTGTTACGTATGCCTGAACACCGATTACCACGATGCGCAGTTTTGACTAGTGTAGGGGATTGTTGGAAGAGAGTTAGGGGCGGCCAAACCAAAACATGGCATCAACCCTTGAAGTCACTAACTTCTAGTCTGAGCCATGTTGGCAGATGCAGACTACCTGGTTGGGGTCCGCGTGACTATCGTAACCAATGGTTAAAGACTCTAGGTGACATGGCTCAGAATCGATCACAATGGCGTAGGTGTATACACTCTTTATCTTCCTTTAAACCTTGAGACTAAAATTGCTTCATATCTCCCTTCCTGTACTATATCCTTATATACAACCTATAATTTATATACTACTACCACCACTAAATTAATTACTTCTATGAACCCGGTGTTCCTCTTGTTGTGCTAACGAGGTATGGCAACTTGGACCGATGCATAAATGTGTCTGATTCTACGTTGTAGCTGACTGACTATATTTTTCACCTGCAACTTCATTTTATTATGAAAGAAAAATTAATGAGCCATGGACATAAATTCTGAATTTGAATTCTTATATTTTACTTGAGCCAACCCTGTTTTGCAAACTCGTCAATCTTCCGTTCGTGTTGCTGCTCGAATTACCCATGTTTTTCAATCTCTTTTACTCATTTTTCTTTTCGTTTATTAATAGTCTTACATTCAATTGTTGATACATACTGCTTATATTTGTCTGTATATCTAGCGCACAACACATCTATACAAGCGAGATTATTCAAATTAGTCGATACACTGAGGGTCATTTTCAAACCTGTATAAGACGAAAAGTTATATCTAAAACATGGTGATGATAAAGTCGTATTTAAGTTATTCACAAACCGCTTTTCAAGAGAGGATATATTTTCTTGAACTTACAGACCAGTTGTCATAATGTTAATCTTAATATTTCATATCTTCACCGCTCTAAATATCTATCAAGTACATCTGTTAACTCGTTTGTGATGGGTCAAAGATTGGGAGAACTTAGTATACTAATGCTACCGAGCTGATAATTATCTGAACACTAACAATGACAATTGAATATGGAACAACCGTAAGGGCTGTATGATGTGCTGTAGCATAATGACATCAATGCTTAGCTTAAGCAAGCTAAATATATCTTTGTAAGCCCGTTTTAATACTTATCATAATACTCTTTTAAAATAAACATTATGATAGTCTCGACCAACTAGCATTGTTGGCGATCTCGTGGCGTCGAAAAAATACCGAGACGTCCCGAAGTTTACAAGCGGGACTACCGTGCGTATGCGAGTTCGTGAAAGGTCACAGGCGACGGAGTTTGTGTTTTTTTTTGGGTTTAATACGAGCCACTCAAAAACGCATTGCACGCTATACAGAAGAATGTATGTCGGCCTAACTGAATAAACTTTGCTTCGTTAGTTCTACGTTCAGACGGAATACTGAGTTTTCACTCGTTACAGATGCTGCTCCGATTAGACAACACAACTTTGAATTCCTAATGTCCGACAGCTTCTCAGACGATCCGATGGGAACCGGATGACATTTAGTTCAATGAAGACAAGATCTTACCAAGTATAAGGGTAGAAAGGAATAACAAGGACAGAGCATAAATTCAAGCCGCTATACATGAAAACCCTATGAAATCAGACGATTAATCGATATCAGCCTATGTTGACCCTTACAATTTATGGCAAACGCTCTAATGTTCAACCATCTGTCTTCCGATATAGGCATACGTTATTTAAGACAGATAATCTAGCTTAGGTTCAATCTTAATACATTGAAATCACAGGTTCATTACTTGCGTTTCTGTTCTGAATTAATTTTTGTTATTACTAGGAGCGATCATCCTGTTCTTTTATACAGCTTCGTAAAGTACCTAACATTTTCCATTCTCTGTCGCAATAGACTCACATACAAAAAAACCGTCTGTTTCAGCCCAGATCAAGTTTTAAAAGTGTTAAAATGTCTAAGATTCACTCACAGCTAAGAGAACGAACAAAATTCAAAATATAATGATTTGTTTAAATGGGTCGCATTTTTACATTGTTATGGCAACAGTTTTATAATAATTACGAAAAAATGTCCAAGGCAATATTATGGAATAATATATTATCAGGTTAGTTGTATTGAACTTGCTAATAGTAGTCACTCAAGTTTTTATGTCACAATGGTCATATAATAGTCTGTTCAAGTCGAATGATGACACTTGGCTCAAGAAATACTTTCACCAAAACATGTTTTGTTACGGTAGGATTAAACTATACTGCCGAGCCAGTCAGAAGCTTTCGCGGGTTTTCAAGGTCACGGCGCTAAGTTCGGTACCTGATGCTTGCGTACGGTCGGTTTACAGCAGATTTTAGGGAAGACATGATAATTTAGCGTCTACAATAGAAGTGATCATAAGATTTTGGCGCGAAATTCAATTATCCATTTGGATAAATAGAGTTTTGGCATTATAGCTGATGTCAGTTCGTGATGAAAACCCTAAGTATAATTCCTAGCCTTAATCATGAACTAGAAATCATAATTTGAATTCTTCACAGGTTTATAACCCTCATTTGGTCCTAGTTATTATGTTGACACTCTCGAGAGTGTCAACATAATAATAGCGTCGCTCAAAGGTTGTCCATAACTTATAGTCTCACCTATAACCCTAAACCCTACACCTAAATCTTAACTCTAATCCCAACCCGTAAACCATACCAATATACTAACATTATTGAAGCTGTGGTCGGAGCTAAAAGAATTTTTGAGACCTTATCATGGTTTCAGAGGTCGACTACTATGGAGCCATATGGATGTGTTCCTGTACCGTATGCACTAAGATTTTAAAACTTCTGAACCTATATCTGACCTTGAGAAGTTTTTGATCTATGTAAAAGAAGTGTTTCCACTTTAATTCTTTGGTTTTGTATAATATATTTTTAATGTATACCAACTGTCTTCTGATTGGCTTATATTTCTCAGGGTCATTTAAAATTCGTTCAAAGGTCGGCAGTATAGTTTAATGTTACCTTTGTTACGTATATACGTAACAAAGTTTTGTTGTTTGATTTGTAGTTGGAAAATGCTACAAACACTTCGAGTTACCGGCTCCATTAACTTGACAGTCATTTGTTTATGCACAACATTTTGTTCGTGTGATTATTCTGTGCATGAACTTCTTACACGGAGTCTTATTTTTCTCTAGTTCGTACATAAGCATGGAACTCGAAAAAAAATATTCTTCATATGTTTTTTAAAAGAGTCTTACCACCAATGCACTCAAGTTTCTCAAAGCTATAAATTATGGACCGGGGCTCAACAACATTTTCCTACTTATTCCATCGCCTTTTTTAGGTTTTCTTTATCCCTGTGTATTACATATCAATTACTTTATCATCGTGATGTGGCAAATCTGTTCTATCATACTAAGGACTTTTTCACTTGAGGAATAAATAGCCACGATTCTTGTGTAGTAATACTTAACACCACTTACTATATTGCTCTCCAGTCTTCAGTAATAAGGATAGTAGGTTGATGAACCTGTGTTAATCCTGACAGATTTCCTTCCAGTGAAGGTCCAGCTTCTTTTTGAAAATGTTCACTGATGGTGCTGATACCACTTGTTCTGGTAAAGCGTTCCAGTCATTGACCACTCGATGAGAAAAACGGGACCCCACTTTTAGTTTATTAGATCGCGGTTTCAGAACCTTCTTGCTATGACCCCGGAGATTATTAGTGCTGGAGGGAGCAAAAAGGTAAGACATATTAACACCCAGATCATAATTAAAGATACGAAATGCCAGTATAAGGTCACCTCGCGTCCTACAATAAGATAAGGGGAAAAGATTTAGACGTTTTAAACGCTCATCGTAAGGGAGTTTGGAAAGACCCTCTACTAATTTTGTCCCTACACGCTGGACACGCTCAAGCGATTTAGTATCCTTTATCAGACAAGGGCTAGCAGCTTGGATACAGTATTCTAAGTGTGGCCTTACATAGGTGGGATATAAAATTCGAAACATATCCTCGTCAAAGCATTTAAATGCTCTGCGAAGCGAGGAATGGAAAGTACTTTCATCTATATCAACAAAGTCCGAGGATTCTACGCCTCATTATACAGCTGGCCATTACACCAACTCATCCACAGTTTTTTATCCGTAGACTTCATTCAGCTCTGCAATGCTATTTACTGGTTTGTCGTACATAAAAGTGTACACTTTAAGCTTTAACGGGCTACAAGTTTCAAAAAGTATTATAGCGTTTCAACAAATTTTGCTAAATCCTGCAAACTATCTTTGTGAAGCTGATCCAAAATGAGTGCTGTATAGGCACGGTCTTGTGGGTAAAGATGGCTTTATACTGTCTTTTCAGTGTAGATGTAACGGATATCAGTACGGTAACGATCTGAATATCACTGTCAGGAATAAGCCATGAACATTCCAGTTTATATGGCCTACATTAAATATTCTAGTCCTGTTGACATTATTGTATCTGAATTACTCAGTGTCTAAAGTATATTATATTAAATAACAGCTTCTGAAGAGGATATTCATAGCTTATTCCTTGTCTCCGTAATTTCTCAGGTGAAAGGATTCTACTATGAGATCAAAATTATGATCTAGTAATAAGCTTTACTTACATAAATAATAAAAGCCAGTTTAAACCTCCTGGGACTAGAAATAATTGTATATAGTTGGTTTGTCTTACGCTGCATTGCTTCTGCACTTAAGAACTTCTAGACATACCGTCAAAGCGAGATTCCTATCATTTCCTCGACGCTCTTTTTTCAGTAAAACGCATATATTAGGACAGATTCGGATTTTTAGTCCCTCATGTCTAAAAGTTTGTTGTTGGTAATTCACGCTACTTAATAGGAGACGACGCTACTTTTGCAAGGTTTATTCCTTAAAATCAGTAAGTAATGGGACTACCTAACCTTTCCAAAGGCGATTTCGTCATTGAAAACCCGAATTTTCTTTGTTCACTATCTACTATGCCTATTGAGTTTCGTTTTGTAGCTATTCAAAGTTTGCGGAAACTTACAGATATGTTACGTAAAAGTAGTAGTATATGACGTAATTGAGGAACTAGCATTTCGTAGAGCTACCTAGCATGAACTCTAATAGTCACGAACAGACTGCAACTGAAGACAAAATTTACAACAAATTCGGTTGAATATATTACACATTGAAATTAAAGTGTACGCAACCATCTTTACTTATATACGAAGATCGTAATATTTTGCCCGCCTATGAGAGCTGATTTATTATGATTTATGTGCTCCTCTCAAAATGGTACTTGTTTGAACTCCAGCTATGACTTTATCAAACGGTCTACAAGAGTTTTTAACTATTAGGCATTGGATTTTTGCCATTATTTTAAAAAATATATGTACATACAAAGAATCACACAAATACTACACATTATTTACGACATGATTTTTTATGCCCATCACTTTTAGCCATGTGTGTGGAATGCTTAAGTGACTTGCGCTTGATAATGAAACCTCAAATCCTACGACGCATAACAAAACACAAAGACTTGTGATAATGACTTATTTGACCTAATAAATAAATAAAAGTTTATATAAACTTACAACTTTTTGTCCGAGTGATTTACAGTCAGAGTCGACTCCATTTATGTGAGGGGTTACAAACCTATGCATTTGCCTGTTTGTTTATAGTAACACATATCTGCTTCAGTAAATTAACTTGGTATTTCTTTAAATAACTTAGAGTGTTGTTACTTAGACCAAACTACATAATTCTATGATTTCATAACAGTTATAGCCAGCTTCATTCTTGTTTTATAGATGAATAATGTGTAAACTAAACTTTATTTTAAATGGGTAATAACGGTGGTCTATTGGTTAAGTGCTCTGACATGAGACTGGTAGGTCCTAGGTTCAAATCTCGCGAGGCAGGATCGTGGATGCTGACTGCCACTGAGCAGTCCCACAATAAGACGAAGTGGCTGTCCAATGCTTCCAGGTTTTTCATGGTAGTCTAGCTTCAATCAGCTCATGATTTCAACTATGAAAATACTGAAATCTCCACAAAACCCTTTCTAACAGTAAATTATTGATTCAAAAAAATATCTCAACTTCTGTTTTAGATTCTCAATTAGAAAAATATGGTTTAATTCCTGAAGAAGTCTATAACAATGCAACTTTAAACTCTGGCTCATTCCAAACTCTTCAAGTAATATTCAATACTGTAAATAAGAACAAAGTTAAATAAAGTCATTCAAACTGTCACCAGAAAATTCATGTGAAGATTATCAACATAAATCTGTGGATAGTACTTCATTGAGACCAAATTCAGATTATGCAAAAAAATGTAAGTTGTTCAATTACATTGATTTATAAAACGTATATTTTGAAAATGTGTAATCATTAGGGGAATTCAGGATTTTGATATAATCGACATTATATCCATCGAAGCGTTTTCGTTACACTATTATGACTATTTTTGTTAGATTACTTTGTATCTTTATCATCCTCAAAACTCCGCCTGTACCTCCTCTGTTATTGATATAAACGTAGGTAGGCCGTCGCTAATTGTTATAAACGTAGAGGATACTGGTTATAACTCTAGGGGTTTCTGTTATAACAGTCCTTTCACTTCTTACACGTATATGGGACGTTAATTTACCTTAGACGAATATCTACACTAGATTCCCACCCAGTGTCTATTCTACAGGACTTCAACAGAACTCAGATCAAGAACACAAGATTAGCCTGACTATAACGTCAATATATTTCCACTCCAAAATCCGACACAAAGAACAGTCAATCAATAAGTGTCCATCAACAAGGAACAGTCAATAAGTGTCAATACATAATAAGGATAGGGGAATATATATAACACATAACACCTGTCATCCTGTCTAATGTCTGACTCATCAAGACAACCAATCACTGTCATTCTCGCCCACACATCAGTTATAATTGTATTTTTTGCTATATAAACGTCCCAGCTATTCCTATTGCTTAGTATTCTTACACGATGACACTCAACAAGACCCCAAAATCAGAACACGTTGAACAGGAATGAAATTGTATTCAAAATAACAATGATAAGTGAACAGCAATCAATAGTTTAAATAATGTTCATATATTTATAGTATATACATAAGAAGCTTATAGATTTTTCTGCAATAATATGCCCGGGCTAATCGGTTTAAAAATTAACCAATCAGCGCGCAGCAACACCATCATGCATAAAACATACTTAATCCAATCTATATCCCACTAACATCCTCTTTGGGCTTCTGCCATTCCCAAGCCCGGACAAAGGAGGAGGGTTGGGTATGGGGTTAGCGACCCCCATCCCGTAAAAACCTAACTCGCTAAAAAGACGTTAACCAGAAAACATTAATTAGTTTATCAACTATATTTTTTAAAATTATGAAATACATAAGTCAAGTGGATTAAATCTATTGAAATTTTAACTCTCATCATCATAAGGTTTAGTCTTGAAACCTATATTTTGTTGGAACCCAGTCATATTTGCTGTAGCAGGAGAACACTGTTAATCAGATCTTCATACTACAACTCTTTAACTACTTAATGTTTTGAGTCAGTCAGTCAGCTACAACGTAGGACCAGGCACATACATGCATCAGTCCATGTTGCCATACCTCCATAGGAAAGTTAAAATTCTTTCAACAATTTAGAGTAAATGTAAAATCTATTTATTTTTCCCTTTCAAATAGGTACTCCAAAAGAATATTTAACACGTTTTATATTTCCTATACTTTTGCCTGCTATGGAAGCAATGCTTGAACAAGCAAAACAAGGCCGCTGTTTTGAGGTATTGTCATTTACACATAATTTATACTTAGTTCACTAAAATTCATATGCAATTTTCTCTACACATTTTAAACTACTGAAATTGGTCATTAAGTAGCTTATGAATAAACGTATCAAATTTCTATCGAGTGTTGTAAATAGTGATAACAATTGCCTATTTTACAAACAGGTTCAAATGTTAATTTGGTAGATATTCATCACAAGGTAGAATAAATCTCTCCCAAATATATAGTTGAGATTATAATTCATTGTCCAACAGTCTGGTTCTTGTGTCATTGAACTGAGAATGTAATATCCGTTGACTTCTGAGCGCGTCCAAAACATCCTAAAACATAGAGCACACGACTTTTGAGTTTCCTGGAAAGTGACCGCTTCTAAGCATTTGATGGATCCCAGTTCAAACTTAAGTCACATTGTGATAAAACTCGATGATTGTTCAATGCTATCATTATAGAATGACTTACTTATAACATGAATTTCATGGTCACAATGTTTATCCACGAGGTTATTAGACACATAATTGATGATTGTCGGAATCTATAACCCACATTTGAAATTAATTGTAGTACTAGTCACTCAAATTTCACGGGTTACTTATTTCCGAACTATTCTAATATTTAAACATGATTTTTGATTTTAACTAAATAAAAAATTCACTATGAAACCTAGGTAAAGGTCAAAGGGAGCACCAGATACATGTACGCCGCATAAATCTCATTTGATTTGTATGAGGTCTGTGATACTGCACAGGTCCCCAAACTGAAGCAGGTGGTTTTCTTAGAGGGCCACACTCGGAGTCTTTGACCTAAAGGTCTGATCCACAAGGGAGTGGAGCATCGTGAGGAGATGCAGTCCAATGATAGCAGGTGACCAACAGTTGATTCATACGCCATTTGTTTCCTCAAGATACTAGAGCCCATGTTCACCATTGGTTTGGAATGAGGGTTTTCCAACTCCACTAGATGGACCTTCTGTGTCCACCAGTCAGTTATAGCTCCGGACATTCACTTTTCGTCCTCTCAATTTTGTAAACAACACCGGTGTCATGAGAAGGCAGTGAGTAGGACTTGTTTGGCAGAGACTATATACGCGTGGCCATATAAGAGCATTTGGAGAGGAGGAGCGAACTCTCCCCACTCTTGACTGTACCAGGGCATTTGGGGGCAGGTAAAGGTCTCGAGAATATAGCTATATATAGTTAAAACAATAACTGATCAAAACTATCATATAAACAAATAATCTTAACTTATACATCAGCTTCTGTCTATAATTTAATGCGCACTGCTGAGGAATCCCACATCCACGATCGAGAGATTCGAACCCAGCAGTCCCATAATAGGACGAAACGGCAGTCCAGTGCTTCCAGGTTTCCCATAGTGGTCTAGCTTCAATTGACTCATGATCTCAACTCTATAAAACTACTAAAATCTCCACAAAACTCCTTTGATTTTTACATAATTTTAAAGAGCATGTAACTGTAAACAGAAAAACGAGATATAGTCATTTCTATTTATATGAATTAAAAAATAAATGTTCAGTATAAGCAAAGATGAATAGTGGTTAGCAATAGAATCTAGGATGGATGTTTCACCATCTTATTGAGGGTCATCAGCTGGATATGTTTTGCATCTGAGAGTTGATGTTCACTCTGGAACTCGAACCTAGTAATGTCAGTTTCAAATGTTGCCACTTTATCCACCTAGTAACTGAGTCTTACTTACTTACGCCTGTTACTCCCAATTGAGCATAAGCCGCCGATCAGCACTCTCCAACCCACTCTGTCCCCAGTAAAAACATGCTTTTCAACTCCTCCTGTAGCTCCTTCAGGGGCTACTGCCGTTCCCAAGCCCGGGTAAAGGAGAAGGGTTTGGCATGGTGTTAGCGACCAACTCGCTAAAAAAAACGCTAACTAGTTACTGAGTCTAGATAGTCTTTTGTTTGTACAATGGGATAAAGTATAAATTCATTATATATTGTTTGTATGAATCTTTCCATTGATGTTTAGAACTTCAGTTGATTAGACTCTTATCAGCATATATACATTCTGTGTGAATTACCTTGATATTGCTTTAAGTCAATAGTTTAATCTTTTTAATCAGTAACTTTATGAATTTCCTAGAAAGCTTAAGATAATTAAAAGAAATTAACACCATTGGATGCAGGCCGACTCAGTGGTCTATATGTTAAGCACTCGTGTGCAAGACTGATAAGTCCTGGGTTCGAATCTCATGAGGTGAGTTCGTGGATGCGCACTGCTGAGGAGTTCCAAATATAGGACGAAACCGCCATCCAGTGCTTCCAGGTTTTCTTTCCACGGTGTTCTAGCTTCAATTGACTCACGCTTTCAACTAAATCTCCACAAAACCCCCTTCTGATAAAAAAAGTCCATTAACTTATATCATTATGTTCATAAGCCAATAACTCATTCCACCCATTTTAATGCATAGAGATATGTGATAAAATCATCCATCTATTTTGGAAGTGTTTTATTGTCTGAAGTAGCTAAGAAGTCTTTTTCTTTTTAAAGTATTTTTTCTTACGATGGATAATATAGAATAGGCAATGGATTTGGCTTATTGTTATATGATGTTTTGTTATAAATGATGATATGTAATGAATTTATACAACCTACTTCATGTTATAGTACAGTTGATGTTATGGAGATAATGAATAATATAAGTCTCATATATCGACTAAGCATAGATACAAATAATGATTATAACAATCTTTCATAGTTAAAATCATGAGTCAATTGAAGCTAGATCACCATGAAAAACCTGGAAGCACTGGACGGTCGTCTCGTCTTGTTGTGTGACTCGTGAATGCACACTGCTGAGGAGTCCTATAATAGTGAGGTTAGACACAAGGTATTAATGAATGATGGTAAATCAGTTGATGAGGTCATGAATCTTCATCGACTGAGATGGTTGGGCCACGTGTTACGTATGCCTGAACACCGATTACCACGACGAGCTGGCTCAGAGAACAAACCCACATCAAAATCACCCACCTGAGCTACAAATCTTCTCCATCATCCCATTTTCATTATTCACTAAAAAAGCGATCGATGATGGGACATACATTGGATCAATCAAAAATTAGTCAAATTATAAAGTGGATCTAATTGGCCAAGTGATAACTTTGATTTCAAGAGACTGAGATATAAATACAATTAATGACTTAACTTTTTAAAGAATCTTTGAGATAATAGAGAATATTTGTAACCCAGTATGGGAACGAAAATACTCAACATTCACTGGCCTGATGCTATCAGAAACAGCGTTTTACGGAACAGGACAAATCAGCAGGTTCCAGCTGAAGAGGAAATTAAGAAAAGACGTTGAAAGTGAATAGGACATGCATTAAGGAAATCACTAATGTGCATGACGAGGCAATCTCTAACTTGGAATCCTGACAGGAAACATAAAAGAAGAAGGCCAAAGTACACATTACGTCGGGAAATAAAAGCAGATAAAAAAAAGGACGGATGTTAAGTGGAAAGAATTAGAAAAGATTGCCTAGGACAGAGTTGTATGGAGAATGCTTTGTGTTCGGCCTATGCTCCTCGACAAGGGGTAACAGACGTAAGTAAATAAGTAATAAACTTTTTAACAAAATAGAAAGGATATGCTTTGATAAATATGAAGCAATTCTGTCGCTAAAAAAAAGGAAAAAAATGCGAATAAAATTTTACATTGAACATTGTTAATCTTCATCTATAAATAGAAAATCAGTTATATCAAATTAGATAACAAAAAATAATGTTAACATGATGAAATATGATTGGCTTAAAAGAAAAAAATGACCTTTAAATTATTGATTATCTGTCTTAATTATTGAGCAGGAAAAAAAATATATAAGATGATCAGGATATGTAGATATTTTTAGTAGTTGAATTCATGAGTTAATGTAAGCTAGACCACATCATGGAAAACATGAAAGGATTGAATGACTGTTTTGACCTAGTATGAAACTCTTCAACAGTGTGCATCAACAATCCCTCATCTGGGACTTGAACCCAGAACCTTCAGTTTTGTGCGAACAAACGCTTCATCTATATATATATATATATATATATATATATATATATATATATGTAAATATGTATGGGATCGTAGATGCACACTGCTGATGAGTCCCATACAAGGACGAAACGGTCATCCAGTGCTTCCAGGTTTTCCATGGTGGTCTAGCTTCAATTGACTCATGATTTCAACTATATATAAAAATATGTATCTGTTTGAAAAATTGTCAAAATTAAATGTTCAAAGCAATTTGAATAATAATACTAAAGTTTCAAAATGAAATTGTTATATCTTGTGGCCGAATGGATTCCTAATTAATGTATAACGTGATAAGACCGCCAATTAGAGAGCAGTGAATTATCGATCAGAACAATGACAAACGAAACCCGTACAAGCAGTCTAGAGTACTTATCGGTCCTGCTTTCTGCCTAACCCAGCCAGTTAAGTCCAGAACACCAATTACAGCCCCTGTGGTATGAATCCTTGTATTTCAAACATACTGAGTTTATATACCAAACAGACTGACCAAAATGGAAAATAATATTTGTACAAGAGTTAGCTAAAAGTGGATGTGAATGTGGGAGGCAGTAATTAATGAACTGGGTATAACTCAGAAATGGTAAATCGCACAATAATAGTCCAAGGGTCAAAATAAAGCTCACATTGAAAGGAACATGCATATGAGTAGTTTAATTATTTAACAAATATACGATAAAAATGATACGCATAATATGGATCCATAAATGGATCCCTAAGTTACCATTCACTATTGTTATTGGGGCATAACAGAAATGATAAATTAAAATGAAAGGTTTGTAGAGATTGTTCAAGTTAAATGAAGATAACTAACATTAAGGAGATTTACTTTAGCAAGACAATTGTTGAAAAACTAGAGAGAAGTAAACAGTTGTCCCGATCTAAGTTGAGAATTTCTTATCACTTCACAAACATAATCATTCTCCATAAGGAATTGAACACGGAACATTAAATACTGACGGTGTAATTTTTTACCATTATGTTGCTGTGGTCATATTTAGTAATTTCAAAAAATGGCTGTAATGGTCGATCTTCATGAAACAAACTCTTTAGAAACTTTTCATTTTAGTAATAATCACTTGATTACTAGTGAATGGTTTTCAGCAGTATTTCAGACGTTCTACTGTCAGTCAGCTACAACACAAGACCAGGCACATATACGAATTGGCTCAAGTTGCTATACTTCATTACCCAAACAAGATGAGTACCAAACTCAGAGAAGTAGTTAATCTAGAGTTGGTAATATATAAGAGAAAGGTTGCGTATAAGGATATAATACAAGAACAAGAAATTAGTTCATAAAAAGAAGGGTATAAAGTAATTTTAATCTGACGGTCTGTTGGAAGACAGAGAGTGTATACATCTACGCCATTTTGATCAATTCTAAGCCACGTAACCCAGAGCCTACAGCCACTGATTACGCTAGTCGTTCGGACTTCAACCAGGTAGTCTGCATCTACCAACATGGCTCAGACTAGAAGTTAGTGACTTCAAACACTGATGCCACGTTTTGGTTTGGCCACCCCTAACTTTCTTCCAACCATCCACTACACTTGTCAGCATTACGCGCCGTGGTAAACGGTGCTCAGACATACGTAACACGTGGCCCCACAATCTCGGTCGATGAAGATTTACAACCTCATCAACTGATTTATCATCATTCCCTAATACCATGCGTTTAATCTCACTATTACTTACCAGCTGATCCTAGCAGATACGAACAATATTTCTAGGATATATGTGGTCAAATACTGGTAACTGACGAATATCTTCTACTCTTAATGGCGACGTTTCTCAGCCGTAAAGTAGAACAGAACGCACTGCTTCGCAGTATACTTGCTCTTTTATTGATAGATCGATATCTTGCTTCCGCCATATGTGGCGTAAGTTGGCAGAAGCCAAACGAGCTTTCTGAATCCATGCTGAGATTTCGTCAGACACCGACCCATTAGGGTCGATCACACTTCCCAAATAAGTGAATTTGTCGACGCGTTCATCTACTTCACTTTTTATCCTTAGTTTAGGTGTTGACGCAGGCCAGTCTTGGAACAACTTTCTATTGAAACAAAGTTTTCACTTTCAGTAATAGAGAATTAGTCATAGAATATCACAAAATGACTAAATGTTTAAATATATACTAATATTTATGTGTAGCTGTATTAATTTCACTCATTTATTCAAAATATCCTTATAAGTTTAGGGGAATCGTTGAACATTTAAAAATTGACTGATTTATGGAAATAATTAGTTCTCTTTTATCAATAGAAGCTTTTTTCTAAATGTACATCTACCACTTAGTGAACTTGGACTATTTTTGTTTAAATTCAAGTCATACAGAGTTATAAGTGTGTATTCGAAACAAAAACAAGGGTAATGAGAGTGTAGCATTCCTACAATTGAAGAACATATGGAACTCAATATAACTACTAACTAATATCAAAGTCAGAATCTTCAATGCGAACGTCAAGACAGTCCTACTTTACGGAGCTGAGACTTGGAAAACTACCACAACCATCATCAAAAAACATACAAGTATTAATAAACAGTTTTCCATGCAGGATACTCAATGTCCGTTGACTGAAAACCATTAGCAACAACCTACCCTGAGAGAGGACAAATCAGCTTCCAGATCAACAGGAAATTAGGAAAAGTCATTGGAAGTGGATAAGACATACATTAAGGAAATCATCAATGTGCATCACAAGGCAATCCCTTACTTGGAATCTTGAAGGAAAGTTGAAAAGAGAAAGGTTGAAGAACACATTACGTCGGGAAATGGAAGCAAATATGAAAACGATGAATAACAACTGGAAAAAATTGCCCAGGAGAGGGTTGGATGTAGAATGCTAGTGTGCGGCCTATGCTCCTCCACGAGGAGTAACAGGCATAAGTAAGTAAGTAATGCAGTGAAATCCAGGACGTGCAAGTGATTATCAGGAATCTGTAGCGTTTGAAGCGAATGGTACTGTGTTCGTGTCTAAGAGATGCAGGTACATCCAGCTGACGAGTCCCAAATAGTACGAAACGCGCATCAAACTGAATTCCACTGCTAGCCACTATCCATCTTTGTTTATAAGGCTTGTGTAATAAGGCTATATCGAGGCAATACGTACAGTATGCACATATATGGTCAATTAGAGAGTGACCAGTTACAGTCCTAAACATCAATGCTAAGATTCAAACAAACAATACTAAGTGAATTTAGAATTATAATCGCTTTTCTTTTTTCTTTATTTTTCGTGTTTGTTTCATTTCTAAAGAAAAAACGTTTTGGATTTAATGGATTAGACTTTCTAACATTCTATTTATATAAACATAATTTCTATACTAATGAAGATGAACGTAAAAATGTACAAAGCTTATTGAATATACCATGGATTATTGAAGAATGGAAGAAACATCCACGTAAACCATTACCATTTAGTTTACAATGGACAGATGAAGAAGCAGCAATTAAGCTACAATCATATTGGAGAGGTTATCTTGTGAGTTTTAAAAAAAAAAGAAATTATAGTAACTTTTTTTAAACAATTTAATAGTTGAATTCATGAGGCAATTTAAGTGAGACCAACATGGAAAACCTGGAAGCACTAGATGGGTCATTTTGTCTTAGTATGGGACTCCTCAGTAGTAGTGCCCATCCATGACACTGTCTCATGATATTTGAACAAAGGGCTCATCAATCTGTTGTGAGATAGAAACTCATTGAAGAAAATGGTAGACGGTGGCATAATTTCGTGGATTGGTTGAAGTTAGGCATTAACACCGTTGGATGCCGGATCAGTGATCTGGAGGTTATTTGTTCGCGCGCGAGACTGACAAATTCTGAGTCCAAAACTCAAGAGGCGGGGTCGTGGACGCGCACTGCTGAGGAGTTCCATACTTGAACGAAACGGCCGTCCAGTGTTTCCAGGTTTTCAATGGTGGTCTAGCTTCAATTGACTTATGAATTTAACTATTAAATTACTATAATACCCACAAAATCCCTCTTTGATTTTAAGCAATTGTTGGGTAGTTGCTAACAGTGGGGTCTAGGACATAGCTTTTGTCTTATTTAGGATGTTCAGTTAGTGAATTGTAAATTGTATGAAACGAATGTTCTGAGTTCCACTACTAACCATTATCCAATTTTACATAGAAATTTGAAACTGAATGACAATATTGAGATCACCTGCATAAGATGCTCATATACATGAAGGTGACTGATCAGTTGTAGTTTTTTAACATCAATAATTGGAAAATGCAAACCTTTACAAAGATAAAGTTAGTTTTATTGAATATTTCACCTTTAAAATGGTCATTTTCACTATGGTTAGAAAGGGTGTTTTTGAAGATCGTAGTAATTTTAGTAGTTGAATTCATGAGTCGATCTAAGCTAGACCACCATTGAAAACCTAGAAGTACTGGACGACCATTCCGTCTTGGTATGAAACTTGTAGGCAGTACGCATCCATGATCCCACACACTGTACTCGAACGCATTTGCACACCAGACCGAAGGCCCTAAGTCCGGGTCCCGCTTGCAGAACGGAACGGCCGTCCATCACTTCCAGGTTTTCAATGGATGACTGTTTCGTCCTATTGTGGGACTCCTCGGCAGTTCGCATCCACGATCCCGCCTCACGAGATTCGAACCCCGGACATATCATTCTCGCACACGAGCGATTAACCTCTAGACCATTGATCCGGCATCCGACGGTGTTGATGTCTAACTTCAACCTATCCACAATAGGACGAAACGGCCGTCTAGTGCTTCCATGTTTTCTATGATGATCTAGCTTCAATTGACTCATGATCTCAACTATTAAAATTACTATAACATCCACAAAAACCGTTGTGATATTTCCCTTTTTACCTCAATTAATTTTACGATTCATTTTCGGATTTATTAACTTAATTGAAACTATATTAACTACTGAAGTCAAGCTTTCGTTCTAGTATTAGACACTCAATATCAAATTAGACAATCTTTTTAATCTTATCATCTTACTAAGAATTGTTTTCTCACTAGCGGATAATTTTTAAAAGAATCTTACACAGGTTTATCACGAAGTTGTGATTGGTAAGGCTCAAACATGTCAGGAGAAACAGTCATCACCTATTAATTGAATGGTAGTTGAATAATACAACGAAAAGAATCTAATTAGAACTGTGGAATATTAAGTTTAAACACATCAGTGTTGAGATAATATGCTTAATAAAAATGAAAGAGAATTGAACAAAGGGGAATTTTCATAGTTGAAAGCGTGAGTCAATTGAAGCTAGAACACCAGGGAAGATCTGAAAGCACTGAAGGGCTCTTTCGTCCTACTGTGGGACTCTCCAGCAATATACATCCACGGTCTCGCTTCGTGAGACTCAAACCCAGGACCTACGGGTTTCGTGCCATAGCACTTAACCGATAGATCACTGATTCGGCATCCAATGGTGTTAATGTCTAACTTCAACCAATCCACGAAGTTGAACAACCATTCACCAATTGTCTTCAGTGTGTTTCTATCTCACAACAGATATAGTTTGAACTCCACTGGTCACTGCTTCTCACTAGAACTCCTGGATTTACCTCTCGAAGTCAATCACTAGTGAGCATATGATTATTATTATTATTATTATCAGAAGGAGTTTTTTGTAGAGATTTAGTATTTTCATAGTGAATTGTGACTATATACTACTTTCAAATTAGTATGATACAGGTACTCCATGTAAAATAGTTCCTATGATCTGTTTATCTAAGGTTCAATTGTAAACATAAACATGAATAATCATTAATTTATTTACATAATCTTATTGATTTAATATCGGTAAACATAAAATATTAAGTATACAACAATAACCTTGACCTGTTTTTTAGCCGAACTGAAAAACAGGTTACAGATATGAAACAAATTAGAATGAAAATTATCATGGATCAACTGATTGATCAACATGAATGATAAACTTTTATAATATGAATGATTATTATTATCATTACACTAGTTATGATGAAAGACATTGAGGTAAAAACATAATTTAAGGACAAATCAGCCATGATCGAGAATGCAGCTTAGATTTTTGTTGTTGTTGTGAAATTCAAATATCATGTAAAAATGATGACCATGAATGAGTTATCAGTTAGTCAAGAAACGGTACCCAACTTATAAAACAACTAACAATACAAAGCAATGAAATATAATCACTTAGGACAACTTGTAGGAGATAGATTTGTATGTTGTTTAAAATCACAATCATAGAATATAGTCTTACTCACTGCCTTCTCATGGCATTACTGTTGTTTACGAAATTGAAAAGACGAAAAGCGAATGTCCAGCGCTTTAAACGGGTTAATCGACACGGATTTGGAAAACCCTCATTCCAAACCAATGGTGAACATGGGCTGACTCCAGTATCCTGAAGGAACAAATGGCGTATGAATCAATTGTTGATCACCGACTGACATGGGACTACATCTCCTCACGATGCTCCAATACCTTGTAGATCAGATACTCCGGGTGTGATCCCCTAAGAAAACCACCTGCTTCAGTTTGGGCACCTGAGCAGTATCACAGCTCTCATATAAATCGAATGAAATTTGTGTGAAGCATATATATCTGGTGTCCATTTGTACCAATATTTATGTGTTTAAATAAATAAATACTGAATGGAATAGGTTACGACTTTATTTTTCAAGAGCTAACAACTAAATGTTAAGAATACATTAAAAGCGTAACATACGAGTAATTCATTTAGATTACACTATGTTGTTGATCGGTAGTTAGATGCGTGCTTTCCTCCGATTCACTGTCATAGTGTAGTGAACAAGAACACGATTAGGGACAATCAAATGTAATCACAATTGGTTGATCACTGGGTGGTGATCAATGTCATGCATGTCAAGTCCTTCTTAGTGCTGATCGAATGCTATCGATCAAGTTGCAATGTGGTCACTAGTCTAGGTGGTTCGACACTGCGTGCACTATGTCGAGATAAGATGGCGGTTGAAGGTGGTCAACAGGAAACCGTGGACCCGGGTTTCGTGCTACTTGGCACTCGTCAGCAAGGCGTACCTGTAATCTTGAAGGAACTGGTGCTCCCGGACGAATTCGATCCCGTGTCACTCAGATCCACAGTCAGAGACGTTACCACTGACCTACTCGGGCCGTGACCGACCTCCTGTAGGACTGAGATGTAATCACAATCCATTAGGGAGCACCGGTTCCCTTCAAGATTATAGGTACACCTTGCTGACGAGTGCCAAGTAGCACGAAACCCGGGTTCACGGTTTCCTGTTGACCACCTCCAACCACCATCTTACAATCGAATGTGTTATGACACAACATCAAAGAATATCTTATTAAAATAGGAGAACCATATAGTGAAAGTTAATTTGCAAACTATCAATCAATTGTCTTAATTTGACTGTTTCTTCTGCAAATATCCGTCCATAGTGTCCGATTATTATTATTATTGTTCATGCATTTTCGTATCAATTGAATGCCGTTCCCGTTCTCTCCTTATCGATCTTCTACTGAAATACATTCAATGCCTGTCTATCACCATATACTACTTATGTGGATATATCAGTAACCCACACCACAATAGTACATAATATGATCTTCATTTGCAATCTTGTCTTCTTTATCATATCATACTATATCAGTCGCTATACAGTAGCTGGACTAGTGTCATTTATTTCATTCACCATAGTTATGAAGACCTTGGAAGAAAAAAAGAGATCAGATCGTATTTTCATTCAGTCTATTATAAATAGAATGAATAATGTGACAGTATTACTCATGAGACTATCATATGAAGAATGATTATTAATGTTACTATTATATCATTAGTAAATGCTTAAGCTGATATCTGTCTTTTATATATATCCGCCAATTTCTAAACTTTCATTTGACCTATAAAACGTTGTCACATGCCTTATCGTCCTAGATTTATTATTAATTAATTATCCCATCATTACTCTGGTTTGGTATCACTTATGACTGAGTTATGTATATATTGTAATCCCTTAATTGTATTACTGTATGGTCAGACATTTTACGCATGTTATTGTCTGAGTTTTGTGTTGGAATTGAATTAAGGACAACAGAGAACTTGTCTACTTTTCACAGTCGTCCTGTAATTGGCTACTGGGTTGGAAGGAGTTCAAGGACCAGTAGGTTTTAAGATCTTGGCTATTATTTATTGTTCAATTTCCCCATCGGTACTTGGAAAGTCACCGATTCTACTGGCAATATGGATGAACGAATAGATAATCATTACGGGCGGATCACAAGGGAGCCGCCGGAGCAATTGGTTTCTCCTGACGAGACATAATCAAGATCGATCCTGAAACGTCTAATATGTATGCATGTATACAGGGAAAAGAACGTCATATAAAAGCAGAATTACACATTAAGCCTATTTTATCGTTTGAATATTCTGTCTATAATATGATAAATAAAAATTGAATCTTTGTTTAAAAATAAGCATATATGAAAGTCATCCCATTCCGGATGGAATAAATAATAAGTTTTGTTTGTTTTTTATATAGTTGAGATCATGAGTCAACTAAAGCTAGACCATCATTGAAAACTTGGAACCACTGGATGGCCATTTCGTCCTTTTGTGGGACTCCTCAGCAGTGCGAAGTAACCAGTGGAATTAAACCAGGTCTGTTGGGAGATATCAACTCACTGAAGACTTTAGTGAATGGTTGCTCAATTTCGTGGATTGGTTGAAGTTAGACATTAACACCGTTGAATGCTGAATCAGTAGTCTAGTGGTTAAGCGCTCGCGCGCGAGATCCATAAGTCCTGGGTTCGAATCTCACGAGGCGGGATCGCGGATCCGTACTACTGAGGAGTCCCACAGTAAGACGAAACGGCCGTCCAGTGTTTCCAGGTTTTCCATGGTGGTCTAGCTTCAATTGACTCATGATTTCAACTATAATATTCTATTATAAACAAAATTTAAATTGATCAGTTTGACCTTCACTGTAAAATAGTCATGTGAATTTCGGTGTGATTATAATTTATGGACAATTTTTGAGCAACGCTAAAATGACCTTAGAATGTTCACCTATCTACTAAGGTTAGATAGGGGTTATATATTAGTATGGGGAATTAAGTTTTATAATTAAATCTTACATTCAATGTTTTCATCATGAACTGATGTTAGCTAAAATACCAAAATGTTGTTTAATCAAATGGATGAATGAATTTCGAGCCAAAGTTAAAGACTTATTACATTAAAACTGATAATTTTGTCCATTAATTATAGTCTCGTCAAATCAATCTTTTTGTTTTAGTAACCGACTTCTATGTGTATATTCAATCAATAATAGGTGACAGATTTGAATCTCGTTCCACTTACGTTAGTTTGAAAAAGTGTAGCTAAATGCTGAAAACATAAATGTAGACTTAGTAAGCGAGTTTTATTGAATTATAGTTTGTATGGCGACTAGAGATACTAGCTGTCTACTTAAGACTATATAGTTAGACTGGGGTTTGAATATGTGTGACTTATTGATGAATTAATCTAACCATCAAAATCATTGTTTGATGTAAATAAAATGTTATTCAGTATGATTGTTCCATTCTACTAACATCATAAGGTTTATCTTTCCAGCTTATAGAATTTCTTCAATCAGTCAACTATAACGTAGGACCAGGCATATTGATGCATTGGTCCAAGTGCCATACCTCAACAGCACAACAAGATGAACATCGGATTCATAGAAGTAGTTAATTTAGTGGTGGTAGTATATAAAAGATAGGATGTATATAAAGATATAGTACAGGAAGGAAGAACGACATGAAGCCATTTTAATCTCAAAGTTTAAGGGAAGATAAAGAGTGTAAACACCTACGCTATTGTGATCGATTCTGAGCCATGTCACACAGTCTTCAATCATTGGTTACGATAGTCACGCGGACCCCAACTTCGACCAAGTAGTCTGCATCCACTAACATAGCTCACACCAGAGGTTAGTAACTTTATGAACTGATAACACGTTTTGGTTTGACCAACCCTAACTTTCTTCCAACCACCCTCAATACTAGTCAGCATAGCGCGTCGTGGTAATCAGTGCTCAGGCATACGTAACACGTGACCTCACAATCTCAGTCGATGAAGATTCATGACCTCATCAACTGATTTACCACCAATCCCTAATACCTTGTGTCTAACCTCATTATTAGTTACCCGATGATCCTAGCAGATGCAAGCAATATTTCCAAAATATTTGTGATCAAATTCTGGTAACTTACGAGTATCTTCTACTCTTAACTGATTCAAATGAGAAATCCTACACTTTAACTTCTTGAAAACATTTCATGTGAATACACTATCTACAATCATCTTACAACGAACTCGAAACTATTTATACCTTATGAATAAATATACAAACTGATAATTTTCAGACTTTTTTTATAAATATGTGCCGAAGTGTACTACGTAAAGATGGCAAATCAGTTGATATAATTATGAATCTTTATTGACTTAAGTGTGTGGGACATGTAATATTGAGTATATACAACTACCACCTACCTTGACTTACAATATAGGCATGTGTTTGAGTAGATCGGGAAGGTTCTAGGAAGATGTTAAGTGACATTACTCACAATAGTTTGCAGTGACTCAGATATAATAAATATTTGCCTTTTCTTAGATCTGAGTCTCAAAATGATTCTTACTTCTCCAATAATCAAGTCTATGCCAAAAAAATTTTCCCATTACAATTCATACTGTCATTACTAATTACTGTAATGATTCTATTGATATCTTCACCTTACTGTACTGATATGACGTTGATACAGTGGTCTTGTGTTCTGTTAGAGGTATGGCAACTTGGACCGACTCATAAATGTGCCCGGTCCTACGTTGTAGCTGACTGACTGACCAATATGACGTGGCATACATGCACCAGATTGTACGTTGCTTATAACCGACTGATTGAACTACAAAAATTTACTACTCAGTGATTTGAATTATTTTTTTTAAATCGTCTATGTACTTCATTCTTATACTCTTAGGTAAGGAAAATCCCAGAGGTTTGTGAACTTCGACAATGGCAAATGGAATGGAGAAGATATAATCGATTGAAAGCTAACCAACTGGAATAACTTAACGTGAAAAATTTCCTCAAGTTTTCCCATAAAACAAAACACCCAGTTACGACTATAACTTGATAAGCTGTAATCAGTTCCTAATTCATTTATAGTTACCATGTAAGCTACGTTGTATATTTCACAATCATTTGGTTTATACAAAGATAAACATGCTTCGTATACGCAAATCTTACTTGCTATGAGATTGAGGAGACTGAAATGTTACTAGGAGTCTGAAATGAATAAATGCCGTAAACAACTTTATCTAATAGTACGCTTTAGATAAGATCTCCTAAATACTGGATGCAGGCTCAGTGGTCTAGAAGTTAGGAGTTCGCGCGCGAGACTGATAGGTCATGGGTTCGAATCTCGAGAGGCGGGATCGTGAATGCGCACTGCTGAGGAGTCCCATAATAGGACGAAACGTCCGTCCGGTGTTTCCAGGTTTCCCATGGTGTTGTCCTGGGAAAAAGAAACTGCGAGCCATGGGACTGTGTCGCCTCGTATTGCAGTGAACAAGATACGACTGTGGAAAATCGAATGTATTTAAGCACAAAATTACAGACTATCTCACTAAATCCTGATAACCATAAAGTCAACGGTTAGTTTGCAAAATAACAATCAATTGTTTCAATACTAACTGTTCCTTCTGAAAATATCAGTCCATCTTCTCTTATTTCATTGTTCATGCATTTTCGTACCAATCACGCTTCATTCCTGTTCGTTTCTTATCGATCTTCTGCCAAAACGCATTCTATGTCTGACCAATACTATATAGATATAAGTAGATCACACCACAATATCACACAACTCTCATGTAGGTTAGTCTCTTAGATCAATGACTCAGGCATTGTGATCACTTAAGAAGACCACCAACTTCGATTTGGGCATTCAAGTAATATCTCAGTTAACAAATTAATATAAAAACAAATACTGTAAGAAATGTCATGCAATAGGAAAGAAATGAATTTATAGATCAAAAATTTATGTTCTCAGTTTGAAAGTACCTTCAATTCCCTCGAAAACTAATTAGATTTATCCCCAAACCAACAAAATCTTCATTACTAAATCAGACTATATTTACAAATACGTCACCCTATTTGATAACTACTGATTTGGTTATAAACTGTAATAACCACACAATAACTTATTTGAAAATTGAAATCATGAATCAACTGAAGCTAGACAACCATGAAAAACCTGGAAAACTGTTTTGTCCTATTACGGGAATCCTCAACAGTGCACATCCAATATCCCCACTCGCGAGGTTCGAACCCAGGACCCACTATTCTCGAGATACAGCCCTTAACTGATAGACCACTGAGCTGGCATCCAACGGTGTTATTGTCTAACTTCAACCAATACACGATGTTTGAGCAACCGTTCACCAATTGTCTTCAGTGAGTTGATATCTCTACAACAGACTTGGTTGAACTCCACTGGTCACTGCTTCCCACTAGAACTCAAGGAAACATTGCTTACAATCAGTCACTAGTGAGCATATTATTATAATCGGAAGGGGATTTGTGGAGATTTCAGTATTTGCATAGTTGAAATCATGAGTCAATTGAAGCTAGACCACCATGGAAAACCTGGAAGCACTGAACGGCCATTTCGTCCTACTATGGGACTCTTCAGCAGTGAGTATAGCAAGTAAATCATAATTAGTTATGAACTAGATAACCTCCAGTACCTTTAGATGTATGAAACTAGTTGTTATTACTTCGTAGTTGCCTACATCGCAGAACATTACTTCTTTTTAAGTCATTTTAAAAGGAAAACAGAGCAAATCACCGCAGTGTTCTAGGAACAAGCATTTTAGCCCGAAAATATTGCTTTCATACGAACCTAGATGGAATGATTCGATTAACGAAACAAGAATGACCGCACAACTTTCCAATAAGGAAATATAATAAAACTGTAAACAAATGAATAAACACAATCCATTGTTGAACACCGCCTTCTTGTGGCGGGGGTGTTGTTTACGAAATTAAGAGGACGAGAAGCGAATGTACGGCGCTTTAACCAAGTTGGTGGACACGGAAAGTCCATCTAGGGGAGTTGGAAAACCCTCATTCCAAACCAATGGTGCACATGGGCTGGCTCCAGTATCCTGAGCGAACAAATGGTGTATGAATCAACCATTGGTCACCGACTATCATGGGACTGCATCTCCTCACGATTCTCAACTACCTTGTGGATAAGACCTGTAGGTCAAAGGCTCCGGGTGTGGCCCTCCAAGAAAACCACCTGCTTTGGTTTGAGCACCCGAGTAGTATCACAGCCCTCACACAAATCAAATGACATTTGTGCGGCGTATATCTACATCTGGTGCTTCCTTGTACCATTATTTATGTGTTTAATAAGTAAATACAATACTGATTACATGGAAGTGTGTGTATGTATGTAAAGATCATCAATTTTACACTAAGTGCATCTACATCAAAGTGACACAAGACATGATCTGAAAGTTAAAATATAAAACACAACAGTTTTTTTTATAAGCATCTATGAAAATGTGGATGTGTGTATCTATGCTGCACAGTTACAAATGGATACACTTCATTAATATGTATACATATATATATATAAATGAAGAAATCACAGAATGAATATATATATCATTTGAATGACATAACTGTAATGAAATTGAAGTAGCAACAATCTCTCCCCCCTCCTGATTAATGTTTTTAAAACTTTTATTCTCTTACTGATAAACATAAAAAAGGTGTGTAAATGGATGTGTAGTACTTGTTAAAAGTGCCATGAAGCAGACAGTGATTGTCATCTATATCTATATACGGGTGTAAAAGAACAACAACAACACTGACAATAATAATAATAAGCTTATGTAAACAAGTACAAATCGGTTACATATAGAGATAGAGAGAGAGGGGGGAGAGTGAGGGAAATGCATCACGTAAGTAGTGAACAATACAAAATAAATGATGATGATGATGATGATAATGGTGAATTAAAACAATACTACATTGATTAGATTGTTTTCCAATTCAATTCAGCTAATAACGCATACTACTTATATACAAACAAGTAGTATAAATAAGTAGTACAATAAAGATTTACTAATTTCATTTAAAATGTTGACAACAAATTTCAATATAAAGTAGACTGGGTTTTTTTGTTAACCTTAGTCGTACATCTAATCATGTATGAATGTGTGTGTGTGTGTGTCTGTATGCGGTGATCTACAATACAATTGTCTATACGAAGGGAGGTATATCAGTAAAAACCTGTATTAGCAAATAAGTAATAGGAATAGTAATGATAAAAGTGAGGAGAACAATCGGAATCTTATTGTAAAATCCAAACTTGAATAATCACCAAGCCCATCAATAGAAGTTATTATAAAGTTAATTTTATATTTCCTCCTTCTATATGAAAAATAAATCAAACGCTCATGTATATCTTCTGTAGCTTTAGTAAGCGTGTGTGTATGCATGTGTTAAGGAGTACAAACACATACACACACACATGATCAGACATACAGAAGGGAGCAGGTATGTACGTGTGCTTGTAACACTATCACTTGTTGGCTTATATTCTCAATGATTGGGTTGTTTTTTTTATATTCCCAATGACTTTCTATACTTCAACATTATTCATCGATGATGATGATGATGATTGTGATGAAGATAATGAATTAGTTGATCGTATTATTGTTGAACTTGATCCTAATGAAGATGGTAGATATTCATTTACTGCATCTACTAATTGATTAGGTAGTAGACCACGTTTATTAAGACCATCCGTAAGTAGACGATAAAATAGAATTTGTGCATTTGATGGTAAAACGTAGATTTTTGGTAATAGTGAAACAGGACTATAAGTTCTAGAACAAAAACACAATTAAAAACAAGATGATAAATCATGAACAATGAGAAGAACAAAGAGGATTAAGATTAATAATTTATGCAAAATAAATCTGAACCATTCATTCTTTTTCTTTATAATGATGTTACCCTGGAGGACAATGAAATCTTCACAACTAAACAATCTATCTAGCTAAGAAAATGCACATAATCCTTAACGTTCCCATACTAGGCTACAAATATTCTCTATTATCTAAAAGATTCTTGAAAAAGTTAAGCCACTAACTATATATATATCTCAGTCTCTTGAAATGAAAGTCCTTATTTGGCCAATTAGATCCATCTTATAATTTGATTAATTTTTGATTGATCCAATGTACGTCCCATGATCGATCGCTTTTTTAGTGAATAGTGGCCCCGAAGTTCCCTGGTACGGCCGAGAGTGGGGAGAGTTTGCTCGCCCTCTCCAAATGCTTTCACATGGACACGCGTATAAAGACTCTGATAGGGAAGTCCTACTAACTGCCTTCCCGTGACACCGGTGTTGTTTACGAAATTAAGAAGACGAAAAGCGAATGTCCGGCGATTTAACCGGGTTGGTGGACATGGTGAGTTCACCTAGGGGAATTGGAAAACTCTGATTCCAAACCAATGGTGCACATGGGCTCCAGTATCCTGAAGGAACAAATGGCATATGAATCAATCGTTGGTCACCGGCTACCATGGGACTGCATCTCCTCACGATGCTCCACTGCCTTGTGGATCAGATCTTCAGATCAAAGGCTCCGAGTGTGGCCCCTTACGTAAACCAGCTGGTTCAGTTTGGGGACCTGGGCAGTGATGAGCCCTACATGATAGCATCATCGTCCGATCTAACTGGAGTCAGAATAAAAGCCACTAAAATACTTCTTTATGTGACGAGTGTAAACTGTCTCTGATTACATAAAATTACTTATATATGAATGAATAGAGAATGAATGAGAACATATACATATCCCGAATCACTTAGTCAATAAACTTTCTTTCTCACTCTGAATCTTTCCCCCCTTGGATTCATGTAAACGTTGATTGCGTATTAATTCATTACCAACTCTGAAAAACTACATTGTACCACAGCATTATAACAGATTAATTTTAGTTATTAAATTAATTATGAGGTCATATAAAATTCAGTTAAATACATATGGTACCCAATTATATGTGTTCATATAAATTATAATGTCCCTGTGTAAAATAAACAAACTAATTATTCACAGAAAAGTACATTATTATCAGAAGGGGTTTTGTGGAGATTTCAGTATTTTCATAGTTGAAAGCGTGAGTCATTTGAAGCTAGATCACCAAGGAAAACCTGGAAGCACTGAACGGCCGTTTCGTCCTATTGTGGGACTGCTCAATGACAGTGTGCATCCACGAAATCGCCTAGCGAGATTCGAACCCAGGACCTATCAATCTCGCGCGCGAGCGTTTACCACTAGACTCACGCTTGCAACTATGAAAAGTACATTTATTAAAAAAAAAATTTTTTCAGTTAAAAATTTAAAAATAACATATAACAATATTGAAAAAAAAGTTTTTCGTTGTTGTCGTTGTCCGTTTATACCTTTCAATACTGTATTTCAGTCAGTCTCCAATGAGAGTTCATTTGAATGGAAGTACTCTATATTGTATATGGCTACAAGTGGATTATATCTACTTAAAAAAAGTATAGGGGATGATTGTAAGAGTGGAATCAGTGCTTGAAGTCACTAACGTCTAGTATGAGCCTTGTTGGCAAATGTAGACTACTTGGTTGGGGTCCGCATGAATATCGTAACCAATATTGTTTGGAGACTCTAGGTGACACGGCTCAGAATCGATCACAATGGTGTAGGTGTATACACTTTTTGTCTTCCCTTAAACCGTGAGATTAAAATTCCTTCATATCTGTCTTTCTTCCTGTACTATATTCTTATATACAACCTTTCTATTAATATTAACACCATTAAATTAACTACTCCTATGAATCCGGTGTTCATCTTGTTGTGCTAATGAGGTTATGGCAACTTGGACCGATGTATATATGTGCCTGGTCCTATGTTGTAGCTGACTGACTGACTTAAAAAAAAGTATTGGTGTTTATTCATAATAAACTGATTTAAACTCTAGTTTTAATGAAAACAACAGTGGGAATCCAGTTGACAAGTCCTAACTATAAGATCAATTATGAACTCTGGATGTCATTACTAGACAATAATACCTTCAAAAAAATTAGATACTTGCTCAACAAATAACCTTGTGTAACCGACAGTGGAAAATATCCACCATTCCTTCTCAAAATACTCTTTTGGTGGACACGGAAAGTCCATCTAGGGGAGTTGGAAAACCCTCATTCCAAACCAATGGTGCACATGGGCTCCGGGATCCTGAAGGAATAAATGTCGTATGAACCAGTTGTTGGTCACCGGCTACCATGGGACTGCATCTCTCCACAATGCTCCACTGTCTTGTTAGTTAGACCTTTAGGTCAAAGGCTCAGGGTGTGGTCCCCTAAGAAAACCACCTGTTTCGATTTGGGAGTATCACAGCCCTCGCACAAACAAATGAAATAACGCTTTCTGTTAGCAATTCTGAATTAAAACTAATAGTGTACATGGGACCAAGCATTGTGAAGAAACAACTGGTTTGCAAACCTATTTTGGTTCCTGGCTACCATGCAACTACATTTCACTGACATTGTTTTACTACTTTATGGATTAGCCCCTAAGGCAAACCACCTAATTCGTCCTGAGCGTTTTTGCAGTACCCCATCCAATACACACAAATATGATGTTTAGTGAAAAAAAGGTCCTATCATTTAAATATAAACCATAGAGACAAAAAGTGTACGTGCACACATGCACACAGATACATAGAAACATTGAACAACTACTTACCGAACAAATGAATTATAATAAAATAGCACAAATGTTCCAATTATTAATTGACAATCAAAACGATCAACTACACCACCATGTCCAGGGAATAAATCACCAAAATCTTTAATTTTAAATGCTCTTTTAAAACCGCTAGCAAAAAATCCACCAAATGGTCCAACAACTGATGTATATATACTGATAATTAAACAATGTTGTAGGAATGGATACCAAGTGATTTGACGTATTGGAAGAAAGAACTATACATAGACATATATAGATATAGATGTAGGCGGGAGGAAGAAAAAAACAATAGTGTTAATCTAAAGAAAAAAATTCTCAACAGTTTTCTATGCATACAAAGAAAGCAAATACTTTGTCTTCATATATCTGGAACATTTCAAAAGTATGACGCATGCACAGTTGGTCACACGAAGTTCAATTCAAAAAGTTCAGGTTTCCCCCGGGAAGCCATTACCTATTAGACAACTGCTGTTGTACTGAACGAGAACACCAGTGGGGACAATCAAATGTATTTGAACATAAAATTACAAAATCTCTTAGTAAAATGTGAGAACCAGGCATTCCACTTTCGATTGGTGATACATCTGTGGATATCAATAGTATATACCACACTACTAATACTACTTATATTGAATAGAAATTCACAAAAGATCGATATTTCCAACTTCAAACAATACACGACCTAGTGAAACATCATTCCAAAACCAACCATTAGTGAGGAAATTTGATAGTAGTTGCAACCATGATGCGAAAGTCTGGTTGACATGTCTTCCCTCTTTATCTTTCATCTCTTTATCCGTCTTTCAAAATGAATGTATGAAGTAAAAACTTTCGAAACACTCGTATTCGACTTATTATATCCCCATTATCATTAAAGGGATTTTTAAGCATAGGATATACGATATAAGTAGGATATATATTTCACAAACATCATTACCATGCAATCATTCTGAAATCCAATAACGGTCCACAAAAATCTATACTGGCTGGAGTATTCATTCCATTAGGTCTTACTATACCACCCAGGTTTGTTAGAGGTGAGATTAAAAATAATAAGCCCATGACGCGGGGGAGAAATCCTACAACAGACTGTACGGTGATGTGACGGTAATAGAATGTTTTTGTCTTTATACACCCAGAATCTGTGGCGAAACTGCCTTTTCTGCAACGCTGGAGGGAGATTAGAAAAAACAGTCTTAAAAATAATACACCTTAACCGTCTCCGGAAGTAAAATTTTTACAGTATATGACTATCCCATCAAAAACAATTAGCTATAAAGGTTCTATTCGGTCGATTTTAAGCAGCTCTCTTGGAGTATGTGGTCGTACTCATATGTCATCAAAATCCCTAATACTCCTTCCTTCTCTTCAGATACTTAAAGAAGAGATGTTTCATTACAATATAGTGACTACAACGTTGAACATTAATAAACGGTGGAGGCGGGGGGAAGGAGGAGGAGGAGGATATCAAACTACAACAAGATATTTATTCAATGTTTCCCGGTTTTCAATGATCATCTTATCCAATTATTTTCACTGAATAGAAGTTGTAAAACTCCATTGAAAATCATATAGTTACGTAATCATTGGATAAAAAGGAATTAACCTGGCAACTAATAATTGATGTTTAAAACAATTAATCCCTTTGATAAGTTTATCAGAATTATGTGATAAGATATTTGCACAATACATTTCGAACAATCTTATCACACATATACTTACTTGTTAAGACATTTTTATATGAAAATTAAAAGAAGAGAATAACAACCAACTTCCTTTACTAGATAAACTGATCAGTAGGAGAGAAGATGGTTCCATTCAACGTTCTATATAGAGAAAGTCGACATGGACGAGGCAAGATCTTAATTTTCATAGTCACTGCCCAATTCATTACAAACGTGGTTTAATAAAGGGCTTATTCAATAGAATCAATCGTATTTGTATTAGAAATACTATTGAAGTAGAGACGAAGCTCTTAACTGATACGTTAGTGAATAATGGTTATACATTAAAGTTCATAAACCGATGGAAGGGTTGGAATACGATTAGACTTATGACGCTTCTAGCGCCCAAAAAGCGAATTAATATCACGTTACCATTTAGGAGTGACTCAAATAGTCTCATGTTGAAACGGAGAGTAAAATTAGTCATAAACAGGACATTTTATGCAACTCAACTTGTCATTATTGAAAAGACAAGGTCAATGTTTCACCAAAAACCTAAACAGCACGTAAGCGATTGTGTCACATCCCATTGTGTCTATCAATTTACATGTATATGCGACAACACGTACATACGGAGGAGCAACCGTGATCTGCAATTAAGGGTGGCGGAATACATACCCAAATGGCTGCAGAAACAAATGAATTCCAATGGTCAAATAAGATCACAGGATAGACAAACATCTTCCTTCATTGCAAAACATTTGGTTGAAACTGGTCATAAGGTTGACATGAAGTCAGCAATTGTAGTGTTGTACAAAGGCCTTTAAGGACGTATACTGAGGTTTATTGAAACCTTGACTACACAGAAATTGAAACCCCCTTTATGTGTTCAAAAACGATGTGTTCTTTCTCTTAACCTACCCTGGTAATGCTGATCATCACATTGTTTTTGTGTACTTTATTTATTTTTTTTCTTTGTTATGGCTTACTTTTACCTATCTAGTTGATCTTAATAAAAGTATCTTAACAAGTAAGTATATGTATGATCAGATTGTTCGAAATGTATTGCGCAAATATTTCATCACATAATTCTGATAAACTTCGTCTTCTCATTGCATTATCGGAAAATAATGATTGCCAAAATATTTCGGTCAGGTTTACCATTGTTCATATTAGATATTATTCGAATAAGTTGAGATTACTAGGGATACTGTTAACGTAAAGTGACAGCAGATAAGTGGTTGAACTTAAGGAATTCACCAATAAGAATGGCTAAAATAGCAACTAATAACTGATGAATAAATTTCATAGTTAAAATCATGAGTCAATTGAAGCTAGACTACCATGGAAAACCTAGAAGCACTGGGCGGCCGTTTCGTCCTATTATGGGACTCCTCAGCAGTGCTCACCACGATCCCGCACCCACGAGATTCGAACCCAGGACCTACCAGTCTCGCACCAGAGCAATTAACCGACAGACTACTGAGCCGGTATCCAACGGTGTTAATGCCTAACCAATCCATGATGTTTGAGCAACCGTTCACCAATTGTCTTCAGTGAGTTGATATCTATACAACAGACTTGGATGAACTCCAGTGGTCACTGCTTTCCACTAGAACTCAAGGAAACATTGCTTACAGTCAGTCACTAGGTATCATATGATTATAGATCAGAAGGGGTTTTTGTGGATATTTCAGTATTTTTATAGTTGAAATCATGAGTCAATTGAAGCTAGACAACCATGGAAGACCTGGAAGCACTGGACGGCCGTTTCGTCCTATTACGGGACTCCTCAGCAGTGCGCATCCACGATCCCGAGATTCAAAACCAGGACCTATCAGTCTCGCACCATAGCACTTAACCGATAGACCACTGGGACCACTGAATAAATTCCCCCATAGATACTAAAAATATTAAAACATTTCTATTTAATAATATAATTCATATATAGAAAACAGAACTTACTAAATATTTTGGTAAATCATAGATTTGTGCTATAAATACAGGATTTCTAGTACAATTCATTGTTAGCGAACCTTTTGTATCATCCCATTCAATTGGACATACAAAATAATCATATTTTAATAATATATAAGATAATAATATACTAAATATTATAGTAGATAAACCACCACCAATAAAACCTTCCCATGTTTTTTTAGGTGATAATTTAATAAGGGGTGTTTTTCCATAGAAGAATCCAAATATATATGCCATTATATCATTGCATATAACTAAACAGACTGGTAAAAGAAACCTATAAGTTAGATAGATAGATAGATATGAAGAAAAGAATTAGTGAAGGATAAAACTGTACATGATTTGACGAAACTAATCTGATTGAATTCATTTTTTGTATTGATTAAGTCAGTCAGTCAGCTACAATGTAGGACAAGGCACATAGATGCATCGGTCCAAGTTGCCTTGTGGGAAGGCAGCATCGCTGTTATGCTGGTTGTCTGAAGGAATCACTTTATCGCCGTCACATTTCCGTACAGTCGGTAGTACGACTTCGCCTTCGGACTTTGAGATTGTTGCTTTTAGTCTTACCGCTCTTCAACCGACATGTCTGGCATGGTAGGATCTTGAGGAACGATTGTTCCAGGCAGTATAGCTCGATTGGTTCATCACAATAGGCAAGCCCGACCACCACGTCAAGGTAGCAGCAACGGTCGGGATACCTCGTTAGCACAACAAGATGAACACCGAATTCATAGAAGTAGTTAATTTATTGGTGGTAATATACAAAACGAAGATTGTATATAAGGAAGAAGAATTCATTGTACTGTAAGTCAGTCAGTCAGCTACAACGTAGGACCAGGCACATATATGCATCCGTCCAAGTTGCCATACCTAGTTAGCACAACAAGATGAACACCAAATTCATAGAAGTAATTAATCTAGTGGTGGTAGTAGTATGTAAATTATAGGTTGTATATAAGGATATAGTACAGGAAGGAAGAGAGTTATGAAGCAATTTGTCTCAAGGTTTGAGGGAAGATAAAGAGTGTATACACCTACGCCATTGTGATAGATTCTGAGCCATGTCACACAGAGTCTCCAACCATTATTGGTTATGATAGTCACGCGGACCCCAACTTCAACCAAGTAGTCTGCATCTACCAACATGGCTCAGACAAGAAGTCAATGACTTCAAGAACTGATGCCACGTTTTGATTTGGCCGCCCCTAACTCTCTTCCAAACATCTCCAATACTAGTCAGCATAGCGCGTCGTGGTAATCGATGTTCAGGCATACGTAACAGGTGACCCAATCATCTTAGTCGATGTAGATTCATCACCTCATCAAGTGATTGACCATCATTCCCCAATACACTGTGTCTAACCTCGCTATTACTTACCCGGTTATCCCAGCAGATGCGAGCAGTATTTCTAAGGCATCTGTAGTCAAATACTAGTAACTTACGAGTATCTTCTACTCTTAATGGCCATATTTCACAGCCGTAAAGTAGAACAGAACAAACTGCTGCGCAGTATACTCTTCCCTTAATTGATAGACATATATCTCGTCTTCGCCATAGGTGACGTAAGGTGGCAAAAGCCAAACGAGCTTTTTGAATCTATGCTGAGATTTCGTGTTGAAGATGACAAATCTCAAATGGGACGAAACGTACGTTCTGGATTTCACTATTAACTACTATCCATCTCTGCTTATAATCTGACTTAAGATAGAGGTTACTGGAGTTTTAAGAGGGAATTTTTTTATGAAAAAGACAATGGTAAATAGCTTGTAGCTAAGTGAATAATCTAAAAAAAAACCTAAGTCTTTGTTTTAATTTAAACCCTTTTTGAAGGTTTTATGTAACTAATCATTCATATGAATGGCCGAAGATTGGTTTTACACTCCAAAAGCCATTTTAGGAATTACTAGACGTTGTCAATAAAGTCTACTCCAAAAAATGAACAAAGTATGAAAAGCAGAGATGGATAGTGACTAGCAGTGGAATCCAGGACGCGCGTTTCGTCCTATTTGAAACTCGTCAGCTGGATGTACTTGCAGAGACTGACCAGTTGGAGTTTTAACACATCGATGGGAAGATTCGAACAAATAATACTAAGTGAATTTAAAGTATGAAAGGATCTAACTTATCATTAAGCTTAAATTGTTCACCGAGTAGAGATAATCAGTGTCATGTAGATCGAATCTTTAATGTTGATTAAATTCTATCGATATTAAATTTCTAAACAATGATCAGTCAGAGTGAATCAATCAGTCAGTGAACAATGCTGAGGTCAGACATAAAATACAACGTAAAGATAATAAACTGGCTAAGGTGGTTGAGACATGTAGTACGTATGCCTAACTACTGGCTATATCGATATCCAACGTTGAACGGGGTATGAATAGATTGAAAGAAACCTAGAAGTAGCTAAATGAAAACATGGCATCAGTTCATGAAATTATTGACTGTTGGTTTGAGTCATATTGATAAATGCAAACTACCAATGGATAGAGATATTTCGTGTATGTATCAGAATCGGTTGGAATGGAAGTAGATGTATCCCAAGAACTCACTTTTCATTCTCGAATCATGTTCTTTACCGATGATTTTCTTTACTAATGCTTATACCGACAACATTACTACTTCTACTACTCAGGTATTTATTATTTACTTTGATCATTTCAATCTTCTTGTGCTAAAGTGATGTGACAACTTGCACCATCAATGCACAAATATGTTCCAGGTTCTATGATATTTATGACTAACAACTAACTAAAGTGTTGTTGTATCACTTCAATTTACCAACGACTAACACCGGATAATACGTTGGTCATCAGATTTTCATAATAAACTCTTGTTAATCTGATTTTTATTCAGAAACATTACAAGGATGGATCACTAAGAATTACTAAATAAATAAACAAACAAACAACACTTAAGCAAACTTTATTAGGTTAGATAAAATGAGGATGTAAACAGTGTTGGATTACTTAAAACTGACTATCAAATTACATAGCTTACTTTCTGCCAATACAATTTTGCCTAATCAGTAAGGGATTACTAAATAAATAGAATAATGATGTGAAAGAACGACCACCAAAGCTTCACAATTGAATCATCCAGTCCACAACAAAAACACAACACACAACCAAATAAACTAAACAATCATCAAAAAACAAACAATAGTATAGTACTTTCATAGTTAATATCATGAACTAAATCACTGTTGAAAACCTGGAAGCCCTAAACAGCCATCTTGTCCCAGCTAGGGACTCCTCAGCAATGTGTATCCACAACCGCGCACGTAGGAATCGAACCCGAGACTAGTGTAGCAGTTAATTACGTTTCGTCCCGCTTTCTAACATGTGTTCACTTGGGTTTTTTTGATGAAAGGTATAAGCAAATGTCAGATGACTTTTTTATTCTTATCATCAGTAAATAATCAACATCAAAACAGAACAACAACGAACTTTTGACAGTTCCATATCATATGATCATTCAGTTGCAGCATATCAACTGAATCTAAAAAAAGGCAACTCTTTCCATTAGAAATACCTTTAGATGATGTTATTATTATTATTATTGCTATCAGTTGGGGAAACAATCCTCAAAAGCTAATCAATCATGGTTAATTATTACTCAATGATCAAATAATTTTGAATGTATATCAGTCCTATTAAAAGTCAATTACTGGTCCGATAGCTAAGTGTTAATATTTCAAATTGTGAAGTTGAATGAATAGGATTTGAATCTTATAGAAAGCGTCAATTGGCTCAAGATTTCAGGCAAGCTATGTTAACGAGATCTAGGGTATAAGATTTCTTGTCCATCACCTCCAACTACCTGTTTGTAAAACTCTCTAGCTTTGATCGAACTCAATTGATTAACTTGAGATTTATTTATTAATTAATAATGATATACACTTTGAGCTTTATAGTTACTGAGGTTAATTACAGTTGGAATAGATTAGTTGTAGAAATCTTTGACCATGATGTTACAATGAAAACAATTCCAGCTTAGTTATGATGTTCAGATTTAAACTACTACATCAAAAGGTTCAGATTGTGCTCCCGGTTTAGGCAATGGTAATTAAAAGTAGAAAGCATTTTAGTTACTACAATTAGATAACAGGTTCGAATCCTATTACATTAATACCATAATTAGAGAAAACTGACGACTCTTGACTAGCGAACAAAACGAACATAAAAGTCAACGTTTGTTATTTTTAACTTACCAAATTAAACCATTGAAAATATTTTCAATACAGAAATAAGATGATGTAACGAAAATAAGTAATGTAACATGAGTCCATCCAAACTAGAATTCGTACAAAAATAAAATGAAAGCATAGTTTTACAAAGAATGAATGAACAAATTAAGATTAAGGGGTTGATCTTCATGAGACAATTATGAGAAACCAAATGGCACTGAACAACTGTTTCATCCTGGTATGAAACTACTCCTTAGAAATACATATCGACTATCTCACCAAAGGGGATTGGACCCAACATTTCCAGATTTTTCGGCAACTGTTATATCCTTGAACCAGTAGACCGAAGCTCTTCATATCGAAAATCATTATATGCTCAATAAAGACTAATTTCGAGAGGTAATTTCCCGCAATTCTAATGAGAAGCCATAACGGGTAAATGTTCAAACATGTAAAGTGTGCGGCAGTTACTCATCAATAGCATTAGATGATTGGGTAATATCCCGAATTGATTGGAGTTAGAAATGTGCATCATTGGGTGACGACTCAATAGTCCAAAGGTTAAGGTATCACCGTGAGACCTAGACACTTAGTCTGATTCCCTTTAGTGAGGTCACAGATGTGAGCTGTTAAGTCCCACATCAGAACGAAGCATATGTAGAAAGCTTCCTTCCTTTCAATGGTTACTCAACTGTGGTCGACTCGTGATCTCAGTAATATCTATAATCTCCACAAGCCTCCTATACTGACAAAAAAAATAAACAAATATAGTCATATTCGACAGTGAATGCACTACTTAAGTGCCTGAACGACATATTTTGAGCTGGCTAAAAGAATCTAATAAGAACATATGGTTCGATCTCGCATATGTCTACATATAAAATCAAAATAGGAGGTGAAAGGCCATACATTTCCAAAAGATATTTTTAATGTTAGAGTGTGAAACAGAGAGAGACTGGTAGAGGAAGATATGAAACATAACCAACAGAATCGTAACTTAACCAGTTACAAAGTGTAACCCTGTTGTTCTTCTTAATTAAGTTGAGGTAACCAAGATGTAGTATCTTCACTAGCTTTTACAGAAATTAGCACAGCTTAACATCAAGAACACAAGTAATTCGCTTGTGTTTTTTTCTTCTACAAACATCACAACATTTATTTGAAGGTGTTTTATAGAGATAAGTTTAATGTATTGTTCTTATTCGTTATATATTAATCTCATTAAGGGTATCATTGAAAAGTGGAGAGCATTGGATAAATATTTCGTTCTAGTGTAGCGTGTGCTACTTATACAGAGATATAAGTAGTATGTATCAAGAATTAGAAGTAGGATTCTTATTCATAAAAGAGGAATATGAGGAGGACAGAAAGAAATAGTAATAGGAATGGGAGAATAACAGAGCTTGTAAGAAACAAATCAAAGAAGGTGTGCAAATGATGTATTCAATGTATCGACATTTGAGCAACGCTAAAGTGATCATGAGAATGTTCACCTACCAACTAGGGCTAAATGAGCATTATAAATTAGTTTGAGTAATTAGAATTATGATTTAGAGTTGATGGTTAAAATTAAAAAATAGATCTAAGGTTTTCATCACGAACTGATACCATCTATAATGCCAAAATGGTATTCAAACCAAAAAAGTGGATGAATTTCGCGCCAAAATCCAAGACCTGTTATTCCTAAATCTGATTGGTTCGTTCATAATCTAGCCGAATAATAAACTGGTTTAGTTGAACTCTACAAGACAGTTCAAATATGATGGTTATAATTTTAAACAAATGTTACATTGAAGATTAACTTTTCTTCGTTTTTCATATGTACTTTACAGTACAATGAATTCTTCAGAATTATTAAGATAATGGCGTTGAATTTAGTTACGCTTTTGAATCCTGTCCTTCTCTCACTGAAACGATATAGGTTGTAATCAACATTAACGGGAGTAGTTAAAACCTCTCATGAGCATCTATGATATATGTATATATGTATGTTATTGCTGAGACTTTAAACCAGTACATCCATCTCCTTAAACAACAGGGTTCCTCCTCACATAATAATCAACAACCTCTTCACTGGATATACAATTGAATACAGTTTTAATTAATAATAAACAATTACATTCACTAAATAGGTTGGTTGATAGCTATTGTGACACAGTGTAACCAAATAATTTGTGAATAAAGAAGATCTCAAAAAAACCAAAACGATAAAACCGTTTAGTGGTGTTCCCTGATGATCAATAGTATTATAAAAATGAAATCATGTGCCGATTCAAGTTAGATCATCACTGAAAACCGGAAAACACTGGATGGCCATTTCGTTTTAATGTGGAACTTCTCAGCAATATGCATCCACAATCCCACACACGGGAATCATCCTCAAGAACTTCAGTCGTCCGTGAAAACGCCATCCAGTGTTTCCAGTTTTTTTAGAAAGGTGATTTAATTTAGATCGGCTCATGATTAAAATGAAATTCAACAATCTCCACAACCTCATACTAAACATTTTCCATAATAATCAATGATACGTTAGGATTAACTCTACATAAGACATGTTGAAGTCCAATAAAATTGTCTAGAGAACACAAACATGGAATGAGACTAAACAGATTGACAATACAACTTAAATGGAAAATAACTAGATATGAAGGAGACTTTTCAATACTGATTGAAGATATAAACTTGAGAGAGGAAACATTATAAAATGGATGGATATAGTTGTTTTGTTTTGATTTAGAATTCTTTAGCAGCACCGTGCACTTACGACACTCCGCCAAGATTTGAAGTTACTACCTTCAGATTTCACCAAAAAAATATGTGTATGTGATTTTTAATTCATTTACTAGATACAGATTCGTGTGATTGGCTTCGATCTAGACTTTAAGTATAAAGGCTAGTGTTATTATACACTTATCTAGACCGGAAAAAGTTCAATCAGGGTTTAGAACTGTAAGTCTAAGTAACTAAACGTCAAATGCCTTGACCACTGAAAATCGATATTTCAGTTTTAGATTATGGTTTAATATTTCCATTGTCTTTGGTGGGTAACTACTTCACACCTGACACTGTTTAACTTCACTGATCACGGCTTCTCATTAGAACTAAGAGGATTCTCCCTTGAAGCTAGTCACTAGTGAGTATATGATAATTATCACATGGAATCCTGAAGGCCAAAAAATAAGAGGAAGACCAAAGAACACATTACGCCGAGAAATAGAGACATACATGAGAAGAATGAACAAAAAATGGATAAAACTGGAAAAGAAGACCCAGGACAGAGTGGGTTGAAGAATGCTAGTCAGCGGCCTATGCTCCATTGAGAGTAACAGGAGTAAGTAAAAAAATAAAAAAGTAATAGGGTTGTGGAGATTATTATTCATTGAGTGAGTTGCACAAATGTCACACTAATTACTGACTATGAATAAATAAATAAACACAATCAATAAACGATACATTAGTAGATTGATACTTACCAAAGTAAACTGTTTAATATAGTGCCTTTTGACTAAACTTAAAACAAATGCAACAATCCCAGCACAATATAATGAAAATGAAATAAACTGATGATGAGTTATCCATGGTTGTAGAAAATCCTAATTGATCAAAATATAAAAAACAGGAACATAGAATAAACAACAAAACGGAAACGATTGTACGTCTTTACTTGTGTGTACATTCTTTCCTATGAGAGAACTCTATGCATACACAAACATATGTATGTGGTGTGTTAAATGCTTACAGTCATTTTTCTGTTTTTTTATCAGTATAAGGTTGTAAAGATTGTTGAGTTTCGTTGAAACCATGATCCGATCAATGTCAGACAACCATTGAAAACTTGAAAGCACTGAACGGCCATTTCGTCCTAGCATGAGACTCCTCAGCAAATGAGCATTTACGACCCGCACGTGGGGATCGAACTTAGGACCTTCTGTTTTGAGTACGGATGTTTAACCTCTAGGCCACTTAGTCAGCATTCAACGGTGTTAATGCTTAAATTCAATCAATCCATGATATAGTGAGACCATCTTCGATTGTCTTTGGTGGGAACCAACCTCACACCTGACACTGTTTAACTTCACTGATCATGGCTTCTAATTAGAACTCCAAAGATTCTCCCTTGAAGCTAGTCACTAGTGAGTATATGATAATTATCAGAATACGGTTGTGGAGATTGTTATTAATTGAGTGAGTTGCTGGATAATAGTGTGATTTTTCATTTCTTTTGTAACATAAAACTCATCTTAAGCGTCTACAGTTGTGTTACAATTGTTTGATAAGTATATGTATCAGTAGTATAGTGAAATCCGACAAGCGTGATGATAAAAGAAAGTACACAATTACAATAAACTATAAGGCTTGACATGCTTTAATGATAGCAAACCTAGACACTGAAACTATGATGAATTTATCGAATATAAAGCACATACAATTGAATTACCCTTTCCCTCTACCTCTCGTTCACAAAAAAAAGCAACTAGTTCAAAATGTTGCCTAAATTGTGAACAACTCTAACCCTCAACTCAATAATAAACGGTTGATGACCTCATCACACATACGTGAGTAGAAGAGAATCATTAGCAAAGTACTTGTGACCGTCTTAATGTCAACTACTTTTTTTAATGGTCCAACTTCATATTTATAAAATAGGTTAATGGGAAGTTATAAACAGTATTGTCGATCAAAGATATAATTTATCTACCACGTACAAAATGATTTACTATACTCTGTGATACACTATATATTGCCTGTCTGATAACAAAAGCAATAAAAAAGGAACTAGATAAATCAGATTTCCAACATATGACTAAATGCCTGCCCCCAAATGCCCTGGTACGGCCGAGTGGAGAGAAACAGCTCTCCCACTCCAAATGCTCTCACATGTCCACGCGTACACAGCCTCTGACAGGGAAGTCCTACTCACTGCCTTCTCGTGGCACCGCTGTTGTTTACGAAGTTGAGAGGACAAAAAGCGAATGTCCGGCGATTTAACCGGGTTGGTGGACACGGAGGGTCGATCTAGGGGAGTTGGAAAACCCTGATTCCAAACCAATGGTGCACATGGGCTGGCTCCAGTATCCCGAGGGAACAAATGGAGTATGAATCAATCGCTGGTCACCGGCTACCATGGGACTGCATCTCCTCACGATGCTCCACTGCCTTGTGGATCAGACCTTTAGGTCAAAGGCTAGAGATGGGATTTAAACAGACGAAAAGCAGGGAGCAATAAATAATTGTTTCATATCGGCCGGGAACTGCCTTAACAATGTGAACAACTATAACTGTGACTGAGATTGAATCTGCGACAACTTCAGATTTCGAGGTGAGCATATCATCATTGAGTTAGTAAATTATTAGTGTATATTACCATAGTATAGTATGATGGTCATCCAACGTTCGGCTTCTAATATCACAATTAAACTCTAATCTACCAGTCACGAACTCCTTCAAAATTACCTATTAGTTGGCTGAATGTGAAGATTTTTGAGATTGTTTTCATCATCAAAGACCAACTGGATCTGAAAAACTAGTGTTTAACCTATAAACTTTCGATCACTGGTCTAAATGATTTATAATTAGCTAAGGTTGGGATAGCTCATTGGTATTGCCTCGAATTGTGAAACTGGGTTACCCAAGTCCCGATCCCGCATAGAAGTATCATTCTCTGCAAAGTTGCCAGTACGATTTGTTAATGATTGTCAGCCAGTATAAAACCTAGGTCATTGAATGATTTCCTACTGACTAACTACCCTCAACCACCTTATACACTCGAAGTCCGTCTTTAATGAGAACTAGAAAAAGAAACGGGTTAATCTTTACAACCAAACAAATAGAAAGTAGGAGAGTGGAACAATTTACCTAATCATTCTACAAAGTAACTAGTCATTATATATAAACACATACATAATAATACTATTATCACTACTACTTTCAAATGAATGGGCTGAACAAAACTTACTTCTTTAGCTAAAAGTAATCGAAATCGAGTTATTAAACTTTCACCAAATAAGTAATAATTGGATGTAAACAAAAAATACCATGATAATAATCGAAACCATGGTAAATCATGCGATCGATAAACCAAGTAACCAATATTGATAATTTCATAGAAACAAGCCAATTGAATAGCTAAAACCTATATTGATATAGAAAAATAAAGTAAATTAAAGTTAACTTGTATAATAACAGAATTTGTTATATTTACTGCACAAAACAGTTTAATTTACAAACGCTAAGGATTGTGAATTCGAACCGTATCGGGGTACTACTACTGATGTGAACAGCTGAACAATAGTTGTATCACAGTTAGCCATTCAAGATGGTCACGAGTGTTATTAGAGGTATAGGAGTGATTGCTACTTGCCTGCTACATTTACTACGTAAAGAGATTTCATTTTAAGAGACTTGAAGTCTAAAGTAAGTTAAGGTTAGGATCTAGTTTCAAAGATTTGGGAGTGTGATCGTAGAGCTGAAGGAACAATTCCTTGAGGTGAATCACACATACACGGTCCTCATGTAATTTTTGATCTGCTGGTTCTGTGCCTTACAGACGTTGTAACCACTGACGAAAGTCTGTTGAGTTGATGCTGGTTGTGTTATGGAAACACTTTACTGTTGTCATACTACTGTACAGTCAGGATTACGACTTAAACCTTGAAATGTGCGTTTACTGCTTGATAATCAACCTGGTTAATATGAAAAGACCTAGAAGAACGAGTTCTAAATAATATATCTTGATAATTACTATTTCAACACATAAATATTGGTACAAGGAAGATAAATATGCGCCATACAAATCAAATGAGATTTGTGTAAGGGCTGTGATACTGCCCGGGTGCCCAATCTGAAGCAGGTGGATTTCTTAGGGGGCCACACCCAGAGCCTTTAACCTGAAGGTCTAGTCCACAAGGCAGTGGAGCATAGTGAGGAGATGCAGTCCCATGTTAGCCGGTGATCAACGTTTCATTCATACGCCATTTGTTCCCTCAGGATACTGGAGCCAGCCTATGTGCACCATTGGTTTGGAATCAGAGTTTTCCAACTCCCCTAGGTGGACTTTATGTGTTCACCAACCCGGTTAAAGCGCCGGACATTCGCCTTAAGTCCTCTCAATTTCGTAAATAACACTCCTGCCACGAGAAGGCAATGAGTAGGACTTCTCTGTCAGAGGCTATATATTCGCGTGGCCATGTGAGAGCATTTGGAGAGGGAGAGCGGACTCTCCCCACTCTCGGACGTACCAGGGCATTCAGGGGCTTTAAATTTCCTAATATTAAAATAATCAACATATCAAGTTACTAGTTTTGGTAGATGGAAACTTCATAGAACTTAAACATTGAGTGAGTTTTATTTAAAATAAAGCAAGATCCAATGACGTCTGTCGTGCACTCTACATACTACTGTAATGTAAGAACAAGTCAAGTCCAGATGGTATATGTGTATTAATTTATGGAGAACACAGATTGTTTATGAAATATATACACTTAGTCATCATTTTTTTCATTTGCATCTATTGTGTGTTCCGAAACCCAAGTTGGTCGTAAGCTGTCTTCTATAGTTTTTCTTCTAGTATCAAAAGTATTTCGAACTTGCCATGCTTTAGGCTTCCTGAGACTCCTATCTTCAGCTGTCGACTGTAGCAACTCCCATGAGACGCTTCGCTGCATACCAGTTAAAAGTAATCTTGTGAGTAAGGTCCACCACACTAATACCTACTATTAACAAAACCCACTCGTGATTGTATAATACTAAATTAAATTAAAAAAGATAGATGAAACTTTAACCTCGATTTGTTACATAGTCTTATCTAGATTGATTTCATTTAAATCCATATTGAAAATAATAATCATTTTCTAATCTGATTAAAACAAATAATGTAACCAAATCCAAACACATTAAAAACAAAGATACTACAATAAACAACAATGGATACATCTATCATTTTATAGCCTATTTTTATTTTGATAAAATGAATCCAACACATGATGTGAATAATAAAGCCTTATTTATTGAAATTTGGGTGTGTGTGTGTGTGTGTGTGTGTGTATCGAAGTGATAGAAGTAGAGATAATCACAAGTTATCTTTTCACAACATACCCAATAATTTTTAAAGAGAGGGAAGAGCATAAACTTGTACACAATTGGAATAGTAACAAATAAATAACTATCAGAAGGGGTTTTCTGGAGATTTAGTATTTTTCATAGTTGAAAGTGTGAGTCAATTGAAGCTAGACCACCATCGAAAACCTGGAAGCACTGGACGGCCGTTTCGTCCTATTATGGAACTCCTCAACAGTACGCATCCACGAACCCCCTCTCGTAGGATTCCAACCCAGGAACTACCAGTCTCGAGTTAGAGCACTTAACCGATAGACCACTGAGCTGGAGGACATCCAACGGTGTTAATGTCTAACTTCAACTGATCCACGAAGTTGAGAAACCATTCACCGATTGTCTTCAGTGAGTTCCTATCTCACGACAGACGTGATTTGAACTCCACTGGTCACTGCTTCTCACTAGAGCTCCTAGATATACTTCTCGAAGTCACTAGTGAGCATATGATTATATTAATTATCAGAAGGGGTTTTGTGGAGATTTAGTATTTTTCATAGTCCAATGTTTCCAGGTTTTCCATGGTGGTCTAGCTTCAATTGACTCACGCTTTCAACTATGAAAAATAAATAACTGCTTGAGATAAAACTGAGTAGCCAAGTAACACTACAATCTGGAGGTTAAATTTCATTATAAATTCAGGATGCCACAAGCATTGTAGAAACAGCACGTCTGTGCATCCGCTCAAGCTGCCACATTGTGTCGGCATAAAGAGATAAAATTATTATGATAAATTCCAGAGTAATTATTATTATAGCAGTAACAGTGTACCAATGGTAGCAGAAAATATTAAGCATATACGAGAGAGAAATAGACGTTTTCATGGAATAGAAAATATACAAAAATGTTAAAACCCAAGATCTACGGGAAGACACGGCTGGTATAGTAAGACCTAAAGAAACGAATGTTCTAGCCAATGTATTTCAACTGGACGATTACGACATGCAAGCTTGACCACTAGCATAAAAATATACCAGCCATCGTTGTATGTATAATGGACCGTTTACAGCCGGAAGATTCATTGAGAATCAAGAAGTACCAGATGGTTGTTCAATCACTGATAATAATAATAATTTTTCGAATTTATGTACAACAATCGATTTTGTGAAAAGGTTTTAACTTAGGATGAAAGCAACTATACACTATTTCTATGATATATCAACTGAATCCATTTCATGAATAAAATTACTTTCAATTTGAACAATCTGTAGAAACTCCTGTCCGCAAAATATTAATCATAGTGAAAATGATGAAAGTGTCGATAATTTAACATAACGCCAAAATCGCTCTTTTCACCTTCGAGTCGGATTTCGGACTTGTGAAATATCTTAAATGCTATTGGTCCGTTGTATCTTTAAGTGTGCTATTTTGTAATACTGCCCAAGAACAATTTATCGCTGTATATATACGTTTGAGCTTTTCCCCTTATGATTTGCTTGTACTTGGCTGCTTAGGGAATATATATTCCCCTACTTCGCCTTGGACTTCTTCCTATAGTTATCGGGGCCTGGGGCAACTGATTAGGATAGCCTATCGTGTCACTATGTCATTGACCTTCGTTTGTTTACCGAGAAAATCAAATTAGCTCAAGCATATCAATCTCGCACACGGAATTCGAACGCAAGACCTTTCTCTCCATGCGCGAACACTTAATCTCCAGACCACTGAGTTGGCATCCAACAGACAATGGATGAAGGTTTGTGCAAGATCAATGGTCGATTAAAGTTATACATTAACACTGTTGGACGCCGACTCAGTGGTTTAGAGGTAAAGCGTTAGCGCACGAGATCGGAAACGTTGGGTTCGAGTCCAGAATGCATGATCGTGTATGTGCACTGCTCAGGAGTCCCATGCTAGGATGAAACAGTCGTCCAGTACTTTCAAGTTTTCAATACTGTTCTAGCTTAGATCGACTCATGAATTCAACTATCGAAAAAACATACTACAATCTCCACAAATCCCCATTCTGATAATTCTTATTTATTTATTCCTATTTCATTATCGATGGTGATTATATAACCTGCCTAATTGTTTAAAAACTAAAAAAGGAATGGATCAAATAGGGATCAGATAACAAAATCTTATTATATCAAACTTGAGGTAGCCCCCTACTTCGATACAATAATCTAACAGTAAGATATCAATTAATTGATTGAAGAATGAATGATCTAAAAAACTGATTTCCTCCAATCATCTATAAAATATTTTATCCGATATATTTTGTGTTTATAATCATTCTGGTCAATTGTCAACCAACACCAAGATCGGAATTTTTAATACAAATGTCAAGACAGTTCCACTGTATGGGGCGGAGACGTGGAGAAATACGAAAGCCATCGTCCAGAAGATACAAGTGTTTGTCAACAGTTGTCTACGCAAGATACTTCGGATCAGATGGTCAAACACTATCAGCAACAAGTTACTGTGGGAGACAACAAACCAGATTCCAGTGGAGGAAGAAAGGCTGGAAATGGATTGGGCACACTTTGAGGAAATCACCCAATTGGGTCACAAGACAAGCCCTCACATAGAATCCTGAAGGCCAAAGGAGAAGAAGAAGACCAAAGAACACATTACGCCGAGAAATGGAGACAGACATGAGAAGAATGAACAAGAACTGGATAGAACTAGAAAAGAAGGCCCAGGACAGAGTGGGTTGGAGAATGCTAGTCGGCGGTCTATGCTCCATTGGAAGTGGCTGGTGTAAGTAAGTATCATTCTAGTAAAACAAAAACAAAATAACTACTTATCTGGTTAGTAGTCTCGTCTTTTATTTCAATTCATTTAGGGTAGATGAGAAAGGGGGGGGGGCACCTATCGCAATATTACAATAATGTGAGTAGTTTTTCATTTAAAGACACTATACACATTATATCATTGAGTTCATATATTAACTAGTATACGATTTATTCATTTTGACAGTTGAAAATTTCATCCATATCAAATCATTAAAAAAACCGTCTCAGTAACATATACATATATACATACATACAACCATAGCAACAACTAATCTACAGGACAAGT